AGTTGTTTCAAATCCGAATTTAGAGAAAGTCTTCCAAGTCCTCATTTCTTTCACACACTAACACTTGCATGTAACTCTAATTCTTTCAGTATACTCCAGACACAGGTTTTTTACCAACCATTTGAGTTTTTCAAGGCCGATGTTTCATTTCTCATTAAACGCAACAGCCTCTACCAAGTGTATGCAGCAGAATTAAAACTGCATGGAACCGGGTTGAAATAACAAAAGTATACATTAAAACAAAAAAGGACTTTTAAAATAAGTTTTGATTGATATTTGCATCAGACTTAATGCAAGGTCCCCTGCGATGCATGGCTGGTTGGGGTTGGGATTCATGAAGGATTTAAAAGTTCACTCAGGACTAGATTAAAAACTGAATTACATGTACATGTATCACTCCAAAATACATGTTCGCTGTTCTTAACCAAACACATCTACTTGTTCACACACTAAGAAGCATAACCACTGAAACTGTCATACAAACCTGAAACATTCTGTGACAATGACTGTTTGCCCTGCATTGTTAATCATTAATCTCTTACCTCACTATACTTCTACATGTGTTGTTCCTGACACAGAGTTACCTCTTTTCTGATACGGGAACAAGGAATTGGGCTTATGTGACCTATATGTACCTCTACCGTTAATTGGTGCCACAGAGTCACCGATTCATTAATTGAAATGTTCATGTAATAAACATTTAAGTATATTGCTTACCAAACGGAGCTACGGACAACAACCTACCGGTACATGTGATCTACAAGAAGTGTCTTTCCTTCATTCAAAAGATAAAGAGTATTTCATATTCAGTTTGTTGCCTCTTTCTTCCTTGTTTGCAGAAGACAAATTTCTGGTTCAAGGCTAGATGAAAACAACCAGTGTGAGAAAAAACAAAGGGGCTCTGGGTAATCAATGTCATAGTGTGACTTAACAGTACAGAGATAAATAGGAATGGTCGACACTCAACAGGTTCAAACTTTGGACAGGTGTTGCATAAACATGGCTCTTTAACCAATGGCTGCTGTGACTTACTAAAATGCAGTGTACAGAAAGTGTCATGCCATGGCATTAATGGCACTCGTCTAGTAAGTCTACACTGCATGATTCCAAAAGCTAATATAATGAAAAAATGTAATTCAAGGAAATGAAGACAAGCGATCCAACACTTAAGTAGTAGAGGTAATGTCTGGTACCCAATCTCTATTTATGCATATCATCTCCACAGTTATTAGACAACAGAATGGTCAGTCTTTTGACAAAAAATAGTGGCACCCGTACACGTACGAAGCTGAACATTGAAATCACTTGGCTTACTGTTACAAGTAAAATGCTGAAGAAAACTGAACTGAGATCTACAGCTCAGCTGGTGACATACTGAAGATCTCTTTTTTTGCATCAGGAAAATTTTCATCACGAAAGTACGAGGGCCTGACGTTCAGATCCTACTAGCAGAATCTTACTCAAAGGCAAAATGAAAATGTTTAGTGCATTTTGTGGATGGGCTTGATTTTGTTTTGAATGTTTCTTCCCTCCAGGGATTCCAGTGTGGTCTGGTAAAAAATCAAAAACGAAAGTTTGAGGTTATTTTTATCCCTTTCAGTCAACAGGTCTGCTGGTCAGAAGGGACAAAACAATTGTGAGAGCACAGTGGGATGCCAAAAGTCACATGTCCAGTCTAAACAATGGTGACATCAAGGTCTGGTATGAAAACCAAGCAGTCTGATGAGTCATAATATTTGGAAGGTGAGGACTTCTTAAAGTTTTTTATACATGTATATGAACCTGTTGATTTATGTACGACTACTTGCTCTAAGTCCTGGTTAAGAACTTCGAGAATGTGCTCTCTGAGACTATGACAACACTTTCAAGTCTGCTTGAACACTAACACTGAGGTTAAAATCAGCACAAAGTTCAAGCCTGGCTGTCAATATGACATGTTGGTTGACAAGGTAAAGTACATATTTACAATGTCTACATATACAAATGTTTAACTAAAAATGCCTTTCATGTCTACATGTACACTACTTAACTAATACAACAATCTGACGTAAAAGCAACATAATATTTAAACCTACTGCACCATAACCTGAAAGCTCTGACCACATACCAGTTACAGTTGTTCTATTCAGTACTTGTCTCCAATGTTACCCTTACCTTTATGAACACATCTTTTTTGTTTCACTTGTTAAAAAACTGTTGAGTCACAACAGTGTGCGTTTCCATCCAAAATTAACTCTGCAGCTTTAGCGATCTTACAGTACACTGTCACTAGCACGTTTTCGTAATTTTGTAGAGGACATAAAGAGAAAACATGAAATCCTTCCCAGTTTTTGGCACTTGACATACATGTATGAAGTGATACTGGTAGGACCAATAACAGGGCAAACGATTTATAGTACAGAATTGTTGAAAAATCACAGCTTGACGTGCATGTACATTTGGTGGAAAGTTACCAGGTATGTTTCCCATGTTACCATACAGACTGCAATCATGGATAATCCTTATGTGGCACTTTGAAATATTTTGTATCAAATTTAAAAGCTTCTTCAAGGTGTACAGCCTCAGGAAGTCTTCCTTCTAAACTGAAGGATGGAGGAGTCATTTTGGGAGGACCACTGGCATCAGACCTACATGTTGGTTGCTGGAAAAAGTAAAATTCTTAACATTTTGGCAGTTGAAGACACAAACCTATGAAGTATGAGACTTGTCTGAAAAAAACCTAGGCGTACGTCATGTACATGTGTTTTCTAAGCAGGCTCTACATGCCTTAAATACCTCAGAATTTTCTCAGCTGAATTTCAGTTATTGACATGTTATCACTTTTATGGTTGTTACAACATTTTAAGGGCAAATTAGTGTTGTCTGTAACACAGAACTCTATTTCTACCTCCACGGTTACATGTACTACATGATATAGTAGCACTAGCAGGGGATGCAGCATGCAAGGACATGAAGGATGCCGCCTATGTATGCCAAGTGCGCGGTGGTATGGCACCACCGTGCAGGATGTGCATGAGGTAGGCGGCTCCACGGGCACCGTCCCGCAAGAAACCCGGTGTATGACACGAGTACCGGTCACACACCGGGCAAAAGATCGACCGAATAACACCAACCATCCTTTTCAATCTTGCATTGATGTTTTAAAAGACATTATGACAGAGTCTGTTCACATAACCACGACAGACATGCAGTACTTACCCAGAAATTTTCCTCAAAAGCCGACGTTTTCGTCTCCACCATTAAATCCATCTTTGAATCCTAGCAGTAGCACACGATTTAATATACCGGTGCAATTAACGTACCTGTACGTACGTGGTGCCGGTGGAGACGGTACCGTGTGCCGCGCTATGTGTACAATTTTGTATGTCTGCAAAATGGCGATCCATGTTTTGATTGATTTGCGCATGTGCAGAGTAATTGTCTACGCGCCGCGCGCCGAAAGTCATGACCTCGTGGCTCTGATCTGAGCGCGACTTCCAAACGCTTACGACAAAATTTTCATTAAGGACTTCCTTTCTTAATTTGTTTAATTGGAACAAGTGTTTTTGTTATATGCCAATGAAACTATATGTGTTTTCTCTAGCCGCTTTGGCGTAGCGGGGAGGATATTATAGCGGCGGACATTAAATTAATTGGAGGCGGGGTTGCAGTTTCTGCTTTGACCTTTTCATTGTGTCCTGCGGCCACCTTTTCTAGTATGTGAAGATCATGATGCAAGGCATCCTTGAAAATATAACAACATTCAATTTTATCGATTTTTGACGGCCTCTTTTGAAATAAAGGCCGATCCACTGTCAAAGACTTGAACTATTGATGATCACTTCATCCTTGAAGTTGAATGAATCACATCTGTGCCTGACGTAAACTGTCACGGTCAGTGAGCCTTCTTTTTTTTTTTGTAGTGCCGCGGGCATTCACAATTGGTGGAATGTGATAATAGCATGGCACATTGTGTGCTACAAGTGTTAATTTATGTGAGATATTTCGAAGATGGTGCTTCGTGAATCTTATCTTGCTAGACCAAAACTTAAAAAGCAGACTACTTTAACACCCGAACTGCGTTTTAGGTTGCTTGATGAAAAGTTATGCCAAAATGAGTTCAGCAGCATCAGCACCGACACATAAAAAATGGCAGCACCTTCATTGAGGAGGGAATGATTCCCCATCACGGATTGAACCAAGATCTAGAGGAGGCAGTGGGTTCAACTCCCTCCTGGGTAAGTTAACGATTGTTTTCTGAAGTCCTTTGTCAACACTGGATTCACAGAAGAAAACACTACCCAAACACAATGAGGTAAACTCAACTTGAAAGATTACATTTCGTTAAAAAGGAGAGAAAAAACGCCACAATACCAGCTGAGACAGCTAAACCATCATACTGCATTCATCCAGTGGCGTAACCACCGGGGGGCCGGGAGGGGAAGCGGGTACCCCCCACCCACTAATTCCAGGTCCCCCTAAAAACGGATGAATGGATACTAAACAAGGCTAACAAATACATGTACTTGCCCCCAAAACCACACCACTGAAAGCTGGCCGGGTGTTCCCAATAACCGTTAAGATGCAGTGGTGCCCCCTTTGTGTCCAACCCCGTAAAATTCTAGCTAAGCCACTGCATCCATCCCCGTTTTAATAGGAAAATTATGCACTCCTCCATCCTCTCTGCAACACAATAACATTTTACTCCTTAATCTATAATACAAGGTATTTACATTGACGATTTAATCGAAAGAACTGAAAATATAAACCATTGAAACCTTCACTGCTTAATTGGAAGTTGGCAGAATGCGCGGCCACAAAAAGTGAAAGTTTTATAACTGCGAAATCAACAGCGCCCTCTTTTGTTTCGTAATAGTCGGTCCCACTACGTTATCTCATTGTTTGTACATTAAGTCGTCAGGTAATCGCACAGCCAGCAACAGGTGGCTTTCTTCGGGCTGTGACTCACTTTTCAAATTCCAGAGTTAGTGAACTGATGAGGTACGTACATGTACGTGCCAGTTTAAATGAATTCGAAAATTTTTCTGTAGTCTGCGTCGGAAAAGAACTTTCAGAAGCTGTTCTTTACCAATTTTATCAGGCAAAATTTTGGCATTCAAGCCAGCCGAGTAATACCGAAATCGGACTCATGCGACCGAGGTGATGAGAGCGGTAATGCCTTCGTGAATTCATCCTCACGACGAGAGCGCGTTTGGAGTGGTGCAGTATCGGGAGCAGAGGTCAAATTTGTCGGGTGAAATGGCTGAGCGTCGTTCGCCAAGACAACAAGGACCCACGCGGTGCCGCTGCGGGGTCATGCAGACCTATGATTACTACTTGCTTATTCTGCTCGGAATACTTTCTTCTAACCTCTTATCAACAGTAACTGGTAAGTTAAAAAGAAGACTATCTGTGCTTACTGTTTTGAAATAGGTTTTTACCGGTATGTTTGGATTTAACACTGTTTCAAAATTGTGAGGCCTACTCGACTCAGAAAAGGCTATGTATTTTGCCTCGTATTTAATTCAGAGCGTCTTTAGCGTGTCCGGATTGCGGATGAACATTTCTTTCCTAAGAAGTTACAATTAAAACTGGCATAAGATTAGTTTACTTATTTTTGATGGGGTCTGCCCTCACCTCAACTGTCATATGGAACAGTTTAGGGCCTGTTGATTGAAGAGGATTATAAGACAGACATGACAGAGAAAATAGTAGGTAAGAATTAGTAAGATAAAACAATTTCTGTTTCCCGTTGCATAGCATCTAATAACAGGGTTGACAGGTAGGTTGGAAATTTTTTTTGCAGTTTTTGTTTTAGTGATCCAGAGGCAGCCACAGTAATGCAGTAAGTACATGTATTAACAAGTTAAAAACAACAGCGAGAGAAGACAGGTGGCATTCGTTTCAAACGAAATGAACAACACTTTAAAAGGTGTAAGTTGCATGCATTTACAAAATTGAATCTGTTGAGCCTTTTTGGTCCACATTCATAGTAACAGAAAAGTAATTTTTGCTTTATACATTTCCAATTTCACATTGTCTGTAAATTTTCCCAAAATAAGATTAATTTGGAAACAGGAGGCATTCAACTATTTTTGATGCTTATTTGTCCAGTCTTTCTGACCTGTTCATTTCACGGAGTGAATATTCTCAGAAATCTGTATGGGATTGAATGATTTGGAAAAAATGTTTAAACTCTACTATAGTTGAATTCATGGCTTTTGTATACATAATGTACATTTGTTGGTTGAATCTGAATTTCATACTGTCTGAACTGTCTTTCAAATTGACTGGAAGACATTTCCTTCACTTAATTGAATTATTCACAGTAAAATAAATTATTGAACTTATTTTACACACAAGATTTCTGGCATTGTTTTATAAAGGTATTCTGAACTAATGGAATAAATTTTAGGAGTATTTCCTGAGGCTCAAACTGTTATCCCCATGTACATGTAAGCAGCAAACTCACTTTCAAATCAAAAGACGCTGTTTGTAGCTGCTTTAAAGCTGTAAAAATGTTAGATTGTTTTGCACCGCCCATGTTTTGTTTGGAACCGGTATATCATTCCATACTTCACAATGGCAGGTGCACTCCCGCAACACAATAAATAATCAATAGTGATGTATTGCGCTGAAGGGCAGTGTGACCCCACCCATTGCATAGAGTTCAGGTGTTGGTTGCATACAGAGGCGGTCGGTTAAACAATGGTTACTGTGTTCTCACACAGTGAGACGGGTTACGTATAACCTACATGTGTACATAATACACTTGCACACATAATTAACAGGAGGAAAGGGACATGTAGGTGCTGTTGTGAGTTGGAAGTAGATAACATTACTTGTAAATGTATGTGGAGGAAATTGTTCCCACTTACCCCATCTGTTGATGACTGGAGCCAAATTGAATAACAGAATTGATGTATAGCAAATCGTTTTTCATACACTGAAGTTGACCGAACTTTTTAGTTGGTTTGGGAATAACTGTTTCTGCAACTATGTAGCCTCACTGAACTCGTAGCTATGGCTAAATAGTTTGTCTCACAGTTCAAGTTAAATATGAAACAGTGAACACGACATGACTTTTGGTAGCTTTATTAGAAATTATATTTTAAAAGCCAGTCGCACACTTTGGCCATGTCGGCAAGTTATGTTCTGGGGCAGATGACAGTGCCCCTCTAATATTCTCCTGAACAATAATTGTTCTATCTTTCACTGTGTTTAGTGAAACCAGTTATGGTAGACATTTTGCTGTTTAATGTTAAGGTAAATTTTTTTGGGGGGGCGTGCAATTCATAACTTTGTGAAGAGAAATAAAGTCTGACAACCTACTGATGCAGCTGTTTTAAAGTCACTTACTAATGCTTGATATCCAAAAAATGAGACAAAAACAAAAGGAAAACCCTGAACAACTAAACAAACAGAGATGCATCCCATCTAAAGAAATTGTCTTTCTTAAAATGTATTCAAATACATTACAGATAATGTTCACAGGAACACTATTTTGTTAAAAATGTTTCATCATATCCTTTTACTTTTTGTACTTTGTGTATAGTACAAGTACATGTGTGCAAGGTTGATCCTTGAAGATGTCATAGTAGGTCTTTTATGAGTTTTGCTTGTGTTTTATACCCTTTATGACTTGGCTTGAATAAATTGAAGCGTAAAAAAAGAAAGGAATCATATGATGCAATTTTGAAAGGTTACCGTCTCCTACAGTGTATGTCAGTTGTATGGCTATACCAGTATGACCTAGAAAAGCTGTGCTCTGATGATGCATTGTTATGGTAATGTGCATTGTGCAGGCCAACATGTACATGTACATCAATTGGACAGAAACACAACAGGTATCCTTTCTATGGATGTTTGTACATGTATGTACATGTACATGTGACGGTTATTATGCATGTCTGATTTATGACAGCGGCTGTCCTGAAATCTTACTGACAACATTACCTTTGTAACAGTTCAGTAACTTCTTACCCTTAGTGTTTTTTGTTTCACCTTTAGGTAAAAGCTGTTTATAAATTGTCTTACCTGATTCACATATTACCATCACTATGGCATATGGACCACATATGTGACAATTCATCAAGTTGAAGTGGTAGCTTTGATTGTCTTGATATACATGTAATGTATCTGGATATTGATTTCAACATACATGTATCTCAATGTTGTTTTCAAGATGTCTTGAACTTAATTTAAGGATATATCTCAAAATGATTTTGAGATATCTTGAAATAGATTTAGAGATATTTTTAACAGGATTTAGAGATCTCTGAAAATAAATTAAGAGATATACATGTACATGTATCTTGACATGGCTTTACATGTACAGGTGTAGATGTTTTGAAATAGATTTTGTGATACTGGTTTAGTGAAATTTTTCTGAAAAATCTGAAAATGATTTCGAGATGGACTTCAAAATATTTTGAAATAAATTTCAAGATATTAGAAATGGATTTCACGCTATCGCAAAATCATCACTCAAAGGCTTTTAAAATGCCAAAATGTTTAAAGATAGTTTGAAATAATCAGTGATACACGTATCTTGAAATTTATAAATAAATTGTCTTGAAATAAGCAGAAGCTATGGCTTTGACATGAAAAAATATCGTTTATGCACGCCATAATTTCTTGCAGTTTTCGAAAGAATTGTTTACATCTCTGCCAACTTTCTTGTCAAAATTCAGTATGACTCGTGGAGTGCTTGTCGTCACCCTTTTTCAAGTCTGTCACATCCTGACCTCAGAATGAATGAAAAAGATAATTGATTTGTTTCAAATATGTACATTCTCCAAAGAAAAAGGCAAAATTTTACACCGTGTTTCATGTCATTTTTGGATTTAGTTTGGATCCTGAATTGTGTTTGCTTTATGCTGAAACTGGACAGCGCCCTGGCTTTATTAGCTTAGACAGTCACACTCAGTCTAAAACCAACCACCAGTATCGTCCCAACAGCTTAGAAATTCTTGATGATTCGGAGAAATGCACACTCTCACACTTTCTTCAGGAATGGGACCATGACTTAGTGGTTTAAGGTTTGAGACTTGTTAGAGGATCAATCTACTGGTCCTGTCTTGTGGAGCAAATGTCTTTGTCTCCACCAGGGATGGGTTATCTGCACTATCCGTAGCTACACATAACAGCCATGATATTTTGCCTGTAGGATTTCAGAAATTTTTTCTCCTTCCACTTTCTATTTTTTCCTTTCTTGTCAACATTCTGCACTGTAGTCATTATACAGGTACTTTCAGAGGTCTGTGAGGAGCTTTTTCCTCTTTTTTTTTACAGGGTCAAGTATGAAGTATGCCTGATTTGCAGTTACATGTAGATTACTCCATGCAATGGGAAAGGGATACCAGTCCAGCCAGTCGTATTGGAGACAGACCCGACTCACACTCATTCAGAAACATATTAAAACATTCTTTTTCCTTCTCACTTTTCCATAGTTCCCGTCTCATTAGGAGTGCATCATTGCCTCTCTGATAAAGTTATTCTGATGAATTGTACCAGTACTTTGTATAATGAGTCTTTGACGTTACATCAGTTGTCGGCTCTAAATTGTACGTATTTTGCTGTTCACACTTACAGCTCAAACCTGCTTGGGCGCTGTGAGCCTGACTGCCTGTGTTAATGGCGAATGCATCTTCACTGCCTGGGTGTGTGACGGAGTGGTGGATTGTCAGGATATGTCAGATGAGTCAGATGCAACCTGCTTGGATAATGGTAAGAAGCCTGAAATGAAATTTAATGGTCAGATAAGAAAAGGGGGCAAGATTGGGACTGGTCTCCAATTTGGTATCTGTCTCTCGTTCATCTTTAATTCATCTTTCATCTTGAATTCAAGTCAACTCAGGAATTTATCATCACTTTAGAGAAGAAGAAAAGAGACTCTCAAGAACAGAGGAATTCTGTCTGTCCCCCATGGGGTTAACTTATTCAGTCGATGAAGTTTTTAAAAAGGCTTAAAACTCCATGACTTTTCTTGGAAGTTTTTTTTCAGTGAAGGCACGTCCTATTGAACAATGGCATTACATATACATGTATGTCCGTTCATTTGTTTCTGTATGTTACGAGTACATCGGCATCACATTTTCTTCATTTTCTTTGGTTCTGGAGAGAAGTCCAGTCCTGTTCTTGTATTTTTCTCTAAGATGTTCTCCCTAAGGTGTTCTGGGAGGATAGGCTACCTCACTGGAATTGGATGTAAAACCTAATAAAACTCTCACCGTCCCATGGTTTTCAAATTGCCTGCATCACGTTTTAATGGGTTCAATGAATGAATCATAATGAAGGTTCAAGCTCTGCAAATTTGAGTTCACGGTAGAGTCCTTTCTTTGTGCTTAAAAAAAGGGGGTCTTCTGAGAATTTGCACCTTTACCGGTAGCATACGTGATTGCAACCTTTGCCTTTTTTGCTACCCTGCTAGATTTTTTTTTATTGGAGAATGCTGCTCTGCGGGCAGAAACTTTAGTGATCAGTGCTTTTTTTTAGCGAAGTTGTGTGAATTTTGCTGTTTGGTATTTGCAGTGACTGCCTGTGATTCTTCTCCGTGTCTGAACGGTGGTGTCTGCACACCCATCCCTAGAACGAACGCCCATGTTGCACTGTTCAACTGTACCTGCCCTTACCCATACTCTGGTGCTATCTGTGAGATGATGCTCACCACAACCCCACCACCAGTGATATCCACCGAAATGCTCACAAGGACAGATGTTGCAGTCACCACAAATCCACCTGTGCTGCCGACAAGTAGTAGCTCACAGCTTACCACAAGCAGTAGCTCACAGCTTACCACAGCTGCGCGGACCGAAGCGTCCGGCACGACAGCGCAGGTACGAACACCAGAAGTACCCATTGCAACCCAGGAGCCCCAGGTTACTACAGCCAAGCCACCCACTGGAACCCAGCAGCCACTTGTCACGACAATACACGCACCCATTGAAACCCAGGAGCCGCTTGTCATGATAACGCAGGCACCCATTCAAACCCAGCAGCCACTTACTACGACCAAGGCACCCGCTGAGACCCATGAGTTGCCTCTTATCCTGTCAGAACCCACCACTAAATCGCCAGGCGATACCTCAGCAAGACAGACCTCAAATACACCAAGTGCAAGAACTACGCAAAGTGAGCAGACCATATTGACACAGTTGCCTCAGTCCACGGATTCCAATGCGTGCATTCCAGATCCCTGCACTAATGGTGCAACGTGTGTGGCATTACCAGATGGCTTTGTGTGTCAGTGTCCTCTAGGATTTGAAGGTATAATTTTCCACACTGTTTTCAACTCACTTCCTGCTTTGAGTTTTTGTCTGAGTGTTCACATTTTGGATATTGTTGGCAGAGATTCAAATATCACATTCAATTGTTTGTCAACATCGATATTGTTCTTCCATTCTGTTATTTTGGACCTTACATGTACATGTATCTTAAGCCAGTTTTTCTTCTTTGTATGTACATGTTGGTAATTTTTTTGTGAGGTTTTACATGTATGTTAGTTTTTGTCTACTTTGTGAAGGGTATCGATATTGCTTCCTGAAAAGAATTCGATCGCCTATTACTAAGTTAACATAAAAATTCATGTAAAAGAGGATTTGATTCTTTTCCTTTGTATCGTGCCCTTGATGCATGTATATGTGGATTTCTTGCAAAGTTAAACATGAATAGTACACTAGTTCCACCTTTTAGCCTCTTCTGACATGTCCTGCGGGAAAAAGTTTCAACAGTGTGCTATTGTGGCATTTTTGTTGAAAAACTACACTAATAATAATAAAAGTAATAATAATTTATTCATTTATAAAGCACAAATTACATACAGATACATGTACGTGTATATTCATATGTGCTGTACATGTGCATTGAAGACATTGAGCATGGTCGAGCGAATGGCATACATGTAAAAGGGTGCCTCAGGCAGCTGCCAAACGACCTACATGTACATGTACATCCACCTACATCTGTAGAGAGGAGACAATAAGATGCATTTACAGTTTTAGAGGTGGGAGGAAACCTCACAGAAGAAATTTCTTGGTAAAACCCATGGAATCAGTTAGGGACTTAAAACCCAATCCACGTGTGGACTGAGCCGGGAATCGAACCCGGCCGGAAGAGGTGAAAGACGAGGAAAGAAGTACTACCCCAACCCAACTCCCCACTCACTCACAGCTACATTCAACAAATTGCAGCAGAGTTGGTTTTTGAAAACTCAAAATGTGTGGCTGTACTGATTAAAAAAGTCAATACTACATGTATTCCATTAATTTTCATTCCATTCAATGTCTAAATCTATTGATTGCTGTGACTAATACGATTGCTACTGGTACTTTGCTGGTTTAATTAAACTAACGACTACATTCAACAAATCTCAAGCAGCGTTGGTTATTGAAACTCAAAATATGCAGCTACTGATAAAAAAGGTTTGAAGTGCTTCAATCATCACATCCTACATTGTATCTCTCCACCTGTGTTGCTGTGATGTTGACCTCGCCTTGACCTTTGACCTATGCACCTTGTCGGACTTCCCTTCACTTGCCAACCCCACCCTGCATGCTGTGTGTAAGAGCATCAATTCTTTAATTCTCATTGTGTGATTATTAACCTTCAAATAATAATTTGTTAAATTTGGAAGTGGGTTTCCTAACTTTAAAGATGGGGGAAATACGTGATACTGTAGTGATGTGCAGTGAAAAGAAGAATTTTATGATATGGTTCGCTACATGTACGTGTAAGGAAAACATATTGAAGAACATTGTTACATTGTACAATGTACAACAGGTGTTTTGTGTTTTTCTTGTCAGTGTTTTCTGTGACTTTCATTGACTGTTTCAATTTCAGTGATTGTAAGGTACTTGTAGATGTACAAAAGAAAAAAAACCGCAATTGCGTCATGATTGTATAGTTTAGTCAATAACATAAAAAGTAATGAAAAAAGTTACATGATAAAATGGACGCGAGGGCGAGACAGATGGATAAAACTGTCACCATCACTGTTTCAAATAGGATTAAGTGACTACAGTTTTTGAACATACTTTTGTATCAGTGACCGTTATGTACATGTACATGTATGTCAAAAACAGTTATCTTGAAAATTGAGCTCATGAATCCAGTTTCTGGCTGACAAGATTTGTACTCGCATTGGCAGGAGTAACTTGTGCCCGGGCTGTCCTGAACGCTTGCAGTAGCTCTCCCTGTGGTAACGGAGGCCTGTGCCTGCTGGACCCCAGTGGTTACCACTGTGAGTGCTTCTCCGGTTTCTCAGGTGCAAACTGCGAGACCGATCTCTGCGGCTGTCAGAACGGAGCAACTTGCGTCACTGAGACGAGTGGCGTGAGGTGTGTCTGCGCGGACGGCTTTGAAGGTGTGTGGGCTGTGAGATGTTGGGACTTTGCATTTGGTGTGGAATGTTTTCATGCACAAAACCCTGTGCATATTGTTGAAAATATGGCTCACTTTTACATGTAGATCTGTGGAAGTCTGTTATTTTCATAACTTTGTCCAAAAGTTGTGGCTGACCCAAAAAAGCCACTACATGTAGCTTGTGGCAAAAGAAAGAGCTCAAATTCCTCAATGTAATACAAAGTAAAACTCAAAAGTAGCTGCGGAGACGTGTGACTCATTTTTATAGAGCGGGCCACAAGTACATGTGGATCTAGACACAAGACACATACTTCAAGATTCATGTATGGATATGCGGCTTGACAGGCCTGTGCAGAAAGAATATTATGCATTTTGTAATGTGTTAAGTTGTGTTTGTTATGGTTCTTTTCTGGCTGTAACATTGAAGGCATTAAGAGGCAGTTTGGTTAAAAAAGAATGTGCGCTCAGTGCTTCTGCAAACTTGATAATTTCATGAGTAGTGCTACATGTATATGTTCTTTTGCCTTCCATCACCAATTCTATCTAGTGGTGGGGCCATCTGACCCTTTGATTCCATTTGTTTCTTCCAGGCACTAACTGTGAAACCAACATCGACGAATGCGCCAGCAACCCCTGCACAGCATTGGCAACTTGCCAAGACGGGGTCAACGACTATGCCTGCGTCTGTCCTGCGGGTCTCTTTGGGCCCGACTGCACAGATGAGGTGGACGAGTGCACCTCCGGTCCATGTCTCAACGGGGCTGTGTGCGAGGACCGCTTGGGGGGATTCATCTGCCTGTGCCCGCCAGGGCTGGCAGGTCTGACATGTTCAGATAACATAAACGAATGCAGCAGCCTGCCCTGCCAAAATGGGGGTGAGTCTGAATTTCTGCTGGGAGTAATTTAGCCTACTGGAGGAGATACATGTACAGTTTGCCTGTGGTACATGTATGTTTTATGATGAATATTGCTCATGGCTGGTTCTTTCCTGGTAGGGCCAAAAAAAGTTTGGCTCCCTCTTACATGCACTTGGCATCTGAAAACAAAGTGGGTAGGTAGGGAATTTTTATTGGCACCTTTTCCAATTCTGATTTAGTGTGCAGCTGAGTGTCAACTGGTTAAAATAGCAACAGCAAGAGAGGTCAGGTGATGTATGTTTCAAATGAAATGAATTCCGCTTGAAAGGGTACAGGTTGCCAGCATAAATAATCCCTTTGAATGTTTTTGCTTCATTCAAACTAAAATAGACATATTTTGTGTCTTTATTCAGTTTAGTGTTTTCCTAATACCTCGATCCCAAAGAGTCAAGGCTTCAAAAGATGGATCAATCAAAATTTACCGGAGAGTATGATTCAGCGTGCATGCTGACTGGAAAGGAAAAAGGTTCTTGGGTTGTTTTAGCAATGGCTGAAATTTTATTTAGAACCGTTAGAAATACCGGAATTTGTCGTCAATTTTTATATTGTTCTTTCAATAGGTACTTGCATTGATGGTATTAACAGCTACACATGTAACTGTCTGGATGGCTTCACTGGTATCCATTGTGAGAACGACGGGGACCAGTGCGCAAGCAACCCTTGCAACAATGGGGGGACATGCCAGGACCTGGTCAAGGCGTACCGCTGCATCTGCCCGGCTGGTCTGGCAGCTGGGCTGCGGTGCGACACAGACCTCATCAACGAGTGCGTCAGCGATCCTTGCCTGAATGGGGGTGTGTACCTGATAAGAAAAAAACAAGATTTTTCATATATTGCCTTCAATGTAACTTTGCTCACTGTAAGTAACAATGCAAAATATGACTGGTATGTTTTGGTCTTTTTACCTTTTCCAGGGAGCTGTATAAATGATTTTGGTGGCTATCGGTGCAACTGCACACAGGGTTGGTTTGGGACCAACTGTGAGGATGATGGGGACCAGTGTGTCTCTTCTCCTTGCCTGAACGGAGCGACTTGCCTGGATGGAATCATGTCCTACACCTGCGAATGTGTACCTGGATACAATGGTGAGAATTTCCACAAGTCTCATGTTATCCCAATTGTCATTCAGATGGTCTCAGTTTTATCACAGTAAAGGAATAATTTTGTTTGTTACATGTATATATATTGGCCTGTTTGCCACCATTGACTTGTTAATATTAGCACAGTGTATGTGTAAATGATAACAAAGAAGTTTATTTACAAAGACGTTTTAAAGATTTTGACTGCAAAATGGGTCTTCAAGAATCTTCTGTTGTACATGTTCAAAAATCTAGTATTACTCATTGAAACTTGCTGTCACATTTCCAGTTGACCCAAGGATATTGATAGAAGTAGGACTAGGACTCAATCCTCCAACCGCCAGGGGCACGTTCTCTTGAACAATATTCTATGTACTGACACCTACATGTACATGTACCTACATGTACCTAACAAAGGTATTCAGGGTATACCAAGACCGGCATACATATTGTGCTGTTGAACATGCCCTGGAATATTGCACTTATGCTGTACCGACAAAGCTGTCCAGTATTAATGATCTAATAAATTGTCAGTGCTTCGTTTATTCATAATTTATCAAAACAAATTTATCAATATTCATACGTAACATTTGTTTTTAAAATAAACATCTCCCTGACACGAAACACATCTTGAAATTACCAATGTGTGTTTAGGTTTGTTCATGTTGGTTTGCCTAATTTGCCTGAGTTTGTGAGAAACGTAACAGTTACTGGTTATGAAGTGGTATTGTAAGAACATTAGTTTAATTTGTAATTGGTGTAGACGAGGATCAATTCAGTTGATTGTTTTTTTCTTGTGATTTCATTTCAGGTACAAACTGTGAACAAGATCTGGATGAGTGCGTTAGCAACCCATGCCACGAGACGGCAACGTGCGAGAACCTCGTCAATGAGTATCTCTGTATCTGCCCAGATGGCTTCTCAGGGGACGCTTGCGACGTTGACATTAATGAATGTGCAAGCAATCCGTGCGTTAATGGATTGTGCCAGAACAATGTGGCCTCGTTCATGTGTTTCTGTCTCCCTGGGTATATTGGTACTACTTGCGAAGTGCAAGTAAACGAGTGTGGGAGTAACCCTTGTGGAGTGAATGGAGCCTGCGTTGACCTTGTCAATCAATTCCGTTGTGACTGTGAACCTGGCTACGCGGGGGATCGCTGTGAAATGGATATTGACGAATGCGCAGGGAACCCTTGTATGAATGGTGCGACCTGCCGTGATCTTATTGCAAGGTTTGAGTGCACGTGCTTCCCTGGCTTCACTGGAACTCTGTGCGAGAATGATTTCAGGGAGTGCGATAGTTCGCCGTGCGAGAACAATGGAACCTGTAACGAGGGGACAAATGGCTATACTTGCAGCTGCAGCCCGGGGTTTGCAGGCACACACTGTGAAATTGACTTTGATGAGTGCAGGAGCCAGCCCTGCCAGAATGGTGCTACTTGCCACGATCGCGTAAATATGTTTGAGTGCGAATGCGCTCCTGGATACAGAGGGACGCTGTGCGAACAGAACATCCCAGAATGCAACAGTGAGCCGTGCTTGAATGGCGCGACCTGCATCGACGAAGTGGGTTCCTACATCTGCATTTGTGTCGTCGGTTACAGCGGATTCAACTGCGAGATACAAGTTGATGAGTGTGAAAGTAGTCCTTGCATGAATGGCTCGACGTGTGTAGACATGATTAACTCTTTCAGCTGCCAGTGTGTGGTTGGATATGTAGGCTCACTATGTGAAATTGAGGTCAATGAATGTCAGAGCAATCCCTGTCTGAACAACGCAGTGTGCATCGATGATGTTGGCCGCTACTCCTGCCGATGCAGTGGTGGATTCACTGGCGTGAACTGCGAAGCCGAAATAGTAGAATGTGCCAGCCAACCGTGTCAGAATGGAGCCACTTGCATTGAGCTAGTCAATGCCTACAGCTGTGTGTGCCCGCTTGGATACAGTGGCATCAACTGTGAGCAAGACTTTGACGAGTGCGCCAGCCAGCCTTGTCTTTTCAACGGTACATGTACGCAAGGCCTAGGGTTTTTCTCCTGCCAGTGTCAGCCAGGGTACGGAGGGGCGAGGTGTCAGGAGAACATTGATGAGTGTGCAAGTGATCCGTGCTTGAATGGTGCCCGCTGTTTGGATGCAGTGAACGGCTTTGTCTGTGGCTGCCTGGGAGGGTTTGAAGGTGAGCAGTGTCAGGTAGATATCAATGAGTGTGCCAGTGGTCCGTGCCAAAATGGTGCCACTTGTCGAGATGTAGTGAATGGCTACACCTGCGACTGTACCCCAGGTTTCGTGGGTCCTGACTGCCAAGTCAACATCAATGAGTGCATCAGCAATCCTTGTCAAAACGGCGCTACCTGCTCCGATGGGGTAAACGGTTACCGATGCCTCTGCGCATCAGGCTTTGTCGGTCTGTTTTGTGAACGGGAGACGCAAGAGTGCGCCAGCAACCCATGCCTGAATGGGGCGACCTGCAATGACCTCGTTGATTCCTACTCCTGTGCCTGCCCTGCCGGCTACGAGGGCGCTAACTGCGAGATGGAAATCAATGAGTGCCAGAGCTCACCTTGTCTGAACTCGGGCACCTGCCAGGATGCGTTCTTGGGTTTTACGTGCTTGTGCATATCTGGATATCAGGGTGCGCGGTGTCAGGAGGAGGTTGATGAATGCAGGAGCAACCCCTGTCAAAATGGAGCCACCTGTGAAGATTTCTTTGACCGGTACGAGTGCCGGTGTGCCGGGGGATTTTCCGGCGCCAACTGCCAGGTGGATATTACAGAGTGCGCCAGCAGCCCGTGTGTGAATGGCCAGTGCGTTGACGAGGTGAACGGCTACCGGTGTGTATGTCCAGTCGGGTTTGTTGGGACGCGCTGTGAGGAAGAGGTGGACGAGTGCCTGAGTAGTCCTTGCCAGAACAGTGCCATTTGCTTGAATCTGATTGGTCGGTTTGAGTGCCGGTGCCTGATGGGATGGGAGGGGACTCTATGCGAGATTGATGTTGACGAATGCGCAAGCAACCCTTGCCAGAATGGTGCTTCGTGTACACAGTCAATCGGCAATTACACCTGTGATTGTTTGGATGGCTATGAAGGGCCAAACTGTGAGGTCAACATTAACGAGTGTGCCAGCAATCCGTGCCGCAATCAAGCTGTCTGCTCTGATCTGGTTAATATGTATAATTGCTCCTGTCTTCCTGGTTACGTGGGAGAGAACTGTGAGTTTGAGGTCAATGAGTGCTCCAGTAACCCCTGCTTGAATGGGGCAGAATGCAGAGATAGGCCAAACGGTTTCCTTTGCATCTGTGACCCTGGATTTAATGGCGATCTCTGCGAGACAAACACCCAGGAATGCCTAAGCAGCCCCTGCCAGAATGGTGCCCAGTGTGTAGATCGTGTCAATGCATACTCCTGCACATGCACTGCTGGATACAGTGGAACCAACTGCGAGGTCAACATCAATGAGTGTGCCAGCAGTCCCTGCCAGAACGGAGCCCGCTGTCGGGATGTGGTCAATGGGTACCAGTGTCTGTGCCCTGCGGGGTACCAGGGAACTCACTGCGAGATCAACATTGATGAATGTGGAAGTGGCCCCTGCTTCAATGGAGCAACCTGCATGGATGGAGCCAACAGTTACACCTGTGCATGTGCTCCAGGGTTTGAAGGGGCACGATGCCAAGCCAACATTGATGAGTGTACATCACAGCCGTGTTTGAATGGTGCCCAGTGTGCTGATGGGATCAACAGTGTTGTGTGCACCTGTCTGTCTGGATTCACAGGATCAACTTGTGAAACCAACATTGACGAATGCTCAAGTAATCCGTGTACTAATAATGCCACCTGCAGAGATCTTGTCAATGAGTTTGAGTGCCTCTGTGTGGCTGGATATCAGGGAATTACTTGCGAGCAGGATGTCTTGGAATGCGTCAGTAGCCCTTGCCAAAATGGGGCCACCTGTGTGGACCGAGTCAGTGGCTATACTTGCGAGTGTCGGCCAGGGTTTGAAGGCACCCACTGTGAGATTAACATTGACGAATGCGCCAGCTCGCCCTGCACCAACGGCGCCACCTGCCAGGATGTGGTCAACGGCTTCACCTGCATCTGCCCAGCGGGCTACCAGGGGTCAGAGTGCGGGGAGGACATCCGCGAGTGCGACAGCAATCCTTGTCAGAACGGTGCCACCTGTCTGGACCAGGTCAGCAGCTACGCCTGCGTGTGCGTGCCAGGCTATGCGGGGCTGCACTGCGAACTGGACATCAATGAGTGCGTCAGCAACCCGTGCAGGAACGGGGCCCAGTGCCACAACCGGCTCAACAGCTTCTTCTGCATGTGTCCCGACGGCTTCAATGGCACGTTTTGTGAGATGGACATCAACGAGTGTGCGAGTTCTCCCTGTCGGAATGGAGCCATCTGCCGGAACCTTGTAAATGGCTTCAACTGCGATTGTCGTCTTGGTTTCCAGGGAACCAACTGCGAACTGGAGGTAGACGAATGCGCGAGCAACCCCTGTCATAACAATGCCACTTGCACAGATGCTGTCAATCACTACGAATGCATTTGTAGCAGTGGTTACGAGGGAGCCCTCTGTGACCAAAACATCAATGAATGCCAGAGTAATCCATGCTTGAATGGTGCTCAGTGTGTGGACCAGATAGCCGAGTACCGGTGTGAGTGCGCGGAGGGTTTCGTTGGCACCACGTGTAACATGGAAATTAACGAGTGCTCTAGTAGCCCGTGCCAGAATGGGGCTACCTGTGAGAACCTAGTGGCTGGTTTCAACTGTCGGTGCGTGACCGGGTTTATCGGTGAGCAGTGTGAGACAGACGTGCAGGAATGTGGGAGTTCCCCGTGCCAGAATGGTGCAGTCTGCATGGACGGAATCAACAGCTACATGTGCGTTTGCAGGCAAGGATTCATGGGTACCCACTGTGAGAGGGAAATCAACGAATGCAGTAGCAACCCCTGTCAGAACGGTGGTGTGTGCTCCGATCTTGTGGGCCAGTTTCAGTGTCAGTGTCTGCCCGGTTATGCGGGCGAACGTTGCCAGGCTGACATTGATGAGTGCGCCAGCGACCCCTGCCAGAACGGCACAGCGGAATGCGTAGACCTGATAAATGCATTCAATTGCGTTTGCCTAGAAGGGTTTGAAGGTAAGCAATGCGAAGTCAATATCAATGAATGCGGTGACAGTCTGTGCTTGAACGGAGCTCGCTGTGTAGATTTGATCAATTCTTACAGGTGTGAATGTGCTGCCGGGTTTAATGGTGTTAACTGCTCAGTTGAAATAGATGAGTGTCTCAGTGGCCCATGCTTAAACGGTGCCTCCTGCAATGATAAAATTGCAGGATATAATTGTACTTGCCTGCCTGGATTTACGGGCCGGAACTGTGAGATTGAAATCCAAGAATGTGCCAGCGATCCTTGTTTGCATGGTGCAACTTGTCGTGAAGAAATCAGTGGCTATACTTGCTTGTGTCTTGATGGCTTTAGCGGATCTTTCTGTGAAGTAAACATTGATGAGTGTGCATCCAACCCCTGTGTGAATAATGGAACCTGCCAAGATGCCGTGGACAGATACTCGTGCCTCTGCGATCCTGGATACCAAGGCGCAAACTGTGAAGTCGATGTTGATGAATGTGCCAGCGACCCTTGCCAAAATGGGGCAACATGTGTCGACTCCCGGAATCGCTTCCTGTGCGAGTGCCTCCCAGGCTTCAACGGCTCGCGCTGCGAAGTAAACATCAACGAGTGTGCCAGCAACCCGTGCTTGAATGGCGGGCAGTGCACTGACCAAAATGATGCCTTTGTCTGTACCTGTGTGAGTGGCTTTGTCGGGGATCAGTGCAAGACTGATGTCGACGAATGCCAAAGTTCCCCCTGCGTAAACAACGCGACTTGTCAGGACTTGCTGAGTGGTTACAATTGCCTCTGCGTGCCAGGGTTCAGTGGTACCCGCTGTGAGACAGACATTCAGGAGTGTGGAAGCCAGCCATGTGAGAATCGAGCCACCTGCCTGGACATGGTCAATGGCTTCAGATGCAACTGTACACCAGGCTTTACAGGTGACCAATCAATGAGATCTAACTTGGTGTATCATGGTCCATCAGACTTAAGTTCTTCAAACTGTTCCCTGTCTTCCAGTCTCTGCTTCTTTTGAATTGCTAGATCAATGTTCCTACATGTGCTTTTTAATCTTTAAATGACTGAATTAGCCAAGCTTGGAGGTACATGTAGTTGATTCCATTTTTGCAGATACCCCCTGATTGCTCCTGTCATTCTTAATCCTCCTATAATTTGCTGTTTCTGTGTTTGTAACTGTCATCTACCGGTACATGTCACTGTCATTGTCATTGTCACCACCATCACACCACATTCACTTTGGTATACTGTAGCTGGTACTACTTGTATCACTGTTTCCACTTAGTGAATTATTTGGACTTTTTGCCTATTTGCTTTTTCTTTTTGGATTTCTAAAATTTGTAGCTTTTTTTCCATGTGCCACGTGCCTTTTCATTGTTCCAATTTGAATAGCTTTTATCAGCTATCAGGGTTTACTCTTAGAATCCCCAACCGATTGCTGTGTGCCGCCCCTTTCCCCATGTCAAGCTTCTGAAATTGCTATCATTCTTTAAAATTGGTGTGCAATCTGTGTTTCCCCCCCATGTGTCAAAGGTGACTTGTGTGAGACGGACATCAACGAATGCAGCAGTGCACCTTGTATGAACAGAGCAACTTGCCAGGATCTGATTGATGAATACCAGTGTGTCTGCCCGCTTGGTTTCTATGGCAACAATTGCCAGAATGAGACAGACGAATGCCTGAGCAACCCTTGTCTCAATTCGGCCACTTGTGTGGACGTCGTCGCTGGTTACGCTTGTGCTTGCATCCCGGGTTATACCGGGTTGAACTGCGAGAGTGAAGTACAGGAGTGTGTCAGCAACCCGTGTCGGAATGGCTCGACGTGCTTGGAAGAGATCAACGGGTTTTTGTGCGTGTGTCCCATTGGCTATGATGGTGACCTTTGTCAGAACAATATCGATGAGTGTGCATCGGACCCCTGCATGAATAATGGAACCTGCCAGGAGCATGTTGGCTTGTACACCTGTCTGTGTCTGTCAGGGTACGAGGGAGTGAATTGCGAGACTGACATCAAAGAATGCGCGAGCGATCCCTGTCAGAATATGGCCATTTGTCGAGACTTGGTGGACCGCTTTGAGTGCGTCTGTGTTCCTGGCTACGAGGGCGCCCTCTGCCAGACTGACATCAATGAATGTGACAGCAGCCCGTGCCTCAACAGTGGGCGCTGTGTAGACCAGCTGAATGCCTTCTTCTGCAGTTGCGTGACGGGCTTCACAGGAGAGCGCTGTGAGATCCCCGTGGACGAGTGCGAGAGCAACCCTTGTCAGAATGGCGCTACCTGCCAGGACTTCTTCAACGGCTACATGTGCCGCTGCGCGCCCGGCTTTTTAGGAACGCATTGCGAGGTGGACAACCCGGAATGTGCCAGCGACCCCTGCCTCAACGGGGCAACATGTGTGGACCAGGTCAACGGCTACAGATGCGACTGCATGGCCGGCTATGCAGGTGGTATTGCGTGATGTGCCTTCTTACGGCCTGCAAACACCCACTTGGTGATGGGAACCACTTGCACCATATTCTATGACACCTGTTTCTTACACAGCCATTCATCTATTCGTCCTTTCACTGCCATCACAATAAATTTTCAGTTAATATCATAACTCCTGCCGTGTCTCTGTATCCTGACTTCTTGAGTGAACAGCACTTGTCTTTGTCTTTTACACTTGTACCCACTTCTTACATGAGTTCATGAATTCACCATTTCAAATTATACAACCATGAAACAACTAAGATGTAGCCAATGGGCATGTATTACCAGTATATGGTATGCGGACTGAAAACAAGATCACCACAGATTTTGATCAATGATCATTACAGATCAATGTTGTAGTGATAATTTAGCATGTGTGGAGAAAGAACAAAAATCTCATTTTTTCTCATTATATTTGAAGCTTTTTTTTTTTATTCTAGTGCATCCTAAATGATACCAGTTTATTTTCCTTGGGTGAAACCTTGGTCATGTTAGTTTGAATTACTGGATGGCATTCCTGCCTGACTAATGATAATAATATGCCTGTCTGCAACCTATTGAGAGTGCTGCAGATAGCTTTCTATCTGAGATGTGAAAACAGAGAGTTGTGACTTGTAACATATGAAGAAAGTGGACCATATGAGGTTGTATTCACATTGTCTTGTTGGGAGTGATGCTGCAACCCTGCCTCATTGCTCTTGCAAACCATGGCGTTCTGTCATGGTTGACCTGGAAGTAGGGCATTTTTCTGAGTATCATGGGTTGAATCTAGCACTCCTTGTCCCCCCCCTCCCAAAAAAGAAAATTAAATTGCGACTGCAGCATTTGATGAGATATTTGTAACACTTTTCATATAAGGATATGAGAAGTGTTACTCATTTCGTATCTAATTTTGTTCAGCAACGGTCCTGAAGCGATACCTGACTTGACCCTATTTTGTGTCTGGATATTAACATCAGTTTTGTACCTTTTATTTTGGGTTCGTTTGGTTGCGTGTAGCTTACATGGGGCAACCCTATTCAGGGGATGGCCTTGTCTGCTGGGTCAAATAAGTAAGATAGTGGGGAAGAGGTTAAATTCTGGTCAGCCCTTGGAAGCCAGTTGAATGCACCCTAAACAGTCACTTTTGGTGAACATTGGTTTTCATTTTTGTTAAAAAAACTTGACTTTTCTTACGTTTCATTGCATGTAACTGACACGTTTCACTTCTAACACGGGCCCTCTATGCCAAAGTTACAATTTCTTGCATTTTGTGTGGTGCTGCATATTGTTTACCGTTTACTTTCACCATTTTTACAAGCCTACGGATTTGCGATAACTGAACTTAGAACACATTTCACAGTTTCCGAGCTCATCTTTTCATCAGGAGGCAACTGCGAGACGAACGTGGACGAATGCGCATCCGGTCCCTGCGAGAACGGAGCCACTTGCCTGGATGACGTCAACGGATATGACTGCATCTGCATTGCGGGCTACAATGGGACAAACTGTGAGGTGGAGACCGACGAGTGCGCGAGCAACCCCTGTCAGAACGAGGCCTTCTGTAGTGACCTCCTGGCTGGCTATCGCTGCACCTGTCGACCAGGATTCATGGGTGAGAATAAAGACTTTAAAAAATTATTGGCAAAAGCCTCTCATTCGGATGAGATTTAACCCCTTCACACTGGGAGACGTCAACAGCCATGGCTTTGTGTGAGTATTAGTGCACACCACACATACATTCTATTCGTCATGCACCTGCGGTTTTAATGTGGGCCTGCTGCTGGACAGAGCTTTGCATACTGGGCATACCGCAGCCCAGCAGTCGCAGTCAAAAGAATCCCGGTGTTAAGGGTTTAAGACATTGTCTTGTTTTGTAAAGTCTTGGTTTTGCTAGACATGTCAAACATACAAAAAATGGTAACACGGAAAAAACAACGTAAATAAGATGTGTAAAAACACACCCAAGATGCATGATTCAGGTATTAAATGTAAGATTTTATGAGGTGCAAGACTAAATTTGAATACACTTAAATCAGAATGATGTCAAGCTTTGTTTACATATGCGTGGACTTCCCCATGGGGGCGTGATAGATCTTGTTGCTCATTATTGCCAAAGGAAAGCGTACATGTCAACAAAGTGTGACATTGTGGTGTTATTGGTCTGTTGAATATGCAGGACTTCTAATGTTTGTGATAGGAAAAACTTGTTATTCTTGTCAGACGGTTAAAATTATACTTCAGTAATAAACTAAACAGAAAAAACTAACGAGTAAATTTGCTAGACTCACAAAATTATATGCAAGACCTGTTATAAATGATTGATGCTTGTATTTGATGTAAGACCAGTTTTGCCTATGAAATGTGAAAATCACAAATCCAGGGTGTACATTGTGAGATGGGAAAAAAATTTCACACACCGATTTCCGAAGGCAATATTTGAATTGTAACATTTTCCAAACTTTTCATCAGGGACACATTGTGAAGTCAACATTGATGACTGTGAGGGTGTGGTGTGCACCAACGGCGCCACCTGCGTGGATGGGATAAACACTTACATGTGCGTCTGCCCTGCGGGCTTCACTGGTGCCCTGTGTAACGTGGAAATCAATGAATGCGCCTCGACGCCCTGCTTGAACCAGGGGACCTGCACGGACCTGGCTGCCAGTTACCGTTGTGACTGTCTGGTTGGCTTTGTGGGCAGCCGGTGTGAGACGAATGTTGATGACTGCATGAGTAGCCCTTGTCAGAATGGAGGTTAGTACTTGATCACAAGTAATAATACTTAAGTTGCATCCCATGATATTTTTGAGATAGTCATGCATATTTATTTTAAAAAAAAAGTACCTGACTCGGAAAGATAGTCTGTTGTATTTTTGCCCTTGATGTGAAACCTAGGCACATGTGTCGACCTGTTGAATGCATACCGCTGCGACTGTCCGGACGGCTTTGATGGACTTCACTGTGAGATAGATGGTGATCAGTGCATGCCAAACCCTTGTCTGAATGGAGCCAATTGCACTGACTTGGTCAAAGATTACAGGTGAGTGGTCTGTGTGTACGATCCCCTGACTGTACAGTACAGTTTGATGTGACTTCATTTATGATCAGGTACTCATGTATGTAGATAACTCTCAATTATATTTGGGAGATCTGGCTCATTCTGAATATTTTGTTTTACCATTTACAAATCTGTAAGGTGCAATTTACATGCAGGGAGATGCAGTCTTTCATTGGGGCTTTGTTTATAATTCTCCCCATTTTGTTTTTCCCTTCTTGCAGGTGTGAATGCACGGCGGAATTTAGCGGAACCAACTGTGAAACTGACATCATTGATCAGTGTATCAGTAACCCATGCCTCAATGATGGTAGGTCCAATTTCTTGAACTTACACGGAACTGACCATTTTTTTCCCCTTATTCCCGTGTCTGAAGAATTACTCTTTCCCTTCACAATGTCAGCAAATTTTGGGAGTGCTTGTAGCAAGTAATGACGAAGCTTGCCTTAACCACTTGCTGCTGGGGAGTCTGGTTTCGGGTACGTTTTCTTTATACACAAATCCGGGCTGCCCGAAATCGCACAAAAGAGCTGGGCCTTGTAACAAAAGACTGTACTCAGAACAAAAGACTGAGCTGCTGGGAATTGCCAACATTTTTTCAGTTGTCAATATTGGAGGAACTCCGTCATTGTTTTGAAAGATTATAACCACTGTTTGTGGCATTCAGCGCGAGCGGATTAACACCAGGAACAAAAGCGCTCCAGTGATATGTGATGCAATACCGCTGCACGTTAATCTGGCCCCTATTGAAAAGACGCCAGCAGTGCACTGTGCCAGTTTTGGAAACAAAAGAAAATTACATAACACCGCACAATCTGGGCTCTTTTTACAAGGCTGCAGGCCTGGCCGAAATACTCGCGTGTCAATAGATGTCTGTCAGATTAGAGTAGCCACCAGACAGTAATTTGTGTGGGCATAAACGTCCAGTAAATGAAGTTATGAATTTCCAAAGAATTTTAAAAATGAAGAATCTTGAAAATTCCCTGGTTTTACGTCATACAACTTCAGATTAAACTCGGCAGCAAGTGGTTAAAGATAAATTCTTGCTCACACAATCTTTAGTTGCTGGTGAAATGTGTCTGTTATTTCAGACTCAAAGCTTTAGGCTACCTAGTTCATGGCTTTAAAACGCCAGAGGAACATGAACACAAATGTGAGGCTCCTGTCCTAGCCAGCATTTTGAAATTGATGGATGTAGCTTGGGTGGAGTAGGGCTGACAGAAATATTAATCTGATCTGTTGAAGCTGAGTTATGACTAGAAACCTGTTGTGAGGATAAAGTAATGGCCCGTTTCTCCTGTCAGCCTGTTAGAAACCTTAAGATTGTTTCATCTCAACATTTGCAGGGACCTGTGAAAACCTGGATGGGGCTTACCACTGTATTTGTCTGCCGGAGTGGTTCGGAACCAACTGTGAATTTGATGGGGATCAGTGCCAGTCCAACCCATGCCAAAATGGAGGCACGTGTATGGATGGTCTGCAAAGGTTTATGTGCCTGTGTGCACCGGGATTTCAAGGTAGGTATTGAACTACAACCTTTACTTTGCTTTCCTTTATTCATTCCTGTCAGCTCTGTCAGTGGGTTTTTGTTGGGTATGCCCAACTCAGTCTGGAAATATTAGCGCTTGTGTGTGTCAATGTGAGGGAAGCAGTGGACAGGGCCAAGTGGCATAGAGCCTTAGCAAGAAAGCTGGCCAACACAGAACAGACTGGATAACGGCCTTTAAACCGAAGATGATGAGGGTGACGTGTCCTTATTACATCTCATGTATTGTCATGAGTAAACATGCCTCCCCCACCAGTAAAGATTCTATTCTGAGAAGTGAAAAGCAGCTCAATCGTCTATGTTTGCTATCGGTACCCGACTATCTGGTAAATGCTGGCTGTACACAAAATTTTTGACACTAGTTCATATTTTTTTCTCTCGTTGAAAACCAGCAGTGCTGTGTGCACAGGAAGGATCCTCTTTTTTAGCCTGACGACATGCCCCAGAATTGCTTTCAACCAAACTGCCCTAAATTGTTCTAACAATCCAACACCCGACTCGGAAGTATTGCAGTGTAATGGGAGATTTAGGGGAACACGTCTTTGTTGCTGTTAAAGAAGCCTTAAAGTTCCCAGGAGGGGTTTTATTGGATTTGTGTATTGGCTTCTGCGCATTTATGGAATTGGTAGGATGAAGCGCCAGGTTGTTTTGGTTGGTGGGTTTTAAACGTTAGCACCTTTATATCCTTTGCTGTGTTACTTAGGTCTACAGTGTCAGCTGAACATTGACGAATGCATCAGCAACCCTTGTGAGAATGGAGCCACCTGCGTCGATGGCCGGAACAGCTACACGTGTACCTGCACGCCTGGTTTCACCGGCACCCGTTGCGACTCGGAGCTCTTTGAGTGCGCCAGCAACCCCTGCATGAACGGCGCCACATGTCGGGATCGGGTCGGGGGCTATGAGTGCGACTGTCCGGTGGGTTTCAGAGGCGACCATTGCGAAGTCAATGTCAACGACTGCGTGGGAAATATGTGCCAACATGGTGCCATCTGCATTGATGGCATCAATAGTTACACTTGTCAGTGCGCCGAGGGATTTGAAGGCCTGTTCTGTCAGGTGAGCTGTTTTTGTATTTCCACCAAGGGATCATCTTCCTATAGATATGGAACATTGATTTTAAAGATCATTTTAAAGATTAGAATCGTTGATGAGTAAATTAATTATGCGGCATAGTGAAAGAGCTATTCCATGATGATGGGGCCAGTGGGCCTTATAAGCCTCACATGCTCAAAGGTTACCATGACAGCAAAATTAACAATAGTATCCTTTGTGACACTGTCTTAAACCTAAAGGTTACCTTAGAGTATGTGAAAAGTTATACTAAAATTGGAAGGTTGAATGCTAATATTAATGTTGTCAATTTGATGCTGAAAGATGAAAAGAAGGAATTGTCATTTTTTCATAGTTTAAACCCGCCAGAGCGATTCTTTTTTTTTTTGGTTGTAGAATAACATCAATGAGTGTGCCAACAGTCCTTGTCAGAATGGTGCAGCATGCCAAGATTTATTTGGGGGTTTCAACTGTGAGTGTGCTGCTGGCTTTGAGGGAGTCCTTTGTGACACGGACATCGATGAATGCGGGTCCAACCCGTGCCAGAACGGCGCCACGTGCGAGGATGGTGCAAACGCCTTCGCCTGCCGCTGCCTCCCAGGGTTTGTGGGGCTGCTGTGCTCGTCAGACGTGGACGAGTGCGCCAGCAACCCCTGCCTGCAGTCCGGCACCTGCACGAACCTTGTTAACGGCTATGTCTGCGCCTGCCGAGATGGCTACCAAGGTGACCATTGCCAGACTGAGATCCAAGAGTGCCTGAGCCAGCCATGCTCGAACGGCGGGACATGCGTGGACCTCATTGCGAGGTATCGCTGTGATTGCCTACCCGGTTATGCAGGAGTCAACTGCGAGATTCAGATCAATGAGTGTGTTAGCAATCCCTGTAGGAATGGAGGTAGGACTGAGATTTGTTTTAATGATCGAAGAACAAGTTTGTTTTTCAACAGTGCAAGTTTGTTGTGGAATAGTGCCAGCGGCAAGTGGTTTAACCACGGACCATTTACCCAGGGATGTGCAACCGCGAGTGGCCCCAGTGCAAACACATGTGCGACCTTGGTTCCATGCGTGTTACGGATTGTTATAACCCCCGCAGGTGCTCTTGACTTTCTCGAAAAAACTCGCGACCTCATGACACGTGTTGCAGCATGCAGCATGTACAGCGCAGCCGTGGTTATGCCGAGATGAAGCACCGATGCGGTGCTTAAATCTATTCATTTTGACGTATAAATCTTCTTCACTTATCGATTTCAAGGACAAACGAAGTTTTAATGAGGCAAAATCTCCAAATTTTGTGGTACACTTTTCTCAGAATGTATAGGATGAAATATCTTGAGAAGCATATTTTTAGAAAGGGTGTACCCTGACTTGAAATATTACAAGAAAACAAAGTGGTAGACAGGAATATATGTTTTATTATTAGAGAAAGTGTTACATAATCCAATTTAATTTCTGCTTTGATATTTTGCCAGCCGTAACACGCACCGAACCAGCTCTGAGCTTAAGTTGCACATCCCTGGGGTAAATGGTCCATGGTTTAAAGGAGTAAAATGTGTTTGGTTTGTTGTCGTATAGGTCAGTGCCAGGACTTGATAGCTGGTTACCGCTGTGCCTGCCCATCAAACTATGCCGGTCCCACCTGCGATGTATTCCTGGACGTCTGCTCGTCCAACCCCTGCAAGAACGGTGGCCTCTGCCAGAACAGTGGTGACGGGCTCTTTACCTGCACCTGTCTGCCAGGGTTCGTCAGCAAGCAGTGCGAACAGGAGGTGAATGAGTGCCAGAGCGGACCCTGCCAGAATGGCAGTACCTGCGTGGACGTGGTCAACGGCTACCAGTGCTTGTGTGTTGGTGGCTTTCAAGGTGAACATTCAAGAAATTGTTTCCGTGGCCAGACTTAATCTAACAGCACATGCCCAAAATGAAGCGCGTCAGAGGTCATTTGGAAACAGCAATATGCAAATACTTGTTGGCCTAATCAGTGCGGTCATAATTTTTGTCCGCTCACATGTGCTGAACATGTTCACGCTTGCATGCCTTGTCGTTGAATGACTTTGCCTTTTTGAAAGACCAAACTAGCTCATTACTTGGCCATGGCAGTAACTTACAAGTCTATGAGAAATGCCTGTAGCCATAAGCTAGTGGCTTCTACAAGGGCATGTGCTATTTCTAGCCACAGCCTGGTAATTTGGACATGGCTTATGACTGTGTCTGAAAGCTTTGGCTAATTCTAACATAATTGTCTGGTTTAAGTGGCTGCAGCAATTAGCTGAAGCAGCTTGAAGCTTGTGCCTAAGAATTCATATGATTTGACAATTATTTTACAAGTACAGGATTCAAAATTCAAATGAATAAGTGAGTCAAGGAAGCCTCAGGTTACCAGACTTGATTTGAAGTTAACTTTCTTACCAAGACCGTTCTATGATACTTCATCCTTTCCGTGATGGGTTGGGGATTATTTCATTTGTTAATGAACGCAAACTTTCTTGATACTGACAAGTTCTTCATGTGTTTCTGCCCTCTTAAAAGTTCTCTTTGGATTTTTGTCTTCCTGTGATCCAGGGAACAACTGTCAAATCGAAATCAATGAGTGCCTGTCCAGTCCCTGCCAAAACGGCGGCATTTGTACCGATGCAGTCAATGGCTACTCCTGCCAGTGCACTGCCAACTGGGCGGGCACCATGTGCGAGATGCAGTCACGCTGTACAGACAACCCTTGCCGCAATGGGGCGGTCTGCAACGAGCCGTCTGGCGGAGGGACCGGAAACTCTGTGTGCATTTGCCTGGATGGTTTCATTGGGGACATCTGCGAGATCAACATTGATGACTGCGCGGGAAACCCTTGCGGAGCACAAGGTTGGGGTCATGAAGTCAAATTTGTTTTGGTTGAGGGTTCAAATCCAGCCCTGATCTCATTGCATTTCAATCCATGAGCCAGAGATTGAAAAGCTTTAGGATCTTGCTTTAATAAATGCTGAATTAAAGTAAGTAGTATTCAGAGATGAGATATTCCTTGTTCACTCCAAATGTGATGTATTCCAATGGAGAATATAGGTTGTTCGGAGTATTAGCCGGCAAGAAGAAACAGTGGCATAACTAGGGTTTTACTAGTGGGGGGCACAAGGGGGCACCAGCTTGGGTTGTGGTTTTTTGGGGACAAGTTTTTATTAGCCCTGTTCAATATCCATTCATCCGTTTTTTTTTTTAATGCGGGGGGGGGACCAGGAATTTGTTGGGGGGTGCATGTGCCCTCCCAGGTCCCCCCGCAGCTATGCCACTGGGAAGAAATCAGAAGTAGAGTTGGAGTGGTTTCACAGGCATTGTTATAGGCAAACCAAACTGGGTGTTCAGAACCTTGAGCAATGGCATTGTGTGTGACACATTCTCCCCAACATGCATGTACAGTGCAACTCTTCTGGTGGTCCAAGATTCGCCATTTCAACCGAATTTAAATCTTGATCAGCAACAGAAGTTAGGTGATTATAGCTGTTGTCCATAGCCGTCTGCTTGTAGTTTGTATAATGTTATTTGCCTTGATGATACATTTAGGGGTTTGTAGACCATTGATTTAAATGTTTCTGTGTTTGTACTGCTGAAGACAAATTAATATTGATATTTTGGTTTTAGGAGTAAAAGGTCCTTATGGCAGTTGTATGATTTTTAGCTAGCACTTGTAGAGCTATATTGTGAACTTGAAAGAAATATTTCATTGAAACAGAATATATTTGGACTATTTTAATTGGGGGATGGCCAGCATTATTCAATTTCACTAAGTCTTCTTACTTAATTTCATGTTTAAAGCAATATTATTTTAAAAAGGACATTTGAGTATAATTTTTCACATGTATAGATCTCATTGTACTAGCATGACTATTCAAGGATACAATGTACATTCTAGTAAATAGTAAATATTCGACCGTCATTTGATTTGTCTGACTTGTTCACAGGAACCTGTGTGGACAGCGTGAACAGTTTTACTTGCGAGTGCGCATTTGGCTATGCCGGTGATACGTGTGACCAGGTGAGTGCACAGACCAGCCGCTGACCTCTCCACAAAGCGTGGGATAATCCATTTTTTTTTTTACACAGATTCATGCTAGAAAACACTTTTCTGGTAGCTAAATCTGCAGCAGATTCCTCCCATTCGCTTTTACTTTGCTTGCCTTCAAGGAGTTACTAGGCAGATATCTCATGTCAGTATAAAATTTCATATCAGCAAATTCAGCAGTAATTTGTCTTTTGTTAAGGAAACAGCAGTAGTCTGAGGTCACATCCGAATCTCTTGTCTAGAGCTAGGTCTAGGTCTTCACTCCATTAGAAATGCGTGGAGACGCATAGACAATAGACCTAGCCGTAGCTCTGGAAGCCCATTTTGGACACGGCCTATGTCTGAAAATAAGCCTTTTGTGAGTTAAATTTGAATAAAATCTGGTACACTGAGTTTCCTGATTTGCACATGAACATAATTTGAATTCCCCAGACTAAAGACACTGTTGCTAAACCTTGTGATTTGAGCCAAGCTTTTGCATAGCGACCACCATCTCTGGAATGGACTGGTTCCTTTGTGCCCTTCTTCTCCATTGAAAACAGTGTGTTTGTACTAGGCGTCTCTTACGTAACTAAGCAAAAACTTGCCCCAAATCACAAGGTATAGCAACAGTGTCTTTAGTATGGAGAAGTCAAATTGTTATGTTCACGTGAATTTAAAGAACCTAGTGTACCAAATTTTATTCAAAGTTAACTTGCAAAAGGCTTATTTTGGGCTGTTGTCAACAGTAACATGCTGAAGTCATAAGCTGGTCCATGAGTTCACTCCCATAGACCTCCATAGACTTGTATGTCAGTACAGCTCTCCACACCTAAGCCTTTCTGGTGCAGCTTCAACACAAGAATTAAGGCTGTTCAAGTTAGTGATAGAATTTACGCCTTTCATTTTCATCATGCTCTGACTTGACTGTGATGCTGTATTTGTTCATGGTTTCTTCCTTTCCTGTAGTACCAAGATGTATGCAATCCAAACCCTTGCAAGCACAACAGCTACTGTTGCCAGATTGGTGTTCCAAACTGCCCGCCCTTGTTGCCGGGGCAACGGCAGTGCTTCTGCGTGGACGGTTACAGCGGCGACATGTGCGAGATTGAGATTGATGCCTGCATAGCGTCCAGCATTCCCCCTTGCTCCAACAACGGCCAGTGCATAGACCTGCAGCAGGGCTATCGCTGCGTCTGCCAGACGGGCTTCACTGGTACCCGCTGCGAGAACAACATCCCCTGCACGCCAGATCCCTGCGTGAATGGCGCCTGCCAGATCATTGGCACTGGATACCAGTGCGTGTGTGAACCTGGCTGGACTGGGCTGAACTGCGACGTCCAAGTTACGCCGTGTGACAGTCGACCTTGCATCAATGGAGGGCAGTGCTCATACGCTGGCGACCAGTATAACTGTAACTGTGGAGTGATGTACACAGGCCTTAACTGTGAAACACGAATCACTCCGTGCGATAGCAATCCATGCCTGAATGGGGGTCTGTGCCGTGTTGAAAATGATGTCGCATACCAGTGCCTCTGCCTGCCAAATTACAGAGGAAGCAGATGTGAGACAGAAGTACGTCCGTGCGACAGCACTCCATGTCTCAATAACAGCACCTGCCAAAATCAGGGGCTCTCCTATTTGTGCACCTGCCCGAGCAGTTTCACCGGCGTGAACTGTGAGCGTCGGGTCCTGCCCTGTGACGTGCAGCCCTGCATCCAGGGAACCTGTGTCAACATGGGCGACAGCTACCGGTGCTACTGCCCAGATGGCATCACGGGCCAGTTCTGCGAGAGCACAGTCCCACCGCCGCAGCCCTGCGACTCGAGTCCCTGTCTGAACGGCCAGTGCCAGAACGTCGGGGACACATTTGCCTGCCTCTGCGAGGGCGGCTTTACAGGTCAGAATTGTGAAAGCACTCTGCCACCGCCCCTGCCGTGTGATTCTAATCCTTGCTCTAACGGCGGCCGATGCATGAACCAGGCCGATTCGTATTCATGCGTCTGTAGTGATAGCTTTACAGGCCAGAACTGTGAAAGCACCGTCCCCACACCCCTGCCCTGCGACTCCAACCCATGCTTTAATGGTCAGTGCACAAACACCAACGATTCGTACGTTTGTGTTTGTGGCAGTAATTTCACCGGCCAGAATTGTGAGAGCACAGTTGCCCCGCCCCTGCCCTGTGCTTCAAATCCCTGCTCTAATGGCCAGTGTGTCAATAACGCCGACACGTTTTCTTGCGTCTGTGATGAAAACTTCACTGGCCAAAACTGCGAGACCACTATCCCTCCCCTGCTACCGTGCAGTTCCAATCCTTGCCTTTCTGGCCAATGTGTCGATAATGGCGATTCATACGTTTGTAATTGTGATGAAAACTTCACCGGCCAAAACTGCGACAGTACCGTTTTGCCGCCCTTTCCCTGTGCGTCGAACCCTTGCATTAATGGCCGTTGTTTTGATGACGCCAATACGTACGTGTGCATCTGTGACGGGGGTTTCACAGGCCCAAACTGCCAAAGCACAGTGCCACCACCGACGCCTTGTGATTCAAATCCTTGCATTAATGGACAGTGTGTTAATGGTGTCAATTCTTACACCTGTAATTGCAGTGAAAGCTTTACCGGCCAAAATTGTGAAACAACGATTCCCCCACCGTTACCATGTGACTCAAATCCATGTGTCCGTGGCCAGTGTTCAAATGAGGGTGACTCTTACTCTTGCGTCTGTGACGGCAACTTTACCGGCCAGGACTGTGAAAGTACTATCCCGCCACCCCTACCCTGTGACTCAAATCCCTGTGTGGCTGGCCAGTGTATGGACAACGGTGATTCATATACCTGTGTGTGTAACCAAAATTTTACCGGCCAGAATTGTGAGAGTACTATCCCGCCGCCCCTACCCTGTGACTCAAATCCCTGTGTGGCTGGCCAGTGTATGGATAACGGTGATTCATATACCTGTGTGTGTAACCAAAATTTTACCGGCCAGAATTGTGAGACTACCATCTCGCCGCCCCTACCCTGTGACTCAAATCCCTGTGTGGCTGGCCAGTGTACGGACAACGGTGATTCATATACCTGTGTGTGTAACCAAAATTTTACCGGCCAGAATTGTGAGAGTACTATCCGGCCGCCCCTACCCTGTGACTCAAATCCCTGTGTGGCTGGCCAGTGCTTAAATAATGGGGACTCCTACATATGCCGCTGTGACCAGAACTTCACAGGCCAAAATTGTGAAACAACAATTCCCCCACCGTTACCGTGCGACTCAAATCCATGTGTCCGTGGCCAGTGTTTAAACGAGGGCGATTCTTACACATGCGTCTGCGACGGCAACTTTACCGGCCCAAACTGTGAGAGTACTATCCCGCCACCCCTACCCTGCGACTCAAATCCCTGTGTGGCTGGCCAGTGTATGGACAACGGTGATTCATATACCTGTGTGTGTAACCAAAATTTTACTGGCCAGAATTGTGAGACTACCATCCCGCCGCCCCTACCCTGTGACTCGAATCCCTGTGTTGCTGGCCAGTGCATGAACAACGGTGATACATACACCTGCATCTGTGGCAGCAACTTCACCGGCCAGAACTGTGAAACCACTGTCCCCCCACCCTCACCTTGTGACTCGAGTCCTTGCTTTGCCGGCCAGTGCATGACTAGTGGTCAATCGTACATCTGCCAGTGTGACCAGAACTTTACTGGCCAAAACTGTGAGAGCACTATACCGCCACTCCTCCCTTGTGACTCTAGTCCTTGTGTTTCTGGCCAGTGTAGGAATGACGGTGATTCATACACTTGCCTTTGTGATGCCGACTTCACTGGTCAGAACTGCGAGACAACCATTCGGCCCCCTCTGCCATGTGACTCCAGTCCGTGCATTAATGGCCGGTGCTTCGACAATGCAGACGCTTACCTGTGCGTCTGTAATGAGAATTTTACAGGCCAGAATTGTGAGAGCCCCATCCGGCCTCCGCTACCGTGTGAATCAAATCCTTGCACAAATGGCCAGTGTTTTGATAACGCTGATACCTATCTTTGCATCTGCAACGACAACTACACAGGCCAGAACTGCGAGAGTACCATTCGCCCTCCCCAGCCCTGCGATTCCAGCCCCTGCCCTAATGGCCATTGTGTGAACTCTGGCAATTCCTACACGTGTGTGTGCAACGACAATTTCACCGGCCAGAACTGCGAAACGACGATCCCGCCGCCCTCGCCCTGCAGCTCCAACCCCTGCTCCAATAACGGCCAATGCATGAACCAGTCTGGTGCTTTCGTGTGTATCTGTTCTGATGGGTATACAGGTGTGTTGAATGTGTTACATGTTGTGCTGTCTTACCCTTTGCCCACTCTCATGAGAGCAAAAATGTTTCTGCTTAGAGTGTATGCCGTGTACCAGTTTAATTAATAGCCTTGTATGTTTGATGACTTTTCAGTAGGTGACCTGTTTTAGGTTAGCAGATTATTTTTATTGCTTAGCACACTTCTGTGCCTGGCTGCTTTATGAAAGGTCCATGTTGTTGATACATGCACCCTTTAATCATTGATACTGCCCAACACTGCCAAGGAATGTGTGTGGTTCAGTAACAGTCCGGGCAGTCTAGTGAATTAGCCTGGTTTCCATATTCATGTAAGAAACACAGAGAGCAATACACTCAAGACTCAACTTTGCCAACTATCTGCGTCGAGTAGCCACGGTATCCCCATATAAACACACCTACTGACATGACTGGCATGTTACAATGTCCCTCTCGCTTTGCCCATTTTCTCCTTAATGCTTAAATATTACACCCCAGTAATCAACTAAATAGCTGACTGTCAGTGAAATGCATGAAACTGGAGTTGAGGTTTGGCATCATGAGGCGGTACAGTCAAACTAAAAGTGCATTTTCCACAGAAAATCACAGAGTTTTGGACGCCATTTTGTTTCAATTTTTCGCTGGAATGGTGTCATGCACCATCTCCTCTGTTCATGTCTGCGTCTTCACGTCTTGTGTTCCGTCTGCATTACAAACAACCATATGGAAACCAGGCATTAAAGGGTTTAACTTGCAGCTTACCTTGGTCTTCCTTGCTCTGCAGTTTGTTAGTTTGTAACTTTATGAAGATAGGATAAAGGGAGAGTTTGATCATGAAATAAAACTGTTTATTCACAACGTTGATATTTTTAGAGGAAATTTTAATTTCTCTAGCCTGCAGAAAAACATCTTGCGTGACAATGAGTGTTAGCTTTTGAATGTATTAATTATTTGCATGAATCCTACACACTGCATACTAATATCGATAATCTCTTTACTTTTCCAAAACTCACAAGGGCCTCAGTTATTTAATTGGTTATAGATTAATCATCAGTAGCCTAGGTGGTCTTCTCTCCTTGATTTCCTGGTAGTGAAAAGAGGATTTTAGAAATGAAAGACTCAAGCTACTGTTAAGTTGTCACCCCTTCTTGATAAACAGACCTGTGCTCTTGCTCATTGTTTCAGTGTGTGGTAGTTGAGTGTTCCCATTTTTTGTGTGAATTGGAAACCAGGTCAGACTTGTGAGTCGCTCATTCAGCCCTGCTCTAGCAATCCGTGTCAAAATGGCCAGTGTTTCAACATGGAAAATGCCTACCGGTGTGTCTGCGACGCCGGCTACACTGGTGACAACTGCGATGTGATCCTGCTGCTTCCGTGCTCCAGCAATCCTTGCCAGAACGGCCAATGCTCCAACCTGGCGAATGGGTACCGGTGCGTCTGCGAGGCTGGCTACACGGGCAACAACTGTGACACGGCTCTGCTGATGCCTTGCTCCAGCAATCCTTGCCAGAACGGCCAGTGTGTCAACCTGCTGAATGCGTACCAATGCAACTGCCCGACGGGCTACACCGGAGTGAACTGTGAGATCCCCCCTCCTATTCCCTGTGCCAGCAACCCCTGCCTGAACGGGAAGTGTTCTGAGCAGGGCAGTGCCTACGTCTGCCAGTGCTTCAATGGCTACCGAGGGGTCAACTGTGACATTCCGCCACCCTCCCCTTGCGTCAGTAACCCTTGTTTCAATAACGGCGTGTGCGTGGACGGAAACAACACATACACCTGTCAGTGCGTGGGCGGCTACAGCGGAGATAAATGCCAAATCCCCCCACTGGGACCCTGCATCAGCAACCCTTGCCTCAATAATGGCGTCTGCGTGGATGGAAATAATGCGTATACCTGCAGCTGTGTGGGCGGCTATAGCGGAGATAACTGCCAAAACCCCCCACCAACGCCCTGTAGTAGCAACCCTTGTGTCAATGGTCGATGCGAGGATTCAGGCTCCGGCTACACCTGTCAATGTAGCGAGGGCTTCAGCGGGATGAACTGTGAATCCACTGTAGCTCCGCCCCTCCCCTGCGACAGCAGCCCCTGTCTGAACGGCGGGAACTGCTCAAATGCAGGAAATGGCTTTGCCTGTCAATGCCCTGCCAACTTTGTTGGTGACCGGTGAGTTGATCCGTGTGATTCATTTATGAGGAACAATTATAAAACGAGTTGCTAGAATTCAAGACAAGTCAATCATGAGTCCATCCAGTCTTATTAGCCAACTCACAGGCTCCTCAAAATGAACTGTGATAAAGGCCTTCCTGTTTCATTGACCGTGTCTTTGTTTATACTTGAGAAGTGAATTGTGATGGACAGGTAATTGACTCGTAAATCCTGACTTCCTTGGGTTATGACTAACCAGGCTTATATTTAATGCACTTTGTTATGTGTGAAGTAACCCGTGTACTTTCACTGACCTGATTTAAATGTCAGAAGACTGATTACAAGTAAACTTTTCTAAAAAATATTTCCTTTTTTTTTCTTTTGCCATCAAATGTCGTGCCCTGCCTTAGATGCGAGACTCCAGTGGGTAATCCCTGCGCCAGTCGACCCTGCCTCAACAACGGCTTGTGCGAGGTGGCCCAGGCTGACTTGTATCGTTGCCAGTGCCAGGGTGGATTCATTGGGGATAGGTGCCAGGACGAGGTTACAACCTGCGGACCGGACGTCTGCTGGAATGGAGGCACATGCTTCGAGGATTTCATTGGTAGGGCTACACACTTCACGCCGTCACTCTTCATTTGGAAGTGAAATCTTAGGATTCTTAGGAATCTTAGCCACAGTGAGGGAAATGCCACTCTAGGTTAAACCCTCCAAAAAAATCAGACATCAGATCTGATTCTGTGGTCACACAAATCTAAATTTTACCAAAATGTGCATATTATGTTTACAGAGGCCCTCTGGTGTTTTGTTTTGTTTTCTGTACCACTGATGTTGTTATGCATGAATGACACGATGCTTGTATATTCAGAGAGGATCAACGGGCATATCATTGCTTCATGGCTAAGGGTTATTCAGCCATAAAGCAAAGAAAGCTGGGTTGGAATGTGGGCCATGTGCTCAACCAGTGCAACACTTATAAATGCAGTGAAGGGCAATGTGTACACACGTGCTTGTTGCACATAAAATGCAGACATTCTTTGTTCTGTGGTCAAGAAAACTTTGGGACAGTGTGCCACCATCATTACTACTTCGAGCTCAATTTTTGATGGTGATTTCTTGAGCAGTTCTGCTCCCTTGCCACCAATAACCCTGACCCCCAAATGACGCTGAAGCCATTTTTCAGAGTGGGGAAAACACTGTGTGGACATGTGCGTGTCCACACAGTGTCTTGTAATCCTACATTATGTGGACTTTTCGCCGAGTTCCACACCGTGTATGTCACGCTAGTGCACCCTAACTTATGCCAACCCTGCCATCGTTTGGCTTTGTATTCCAGGTCCTTTCTGTTTCTGTCCAGAGGGATTCACTGGTCTGTGGTGCCAACTGACTCCTGGGGTGTGCTTCCCGGACAATCCTTGTGAAAATGGTGGAATATGTTGGAACCAGGATGGACAAGTAAGGACAGGCAATGATTTGAAAAAATTTTCGCAACAGAGGTTTCACATGGACACCATTTTCATCTTGTTCCATGAATCTACCTTATTCATAGTAATGTGTTAAAACGGATGGTACCTGACTATACTGGGTTCCTAACATCACTTTGCTGGCCGGTCTGAGTTGGACATACATGTAGGTGCAGGTACTGCTGTATGTTGGTGTAAGGGCAAAACCCATAATTGAAATAAATATCTCCCTGGTGCAAATTACATCTTGATTTAGTTTGTGGTACCCACTGCTACACCTGACTCAGTCCGGCCAGCCAACCCTGGCAGGCTCAGTGATCAAGTGGTTAAGACATCTGCACTAGAAAGCAGGAGGTCATGGGTTCAAGTCCCACCTGAATAAGCTTGTGAAGTTTTTCACAAGCTCTCACACAAGCACTGAGTATACAGTGCCATGAATAAACGTCAATGTAGGAGCAAAACCTGTCGATTGCATTTCGTTCCTTCATATTCTGCGTGACTCCTTTGTGAAAGACCATGGTGGCCACACCGTAATAAAATTGTATTTCTCCACCAGGTTTACTGTGACTGCAAGAGTGGATTTAGTGGGGCAATCTGCAATGAGGCCGTACAGGGATGTGACCCTGATCCATGTATCAATGGAGACTGCATTGAAGACAGCAGGGGAAACTTCCAATGCAGGTAAAAAAACAGAGTTCAAAGAAAGCTTTCACAGTTTGTTTTTCAAACCACAGATATGTGGCCACCTCTTGCAAGAAGGTTACCTGAGTTGCTAACGTCCATACAATTGGCTTGTTCACTTTCAGGTGTTCCCCGGGCTTCACTGGCAGCCGGTGCGAAGTTGTCGACCCCTGCACCTCGCGGCCATGTCGTAATGGCGCGACATGCCGCTCCACCAGCACCGCCTTCACCTGCGACTGCCGGGTAGGGTTCACAGGGGTTACCTGTGAGATGGTCGGTCCAGCCTGTGTTAGCCAGCCCTGCCAGAATGGCGCTCAGTGTATGCCAAACAGCGACGGCTCGTTCTCATGCTTCTGCGTACCTGGTGAGTTGTTTGAATGATGATGTAAAAGATGAAAAGGCATTCTAAATTTCGTCGGGTTCACCACGAAGTGACGTACAGCCCATAGACTTTGCGCACGTGATACGTCACTTCGTGGTGTGGCAACTATCCATGATATGTCACCTCGTGGTGAAACTGATGATTTGATCTTGTTCATTCAGTGACTAGGAGAAATCATTTTGTGATAGTATTTGCCAAAAATGGTTTGTTTTACTACCTGTCACATGTGCTCAGTTCTTATTGTGTTATAATTGGTTTTGACAGGATTTGTGGGTGAGCGATGTGAAATCAATATCAATGAATGCCTGAACAATAGTTGTCAGAACGGAGCCATGTGTGTTGACGGGATTAATGGATACACGTAAGTCTGAGTTCTTCAGTTATTCAAAGGTTATGCAGAGGAAGGTCTTGCCTCTGATTTATGTGTACTCACGAGCAGAGTTCCACTTGTTTGAGCATTGACCTCGGTATTGGCATTCTTCAGGAATCCTAGTTTCAGTAATACAAACAAAATGGAATTATAAACTAAAAGGAAATATGAAGTAACATCACCCTCCATAAAAACCTTGCTTTTCATGAGCTGGTTTGGTGCCTTTGTTTCCATGAAAAGTATTTTTTGTATTTTCATTTGGGTTCAAGTTTTTCCAAAGGAGACTTAAAGTACAGGAAAGCAAAGACTAATATCAGACAAGAAAACTGATCTTATTGCAAGTGAGGATCAATCTTGCTGAGCTCATTGATAAACTGGGAACTTGATCCTTTGTGTTTTGCATCATAATTGACTAATGGATTGTTTGTGTGTTGTTGAGGCCATATGTATCAAATTGTTGTCAAAGAAAAGTTTGGAAGAGTTAATTTTGAGAAAAGGGGTGTTGAACGTCATTGGTCATTTTTTCTTCACCCCTCTGTAGTTGCGAATGCACTGTAGGATACAGTGGAACCCACTGTGAAAACAGGGACAATTGTGCCAACTCCCCGTGTCTGAATGGAGCGGTCTGCCAGAACACTCCCAATCCCTCCTATGGAACGGCCTACACCTGTGCCTGTCCAATCAACTATGTCGGGGCCAACTGTGAGAGCCGTGACTTCTGTGCTGCTTCGCCCTGCCCGACCAATGTGACCTGTCTGAATGTTGCAAGATCGTTCCTCTGCGATTATTGCAGGGGTAGGTATTAAAGGAGGGATATGTGATGGCAAAGAGCTTGGGATTCAGTTTGTGGAATAGATAACGGACTATTCAAGAATGTTCAAATCTTCTGAACTGAAAATCTGTCATGTGAAACAAAATAATGTCTTATAAACATTGTCAAAACTAGAGTGATATGATGTGGGACTTTCTGTAAATTTTTGTATCGGCGATACACAGGTGTGTCTGAAATTGAACTAAAACGCTGCACCTATGGTAGTTTTCTGGATTCGTGACTTTTTAGGCTGGTCACTGTCACTGCATGGACCGTGCATGCTTACATAACGTGATATCGGTTCATTGTACTGTGAGAGTGTTTTCCATTTGAGGAACCTCCAGTGCAAAAATGTTGGATGCTAAATGTGGAGTTGTTTTATTTCTTGCCTGAAGGCAATCCATGCCAGAACGGTGCAACGTGTGCCAACGATGTGTCATCCGTTGTAGGGTTCACCTGCACATGTGCCAACGGATTCAGCGGTATCCTGTGTGGCGCCAACATTGACGAGTGCGCCAATATGCCCTGCCTGCACAGTGGACTATGCACGGACATGGTAAGTCCGGACACAACACAGGAAACCATTGATGCGGTTCAGGTAATTGTACATTATTTACTTTACCATAGAGGACAGTACAACAAAGGGAACAAAAGATGTTTCCTTGTCCTTGGCCAATTGTCCTCGGTGGTAAGTGCCTGTACTGAGACTATGATAGGGTAATGTATTGCAGGATTAGTAAGAAACACATTGCTTTTTCCTCAGTGGTATTGTGACGCTCAACTATGCGTACATGTGAAAAATTGGGATTCATACCAAGACGTTGAGTTGTTGTCCAAACACATGGTATTTACAACTTAGGATGTGAGATAAGCAAAATTTTGCGTCTGATGCAGAAAATGTACTCTTTGTAATGAAATGTTGGCAAAAGAATATATCTGAGGTATGTTAAAGCATGCCGCGGGAACCAGTCTGTCAACTTCCAACACCTCAGGGAGCTGAACTTGACTATCCATCTTCAATCCTTGTTTCTAATATTCATCCTGACATATAGATCATATACATATTTTGATGTACAGGTGAATGGGTTCAGCTGCACCTGCCTGTCACCTTACTACGGAATGAGATGTGAGAGCAGCATCTGTGACACTGTTCAGTGTGGGGCAGGGGCACCCTGTCATCCTGTCTCTTTCACTGAGTATGTGTGTCTGTGTCCATTTGGCACCACCGGGGATCTGTGTGCTGAGAGTAAGAATTCTTGTCTCTCTTTTTTTTTTAACGTGACTGCGATTGTAAAATGTCAATAAATTCTACTTAACCTTCGATTCATTAAAAAAATTTATTTGAATGTTTTTTAGTGAAAATGAAATCCACATTAACGAGTGAGATTGTGTAATTGTTTCTGTGAATGCGAAAATCTGTGAAGGGATAATTTTTAAAAATTGCAAATGTTGTAAATAGCCACCATCTAAAAACCTGCTTTTTCCTGGTGTTTTGGTTCAATTTGCAATTGTCAAGTAATTGTTGTTCATTTTGTAACTACAAGGGAACCCACTGGCCTCAAATAATACAATTATTGAAATGCCAGATGAGTTTATAAAAAAGAGAAACCAATATAGCTATGGTTCTTTTTCATTTCCCAGTCACATCCATCACTGTGCCATCGTTCGGACTGTCCAGCCACATTCAGTACAATCACACATTTAGCAGCCCTTTGACATTAGCAGTGTCAGCTAGATCGGCGAGTGCTGACGGCATGGTGCTCTACGCAGTGCCCATGTTTGAAGGAGGTAGGTTGATAATACATTTGACAAATTCGATAACTTGGGTTTGATACTGACTTGATCACTGTCACATGATTTTTGACGGTCAAGTGTTCAATTTACTCTCCTATAACATTCTCAACATTCTTGCGTACATGAAATTGCCGATAGAAATTATACACAAATTCAAAAATGCGTGTGCCTCCACGAACACGGTAAACTTCCTGAAATGTCTTTGCCTGTCATATTACGTCATGTGAAAAACCTCGTTTGGACAGTCATTGTGTGTCCAGGGTGTAGATATATCCCTCTATGTTCTACACGTCTAAAAATTCCTGTTTTTTCACAACTCTGTACTGGGACTAAGCTTGGTTGAGTAATGGGCTCAAAATGTAAAACTCTGTTTGTGCACATTCAGCTGAAAATTGGTCACATGTGCTACATGCCTTTTGCACACGGGGTGTGACCTGGATGGGCAATGACTGAGTACCTGTGTAATATGCCATACCTGGTTCTTGTGGGTTGAACTAGAGGTGACGCGGGGCATGTAAAATTGTACCATTACGCATGAACAACTTGGAACCTCGCGGATGCCTACGTGCATGTGTGATCTCGTAAACTTGGCGTAGTAGAATAGGCCTGACACCTCTAGCTTAACTATGATCTTTATGGTTGGACACAATGCAGCTGATGGCGCCCTCTGTATTGTGTAGTCAGAACCCATTAGAAAAAGGTTGAAATCCATTTCAAACTAAAATCAGATGAATATCAAAGTTTCTGGGTTTTTGTTTATCCTCCTTCAGTTGGCTACATTGCTGTCATTTTTGCCGGTGGCCGAGTGACACTGAGTGTTCAGGACATAACTGGTTCCCAGCCTGCAGTTACCAGCCTTCAGGCCACATATGCTGACAATTCATTCTATGTGATTGAGGTGCGACAGCTCGCTGGTACTCTGCAGTTGGTCGTTGACGGGACCGATGCATCTGCCATCCCCTTCTCTGGAACTCTCTTCACTGGCTCCAGCCGTGTATTCATCGGTGGTGTCCCTCTTGTAGGTTGCTGCTAATTATATCCTTTGCCATTTCCTAGTTTTAGGTTAAAGCAAAGAGAATATTTACTTTAGAATCGAAATTACCGACTAAAACGTCCTGCAGTGTGCATTACTTCAGACTGGTTCCCGGCTTAGACCTGCTTCATCACAAAAATCATCAAGCAGTATTTTCCCCATTTGAGGTTCAAGAAAATTAGCCCCATTTTCAGAGCAGAGGAATTTGAGAGAAGTAAATCTGATTGTACATTGATTACCATGATCAATGCAGTGACCTGCATGGCAGATTTTGAAGTCCTTTTTTTTGTTTGTGTGTGGTTTTTAAACTTGACTAGCCGAATTGGTCTCGTTTCATGATTTGGCCATGAGATTGTTTAAGCACAGAAGCCAAGTTAATAGGTGATTCTATTGGGATTTGAACCTGGAACACCAGAAAAATTCCACCACAGTTCCTCTGATAGAGCTGCCTTTGTTTTCTACGCCAACTGGAGTTGCACTTTTATTGAATTTTTTTCCCAGGAAATTGCCCCACCTCCTGTCATCACAGCCAGGAATCTCAATGGCTGTGTGCGGGATCTACAGCTGGGATCTGCTCCTGTTGATCTGACAGGTGCTTTCGTGGAATCGGCAAATGTCGACAACTGCTTCATTGCCATGTGTGACAGCATTGATTGCAATGGCAGGGGGAATTGTACCGAGTTGGTAAGGATATTGAAAACATTGATATAAATAACAAAAAGGACAGCGGCAGGGACTTTATAATGACAGCTGTGTAAGATACGTCATTAAATATTAATTAAACTTTTATTTTGGACATCTGGTTGGACAATGTTACGAACTGACATGAATTGAAACAGGATGTTACCTTTCCAATTTAAAAATCTAATTAAAACCATAAAGGCATGACAGAAAACAAAAACTAGATTATAAAAAGCAAAACAATGATTATCTTGCTCTGTACGGAGAAGTTATATTCAGCAACATGCAACAGCTTTTTTATCCAGATTGCCAGACAAATGTACCTCTTGCTCTTTGGATGAAACACATGCAGTCTTCTAGGAGTTTATAGAGGCATCTTTGTTGTCATTGTTTTCAGGGGGGGAGTGACTATACTTGCAGCTGTGTTGTTGGTTTCACCGGTAAGGACTGCCAGGTACCGGTATGCCACAACAGCGCATGCCAACACGGTGGAACCTGTGTTGTGCAGCAAGGTGGCACAGTGTGCAGATGTCCCCTGGGATTCGCCGGACCAGTCTGTGAAACTGGTGAGATTGAGCAAATCGCTTGAAACTATCCCCCAAAAGGATTCCAGTGCGCATTGTTTATTTTGTAACTTAGACGTTCTGCTTCTCCCCTCCTGTTGTTGCATCCTGCACCTTGAGACTTAAGAAATAGAGTCCCTGGCATGTGAAATTTGGACTTCTGTTAAAAAATAGACCTGTTGACTTCAATGCGTTTGACTGATTGCTTGGAAAGATGTACGTTTCAAGAAGCATGCAAACTGACATACTGGCTCTTGGATCTAAGTCGCTCACTTTACAAGTAAAGCTGTGGACTGTATAAATTGGGGTTCTGTGTATTTCAAAACGAAAAGATTTCAGACTGTTTTTGTCAATAACAAAGTTTTATTTTGGTCTTTATTTAGCTGTACGCTTTAACATTCCACAATTTGGCAACATGTCCTACATCAAGTATGCGCTACCAGCCAGCCAACCTGTCATTGATAGCCTGTCAATCAACATGGAGTTCAGGGCTGAGGAACTAGATGGTCTCTTATTGTATGGAACCCAGGCTAACATCATGGGGGACTTCTTCTCACTGTCACTCACCGGTGGCCGCTTGGAGTTTGAGTACAACCTTGGTGAGTTAGTCTGGGGTTGGTTGGTTTGGGTTGTTGGGATTAAGTTGAGTTGTTGGGGATGAGTTAGGATGACCTAGGTGAGTTTTGTTAGATGGGTTAGACTAGTTTTATTTGGGGAATCGTTGGCTGTGTGGGCTGATCTTTGGGAGGGTTTAGCTGGGTTTGTTGGAAGGTATGGGTTGACTATCCAGTTTAATGGAATACCGTCACCTTGCTCCTTTAGGCATAGACACGGCGAGACTGGTCAGCAGTCCAGTGACTCTCAACACCTGGGTCACTGTGACCATTCAGAGGAATGGAAAGTCCAGCCAGATGACCATCACTGGCCAAAGGTGGGTCCTGTTCCCAATACATTTCTTTGTCTTATTTGTCTTTGTCTCAAGGTTTAGGATGACTTGACGTCTTTCCTCAATAGACATGCCTGTTTGGAGTAATATTTGTGTATCTTTGTCTCTGTGTTATCAATTCATAGTCCTGTGACCGGTACATCAAGCGGTCTCCTGTCATCACTCAATGTGCTACCTGAGGTGTTTGTTGGAGGAATGGATGACCTGACCCCTGCAATGTTAAGGTCAGGGGTCAGTGTAGGGTTCACAGGGTGTATCCTGTCTCTCTCCATACAAGGATTTTCTTACAGGTATAGTGTCTTTCTTGTCCTATTTGAAACGGATTGATCTGAAATACAGATAGTGTAGGCAGGAATGTGGCTGTTGTCTTTTAACAGTAAGTTGATATGATGTTATGATAATTCTTCAAAGCAAGAAATGTGACCTAACAAGATGAATCTTATATTGCCAGAACATCTAAGGGATCACGCTGGTAAACATTGTTGATACCTTTGGGGCAGAGAGGTGATAATCATTAGGCTTTAAATTACCTACTTAAGTGAAAATATTTTGTTCATCTGGATGGTGTAAGTTTAAATAATGGACTCATCTTCCGTGGAAAAGCCATTGTTAAATTTACTTTTATAATTTTCATCCTTTTCATTTGAATGTTACATTCTCTTCTTTTGCTGCTTCAAGTTTCAACCAATCGGAAGCCCTGAGTGGAGCCGATGTGGCACAGTGTGATGAGGACCTCTGTGAGGCTCTACCCTGCCTGAATGGGGCTCAGTGCCTCCCTGCTCCAGGTTCCTATGCCTGCCGCTGCCCCGCCGGTTTCCACGGTGTCCACTGTGAGCTGTCCCATGATGGCTGTTACCAGAACACCCAGTGTGCCGAGGGCTCCAGCTGCCTGGCCGTGGCGGGCAATGGTTTCCGCTGCCAGTGCTTGTTCAACCAGACTGGGGAGTTTTGCAGGGAGGAACAAGGTAGGTGTTTTGTGGTTGACAGACTCGAGAGATTTATTCCTTATTTCTCAAAAAAACTTCGGTGGGTAGAAGCTGGTCTTCATTTGGACATTGTTTAGAAAAAAAGGAGCATATTTATCACAAAATAAGAAAATAAGAAATTTATAAAAGTAAGCATAAAGCACAAGGAAATAACTTCAAAAATTACTTTGTGGCCTCTCGAAAACCAATTTACTGAAAACAGGCAAAGTTTGGAAAGAGAAAAAATTAAACTTAATAATTAAAAGTAAATAAACTAACCTTTCAAATAATAGGTACCAATTGGCGTAAGTACATATATATGGAATTGGAGAAACTCTCTTTACATTAACCACTTCCAGGTGATTTGAAAAATGCAGTGCACATAATCAGGACTTTTCCAAGATTTCCAGTTTTCAAAATTCTTTGAAAATTAATCATTTCAATTAATGGACGTTTACACTCACGTGAATTACTGTCTGGTGGCCACTCTAGTCTGACACACAAAATCTATTGACGCCCGAGAATTTCAGCCAGGCCTGCAGCCTTGTAAAAAGAGCCCAGATTGTGCAGTGTTATATAACTTTCTTCTGTTCACGAACCTGGCACAGTGCGCTGCTGACCTCTTTTCAATGGGGGACAGCGTGCAGCGGTGCTGTGTGGCTCATCGCTGTGGTGGTGGAGCACTTTTGTCCCGGTGGTAATCCGCTCGCTCTAAATGTCCCAAACTGTGGTATACTGTTTCAAAACAAGGCTGGATTATCTCCACTATTGAGAGTGAAAAATGTCGGTAATGCCCAGCAGCCTGGTCTTTTGTTCCGAGTACGGTCTTTTGTTACAAGGGCCTGTTCCCTTTGTTCCATTTCGGGTTCCCCGGCTCCATGTATGAAGCCTACGTGCTCGAAAACGGGTCCCCCGACAGCAAGTGGTTAAAACTCATGATGTGGTAGCAGAAAGATTATGATTTAGGTAAAATATCAACTCTTTCCAGAGGCACATTGAAACTTCTCAGCCCGTCTGAGTTTGTGTTGTTTATTCTCCCGTCCACACCAGATCTTGTCAACCTGAGTCCCAGTTTCAATGGCTCCTCCCACCTGACATTTGACCCCGTGATAGCAGCCAGCCAGCAGACGAGCATCAGTCTGACGTTCCGCCCGTTGGCCAACGACGGTCTCTTGATCTACATGGGCGAGAGCCAGCCCACTGGCGACTTCCTGGCCCTGGGCATGCTGGGAGGTGTGGTGCAACTCAGATACAACCTGGGTGAGTATTTTCATGGTTAATCGGCACACAAATTTCTGGAGGCAAAGCATTTGTCCATTTCCTGGTGGAACTCTTTCCAAGGTCATTTGAGAGCAGCACTCATGACATTGCACCAGAGCTACATATATAAAGAGTGGCACTAACTTAAGATCTTGGAACCAAAATGGCTGCTCATTGTGTGTTCCATACAGCATACAGCTATTGTGTGCTAATTTTCCTTGTGCACTGATGCAAAGTCCATCATTTTGGTTCCAATTTTGGTTCCAATAATTGAAACACTCATGTCGCAACTCTCTCCATAAACAGCTCTGTTCAGAGCGTGTTAAGTTCATGTAAATCAATGTATGGCCACATGCTGATAAGGCTTACTTCATGCATATGCATTTAGATTTTCGGATGCCTTGTGAGCATGTGCTATTGAGATACCTAACTGGCGCATTTAATTTTTCTCCACATTCCACAGGCGTCAGCACTGCCATCCTCGGTAGTCAGTCCGTTGCTCTAGATCAATGGCACACTGTCTCCCTGCAGCGCAACGGTCACTCGGCCGACCTGTACGTGGACGACCAAGCGGCCACCTACCAGGGCAGTAGTCTGACGGGGCTGACCCTCACCGGTCCACTGTACATTGGCGGTGCTCCGGACTACGGCCTGTTGCACACGGACGCAGGTTTCTTCACGGGATTCCAAGGGTGCATACAAGACCTGCAGGTCAGAACCCAGGATCTTTGGTCTGTCAATGGTTGGCTTGCAACATAACTCGTGCCTGTGTGTTGGTACCAAAGTTTGAACAATCTCTTTTGTGAGCAATCACGTTCATGCTGTGATGTCTGTGGCATTAGCTTGTCAGTATCAGCAGTGGTTGATAATTAATCAGTTGATCACTTATGCTTAGTCAATATCAGCAATGTTTGATAATTAATCAGTTGATCACTGATGCTTAGTCAATGTCAGCAATGTTTGATAATTAATCAGTTGATCACTTATGCTTTAATAGTCAATATCAGCAATGTTTGATAATTAATCAGTTGATCACTTATGCTTAGTCAATATCAGCAATGTTTGATAATTAATCAGTTGATCACTTATGCTTAGTCAATATCAGCAATGTTTGATAATTAATCAGTTGATCACTTATGCTTTAATAGTCAATATCAGCAATGTTTGATAATTAATCAGTTGATCAATATGCTGTGGGCTTGGTTTCCTTTGGGAATATGTTCAACGTTGGGGTTTTCGTCTCCTGCTGACACAGCTTTCTTCAGTGGTTCAGCCACACTCTGATGTGAGGAAATGAAAATATTGTTTTTGTTGTCATTTTCTGATTTTGTTTTATACCATTGGCACAGCAACATGACAATGAATGTTATTTATCAAATATAGCTTAGCATGGCTAAGCAGTTTGACAAACCTTGGTAAGCTGCTTTATAATTATTGGCTTCTCTAAGCCAACCACTATTGACTTGCGTGAATTGGATTTGAGTTATCGAACTTCACTTGTTCATGGTTGATCACTGATGCTTAGTCAGTTAGCTTTAGAATGAGACGGGATGTTGTTTGTTAAATATTTAAGACTCACTTCAGATGAGAGGGTCACTTTTTTTTTTCTGCCCGGGGTTTTATTCATCTGCAGGTGGGTGGGACCAGTGCCACGCCCATCCTGTGGCAGACAGCCATTGGTGGCATTGACATCAGTCAGTGTGCCAACAGTCCCTGTGTTCCCACTCCCTGCCAGCAGGGTGGACGGTGCGTGGTGGTGGACGATAGCACGTTCCAGTGCAGTTGTATGGTCGGATGGAGCGGACCGATGTGCGGAACAGGTCAGACCAAACTTTGACTTAGGTGGATTTTCATGTGCTCAGAACTGAGGTGTAGTCAGTGTGGCCTATGATGTTTTGCAAGTTTTTATGTTGACACACGGGGTCACAGCAGCTGACCTTGATTTGTCTGCCCGACTAACCATCACGCTATACTGACATTTACAGTTTTATTCTGTAGCATTGTATCATGTTTCCAGGGGTAAACATGAAATTCATTGCTTTTGTTTTAGGGAACATTGGTGTCATAGCACCAAATGCACAATTTTGTAAGGTCTTGGCACTTGCTTTATACATAGAGTAAAACTTCCGTTCTTACTTGTTTAAAATGTATTGACTGTTATGAGTCAAACAAAAGAATAAATCTGTTAACTTGGCACATGAATAACTGGAAAAGGTGAAGCATCTAAAATATCCGTGGTATTGGGGTATTTTGTAAAATTCTTAAGAAGTGAGGGAAGAAAGGGGGTGTAGAAGTTTGGATAAGCATTAAATGATACTGCTGGCATTTTGCTAAGGTCTATTTGTGTCGGGAGCTCACCAACCTAACCTTTGTCAAAGTAGATTTGATCTTTAGCTCGTGTCCAACTCAACTGGCTATGGCTTGGAGCTCACACACATCTATGGGAAATTGTCTACAGCCACTAGCTAGTAGCTCCTATAGACATGCACATTATTTTCAGCCTCAGCCACAATTTTTGTATATGGTTTGTCATTGTAACAATTTTCTTTATCTCGCCTCACAGCCGCTAACGTCACCATCCCGTCCTTCTCTCCTCCCTCCTACCTGGCCTTCTCCTTCGTTCTCATCCCCTCTGCCTCCACCCGCATCCGGATGGAGTTCAAACCTGCGACCGGCAACGGGGTCCTGTTCTGGAACGCCGACAGTAACGATTACATTGGGATCGGACTGGTGGGGAATTACGTACACTTTACGTTCGATCTTGGCTCAGGTAGGAAAATAAATTGACTGATTCAAAACGAGTCGGTTTGGTATTTCCCAGAAGACAAGATCATTCAGGTACAGAGTACCTGGTGTCTCACCTATTCCAACATGTTCTGTGTGCTTGAGTCGGTACACGGCTGCAGTGATAGGGCTCTGCACTGATGTCCTAGAATGACCTAGAGTGCGCTTCATTTTGAGCGTTCACTGTCTGAATACCAAACTCTCTTACTAATAGTAACTGGTAGTGTCCTAGTTGAGTCTGTCACGTCCATGGAAGTCCCCATGAGACAGTCACGATTCATCTAGTCTCAAGTCTCCAGCTGTTTCAGAGGTCATCACTGCTAAATGTTGGAGGATGTGCCAGTTCCTTCTGGTGACTTTGTCTCCATGAAAGGAGTCTCTGAGACATTTTTCTTTTTTCATGTGCATTAGAGAGGACATTGGTTTTGTATTTCATGTTGATACATCACCAAGTTGACACAATGAATACTGAAATTGAGTTGATGGAAAAGTCGATAAATCCTCTTGGATTTCTGTCGTGCTCTTTTGTAAATATTAACCCATAACTCTCAAAGTAGCACCTTTCATTTCAAGTTGTTGGACTGGGTTAGGTTTGATGATTGTAACACTCCGGCAGTCCATTCCTACTATTGACACTGTATTTTATATTTATAGGCCAAGCCAACATCATTAGCAGCAGCCCTGTCACCGTCGGTCAGTGGCACGAGATCTACGCTGTCCGTGAGTCGGTCAATGGTCAGCTGACCCTGGACAATCAGCTGGTCACATCCACGGGCCAGTCGCAGGGCCAGAGTGTGGGTCTCAGCACAGGGGCCATGACCTACGTCGGAGGGTATGGTCAGGGAGTGGTCATACCCAGCCGTGCTCGCATAACCGGAGGTAAGTTTGGCCGTGTCTGCATTATTGCCTATGGCTAGATATCATATATGGGCCAGTGGGAAGCCTATGCCTTACTGCTGCTGTCATTTCACATAGAAGAGTGTGCTTCTGCTAGCCACAGCCGAGTTATTGGACGTGGCTTTACTAAACTGGCAATCAAGGAATTTGAACTCTGGTTTTGCTCACTGGGAATGGTCAAAGTATTTGTACTATAGAGGCTTTGCATGAGCAGTTCTTTTGTTCCACTGCTAAGCCCCGTTTTTGCCTACACTTTTGAACAAAATAACTGCCCTGTAAAATGGCTACCATGCAAAGCCTCTATAGTAAATAGGTTACGAATTCAACTTCTTGATTTTGTGTGTTAGTTGTGTATCAGTGTTTTGGATATCAACTTTAACTGATGAAGGGAAATGTCAAAACTATCTGCATACCAAAGATTTGCTGAGCTGAACTCAAGCGGTTCTTTTTACAATTATTTTTTACAAGTGACTGTACAAAAAGAGTCATGGCGAAATTAGAGAAGGGCCCTAAAACAGTCTCTTAGGCTGACAAGAATATCCTTCATTTCAGGTTTCTCAGGTTGCATTCGGCGGTTGGAGGTCAACGACCAGCCCCAACCTCTGGACCGACCTCAGGAAGGTCAAGGGTTATCCCAGTGCCAGGACGACAGTCCATGCAATCTCAACAACGCTTGCGTCAATGGAGCTACATGCCTGGATGACGCTGCAAACAGCAAGGGATACCAGTGCAGCTGCCTATCGGGCTTCGCAGGTGGGGTTCTGGCTTTTTTTTTTACAAACTCATGACTTCATCACGGACTTTGGTTTAACCTCAATTTTGTTTACTGTTGGAAGGGAATTAGAATTTTCCACACCTTGATACGTGTTATCACAGAAAATTCTTTCTCGATGAACTCTGACATGAGGTCAGTTTGTGTAGCATACCTACATGCAGATGTGTCGCCAGTGCTCAACTATTCCGACTATGGAGAAAGAAGAATTGTCATGATTCTTCTCAAGTGCTGAAAGTTGAGAAGCTGTGACGCCCTGGCATGTTTTAATTCATGAGATTGGATCTTGAACTCCACTTTTCCCCCCGCATAATTTTTGTCAGGGGAGTTTTGCGAAACAACGCCCTGCCAGTCTCTCCTGCCATCCAGCCAATGCCAAAATGGCGGCACTTGTTACCACGACGACAACGGACAAGCCATGTGCCTCTGCACGCTACCATACACGGGATCAACTTGTGCAAACAGTGAGTTGTGTCATATTTTTTTACGAACTGAAGTTGAGTGTTAAAACCCTTTACCCTAATCTTTTGCCTGAATCTGCTGTATATTTGAGTATGAACTGCAGTCAAAGTTATGTTGGGATGCTTAAAGAAATTTGAAATGTTCCTGTTTCTTTTCATGCAGATCTCGTTTACACTACTCCCCACTTTATGGGACGGAGCTATATGGTTTTTTCCTCAGAGCTAATTGCAAGGTATACCGTCAAGAATAAGCTTCCGGGCATTAATACTCGGAGACCTGAATCCTGCTAAATTTAGTGCATGTTTCTTCACACCTACTGGTGTTGGGTCGATGAGTATAGTATCTTTCATTCTACATCTGTTGTTTGTAATGGATTGCTTGCAATGTTACTGATTTCTTATTATCCACTTTGTTAATGATTACCTTGTTGAATGTACGTGCTGGAATAATTACCAGCCCCCATTGGTCGGAATGCCAGTTTGGACTGCTTCTGTATGGATTCCGATCATATTTGAAATTGGTAATTCTCTTCCATTTGCACAGCGATTTCTCATCCAACCAGTTCAGCCTGACTTTTCGCACCAGTGACCCCTCGGCCAATAGCCTGATCTTGTGGTTTGGTGCCGGCGGCAATGGGGATTTCATCGTGCTGGGCATCAAGAACCAACGGGTGGAGTTCCGCTATGACCTGGGTGACGGGGCAGGCGTGGCCAGGGCTAACAGCATCCTGATCAACACCAACATGTGGTACAGTGTCAGCGTCGCCAGGCAAGTGGATCCAGAGAAGCTGGAGAATTCTTATACTTTGCAAAGATGGCGTGGGTTATTTTGTGCAGATTCCGTCAAAAATCGGTTGCATATGCCTAGTACCAGCTTGAACACAAACCAGTGTGAGCACACGGTGCATACTTCCTAGGCCATTGATTGCGAATTACCCATCGAGTCAGGAATGTGCAGTCAAGTCCAGCAGCCATTGTCATGAGAATGATCCCCTAAACCTCAGGCAAATCAACACACTGTGTCAATCTGACATGGAAAGAATGTTTCTAGCAATAATAATGACAAATGGTATTTGTGGTATAAGCAAGAGTTTTGCCTCACATTCCTACAAATGTGATAGTAAATTAGACAAGCACATTTGCAAACTTTCCATCGTTCCGATTCCATGTAGTGTTTAGAGGTTGTCTTGGAGGTTATTGCTATCATGAAAATCAGAAGTGCATGAATGTGATCGGTTCCTCGCAATCTTCCGCCTTTGTTGATCTCGCCAATGCAGGTTTGGCAGAACAGCTTCCATGACAATTGTGGATCTGCAGCAGAACCAGCAAACAGTGACCGCCCAGAGCCCTGGGACGCAGTCGGGACTGGGCGCCTTCGGCAGCCTGCTATATTTGGGTAAGTGGCCAAGCATATCTGGAGTAAGATATTGTCTTGCAAAGAAATAACACCATCTGTATTCGTTTACTCGTACACCAGTGAACAACATTTTGCAAACTCTCAATCAGGTTTATTGAGGGCTGAGTGCTCCTTCAGCCTGGGCTTAGGTCATATGTCAAATTTTACATAAAGTTTCCTTCAACGTTTTTGTAGATGCTTTTAAATCAGTTCTTGTTTCCACAAACAGGTATTTACAAATGTTATAAAGGTGATTTCAGAAGTGACTTTCTATACTTCATTAAGCTCATTTTCACCAAACATTATCTGGTCTTGCCAATTTTGAAAGCTCTAAATATACTTCAATTATTTACCCCCAATTGTTGCATATCTTCAGAAGGTTCTTTTATCTTATAGCATTCCAAAATACCAAAATCTCATTGTTGAAAAATGATGACACAACTCCATTTTCTTGTAGTGACATCCATTTGATTAACAGTTCACTCATACTAAATCCAAGCCCTATCTGCATTTTGTATGCCAAATTCTACCCATAGCTGTGGTCTGATCCACCGTTTTCCTTTCTTTTCTTTACAGGCGGCTACCCCGGTGACATAGCGCCGCTGACCGGTGGCCACTTCGACTCGGGCCTGATTGGATGCATCCGCCAGTTTGCCACGGCCCTCAACCCCGGCAGCCAGACCCTGCCAGCAGTCAACTTAACGAGTGACCCGATGAATGGTGCAGGCATTGCTAACTGTCCATAATGTGAATGGTGAATGAATGGATGCATGAGACAGTTTGCTTCTGCCATATCTTGTCTGTTATCTTAAGATTTGTGTCTGCAACAGTAAGTACGACTTGACTTGAGGTTTTCGTATCAAATAACATTCCCTTTTGTATGATTGTGTACTTAAATTCAATGGTGTGAAAACACTTATGAATCAGTATTCAGTTGGAAATGGAATGTACGTTTGTAACTAAGATTTTCCAAGATTGTCATTTTTTTTACAATGCCAGTTTTGATTGTGAACAAGCTTCTCAGATCTGTCCCTATTTTACTCAAGTGGAAAGTTTTACCTGAGGGATATCCAGTTTTTTACTTACGATGTATTTTTGATACTTAGGTACTATTTCTTGCATTAAATATGGACAGCAAGGACGAAATGAAGACGTACTCAGACTTAAGGAAATTTTCCAGCGGAAAATTTGTGTGTTTTTTTAATCAAAATTATGTTCATGCCGATACTTTGATGATTCAGCTCTAGCTAAGCAGTGGATTTTGAGGAGGAAAATTCCTCCCTTTTAGAATTATGTACTTAAAAAGCAAGATTTGCTTAAAATCGCATGCCCATTTTGAAGGGAAATACATGTATTCGGATTAGTACTTCAGTAATTCATGTGTGTGCACAGTAGAATATAAATCGTCAACTGTTTTTCAACTTTTTTACTGCCTGAACTGTAACAATTTTGTATTCCTTGATGTTATTTTAAAAAAAAACGTTGGGCTTTCCTTTTTCAGTTCCTTAAGAAATCCAGTGGTCTGAATTTCATTGTAAATACGTGGACTTATGATAGCATGAGTTGTGCCTCGTAAAATCCGATCAATGCCTCACGGGGTAATTTAGGAGAGAACTTTTTAAATGTAGTAATGCTGGCATTACACAGTCCTGTCTTTTATGAAGAACTGGTTTAAGAGCACTTACATTCTTCTCTATTTTAACATGTTTAAAGGAGAAAATGTTTCCAAGAATCAAGAGAGTGATGATCTGAAGGCACAGACCGCAGAAGGTATCTTTGTGAACGTGTAGCGTGGTGTATGGTTATTGTCTTGTTGAAATGATTCCTGTTTTTTACTGTTCAGAAGATCAGTTCACATGTCTGGATGGTGTCTTGTGGTTCTGCAGTATTTTTAGACTAAATATCCAATTTAGGAACATGTATGTACAAGTATTTTGAAACCACAAGAGGCTTTATTTTACCCAGATTGCATTTGAATTGCCAGTTTCACTTTTATCCGTGCTTCACTTTGCATGAACTTGGACCTTAAAAGCATGTTGAGGCTGCCGTATCTTACTGAACATCTGAATTTATGACGGAAAATGTGCCTTGATTTGTACTCTTGTGTAAATAAATGTATTTATATTTACAGAATTTTTTTGACCATGCAGTTACTGTTTTGCCACTGATAAACAACCTTAACTTCATTTTAGATGTACATGTACGCTGTGATCCCGACTTGAGGTCATAGCTGGTACCCTGGTTAACTGTATATTCTGGTACAGTAGCACAGTTAAGTCATCATGCAAGAATTTCTCTAAGCTATTTGAAAACTGAAAATTTACCTTTATAAAATTAGGAAAAAAAGAGAGTAAATCTGCCTGAATCCGAGCTCTCTGTGTTCTGCAGTGTGTGTAATAATGGAGGCTGCTTTGGTAAACAAAGGATAAATGACAGAAAGGTGACTGGTTTGCAAATGAGTTTTTTTTTTCAGGATCTTCCGAGATGACACAAGAATACCAGTTTATTTAAAATGTCAACTTCATTGTACTTAGTTTCAAATCTTTCCTTTAAATTCAACAAACACTGGCTATAAATCTTTGGACGGAACTGCAAATGAAACCATCACGAAGTGCAAGGCAGATGGTGGAATGCAAATGAACTGAACAAAACCACCCCTGTGTTGATTTTTCTAATTCACTGGACGGATTTCTCACAATTTAAATTTAGTCAATGCATCACCTTTGAAAAGTTTACCATATGTCATGTAGGTACACAGATATGTACACATTATCATAAACATGTATAAATTCCAGGCACTTTTATAGTAAAAGCTTTTCATAGTTTCTTAGGTTTGAGCAACTTTGCTCTATTGAAATCACCGATCATCACGTTATGTAGAAGTCAGCGCACTAGAACAGTCATTCAGCAACAAAACAAAGTGATTCACAACCTAGAGATTTTATCTTCTAAATTCTTCAACACAGATTTCTGAATTATACAAATGTGTATCCTGCAGAATATAAACATAACACACTGAAAATGAAAGTTTTCCCTCAGATAAGCTGATTTCCTTTAACTGTACTTCCTACGCGCTGTCTGTCATTATATATTGATGAACAGACCTGTACAGCTTGAAAGTTCCAGGCTGTATTCTTTCTCTTTCGGGCCTAACAAACAGAGAGTGATGATCCACATGTGGAACTCTACAGAACATCTAGTGTTTCTTGTTAAAACATTCCACTCAAAGGAGGTTAGACTGAAACTATGATTTACTGCAGTGTATAGAAAAATCTTTTCAAAACTCACAGATCATAAAATTTTAAATATTGCAGGAATGCCATAAAGTTTAAGACAGAAATGCTGAAAACAGTTCAGGCTTCAATTATACATGTATTTACACTTCAAGAAAACGTACACAAAATTGAGTTCATTCACAGAAAGCACTGGTTCTGTTATAGAACACTGGCAGCAACAGTAGCTGGCAATGTGCCAGCTACAAACAACACTGACCGGCCTTTGATGATTTTTTCTTTTAAATATCTAGCATAATGCTTCTACAATGTGCATTCTTGACAGAACAGACAAAAATTCTGTCCTCAATCCAGGATCAGATGGCTGTATGAAAATGCCCAGTCCTGTGACTTGTCATGACGGGCTTTTCCACTGAAGTGAACTCGATGAAGATTCCCATTATAAGTTCAGGAAAATATAAAAAAAAGTCGAAGAGGCGGGAGACTCCTGAGAGATGAGTTGGCAGAGGTTTAAATCCATTTTGACACCTCCGTTCCTCAAACACCTTTGTGCGTCAAAAAGCTCAACGTTGTGCTGCTACTCACTGTACAATTAGTAATGTTGGTCCAAGTGATCCTCACTCGCTACCCTAAACCTACAAGCATCAGGAACTGACTGCTCACAGATGACCACAAGGTTGTAGCTTTCCTTGGCTCGTGAACCAGAGAGCAAGGCAAAAGAGTCTTTACATGGTAATCTTCGAAACCTTTACTGTATATCCCAGATGGCATGGAGATTCCAAGGGAAACCCTGATATTTTGTTATTTGCCCGGCGGATTTCCTGCTACGTTTTTCCCTGCCTGGCTTCCAAGACCCTTGTCCTGAATCGCTGGGCTGAGCTTGGCCGACCCGAGGGGGGCTTGGCAGAGGATGGTGGGGATGGTTGCAGGTTCGGCGGAGGGGACAATGATGGGTTGTGGGTGGCTGAGGGTGCAGTTCTTGAGGCAAGGTTGTGAGAGGAACCTGCTGATCCCTGTCTGGGTGGCTTTGAGCGGACTGCAGAGCTTGGTGGGTTGATAGTCGCCTGTGGGATAGAGGAAAGGGTGCAATGTTTGCATTTTTTCTCTATTTTGAACTTACCTTGATTTCTACCAAATGTGTAATTTTGAAATTTCTACAGTCATTTGCAAAAGTTTCAGACCACCTGGAATTTAATTGGTATTTAATTGTCACTGGTCCTGCATCACACTGTCTCACTGAATGATTACTTAACATGTTTTTACAGTGGTGCATAACATCAGTGTAGTGCTGTACACATTTGAATGAAATTTTTTGCAAAGGCAGTTCTTGCATAACATTTTGTCAGTAAGACAGCATGGGTGAAAAAAGCCAGTCTAAATAAAGGAGATCACACTAAATATTGGACTATTAACATTTCAAATCATGGAAATGTAGTCAAATGCCTGTTTAACCAAGACACTAATGTTATACTTGAAAAATAAACATACAAGTTTGGTTTTTCTTCAGGTTCATGCATTTTGTATGGATGATGCTGAACTTCTGCAAATTACTGTAAAATACATCTTTTACATCACTACGAGAGAAACGTTATGAGCACCATGTCAACTCTTTGCAAGAGCTGTAGTGAAACTCTTCTGAAGCATACTCCAATAGGATGTTAACCCATAACTACCAGGTGCAAGTGATGCCCACTGAAGCATTTAACTCACAACCACAGAAGTCTAAGGTTCAGTTTTTTCAAAAGTCCAGTTTTAGAGGTGTGAGAAAGACAATAAATATTATGGTAGAACCAACAAAATCAGGTAGGGGACTTAAAAGCCACTCCAACCAGGGTGGGATTTGAACCGAAGTGCTGGAGAAAAAAGGCAAGGAGAATGCACAGCACAGATCTGATTTCTGGATGGAGACATATTTACACCCCCCAAGGCAAAATTCCACAAAAAGGTCATTTGCCATGCACTCAATCAACTGTACCTTTTTCTCTTGGCTCACATTGGACGAGCCCAGGACTGTTCCAACTTTGCCCACAGGCTGTGAAGCCTTAAAGGGACCCTGTCTGGCCCCATTGCTCGCTGAGGATGGTGGGGATGGACGAAGCTTGGAAGAGCTCTTGCTAGACGGCACCAAGGGGCCAGGAAGTTTTCTAAAGAAGGAATGAAAGAGAAGGGAGAAACTTGCACATTAACATCTCAGGGCACGTGTTGATTTTATTGTACAACAATTATCGTTTGACTATAACTGACACAAAAAAACCACCTGGTTTGGCAACATATGATTGATTTTTACCAGGGAGTGATGGGTTGCATGAAGCTTGGAGCCACTGTCTGAAGAAACAACCAGAAATGTGCCATTGATCAGGGATAATTTAGGAAGCTTTGTGGAAGACATGCCTTTGGGGTCAACTGGGACCTGTTCTCCACTTACTTTGGAGAGGTAGGCTTGGCGGCCGTCTTCGGTTGGACGGAGTTGATGAGGTTGATAGTGGTCATGGAGGAGGCCTCTTCTAGCTGTTTCTCCAGCAAACTCTTCTCTTTTCGTAACTCTGTCAAGGACACAAGAATGTGTTTCACAAAGGTGTTGTAAATACATAAATATTTAGAGTTTCCACTGAAATCTGAAACCAAATTCAACGATTGTTCCATGACTTTCCAGGACTGAAGTATGACCATTTCCATGATATTTAAGGCCATTTTGCGGAGAAAAGTTGTTTGGTATTATGAACAGGAAGACTGCCACTGCTCTAGACTGGAAAGGATATAGCCTGTAAATTCATCATTATTCCGTTAACACATCATAAGTGGCTCATCAAAAAACCCTGCCATGATCTTGATTTCTATCACTTTAACATGACTTTTTTCTCTGACAGATCTGACTGACGGACCTTGGTCTTTTCCCACAGAGGTTCTTAGAAAGTGCTGGGCACACCATCATTCAGTTGAAATAAAGAGTAAATCTAACAGCCTTTGCAAGTTGGTTCAAATCCCTGTTAGGGACTGTTGCTGTGAAGAGGTCTCACTGTAAAAAGCTGATTTCTGTACCTAAGAAGCTAACTGAGGGCTGGGTAAATTCCACGATCAATCTCGGTTGGTTCGAATCCCTCTAGGGGGACCATGCCTATCAATTCAACTGACCTTGAATGGATGGCTCCTGTTGCTGTACCACCATCCTGGAAGATGTTCGGAAGTCTGACTCCTCCTCCAGGCAACTTTGCAAGAAGCTGATGTCCCGCAGCAGTTGGCTAACTTCGTCTTCCAAGGCGCTCCTGATGCCGGTGAAAAATACTGATTGAATCAGGAATTTTTTAACCACTCAGCTTTGTCGTCTGACTCAGCCCTTGATACTGACTTACATACTGAATCTGGTTTGTGTCCCTGAGCAGGACACATTGTCATAGCTTACTGGACAAATTCACTGGTCCCTTAACCCTCCACAATTTCAGACTACAGGAGAGGTAATCTCAAGAGAAAGGTATTAAAACATGGAACTCCACGTACCTCAATTCTTGGACAACTTCATCTATCTCAAGATAAGTCAGCTGATCCCTAACAGAGTCTACCCGGTCACTGAGTGTGGATGTTGCTGACAATCTGAGAAAAAACAACAACCAAGGATACAAAACAAAAACAAATAAGCTTCACCTTCGTAATTGGTATTTCAGGCCCTTGTATTACCTTCCATGTTTCCATCAAGCGTTTCCCTTCAAGAACTAACATGTGACAGAGGACCAGCCTAAACAGAAAAGTAGTGACTACGACCAGTAAGGTGGTGGTATACCATACCATGCATTGCCACTTTGGAATCACATCTTGTTGACACGAATGCATACTAACCAGCTGCATTACAGACCCGAAGTCTTCATCTACAAAAGTCATATCCTTTGGTTGGGATGTCATATTTTCCTGGCCAGCAGCACCACGCTCCAGGAAAACTTGGATCACATTAATGTGAAAAGTTTGCAAAATAAACATAGTGATTTACGATAGTGATTAAACGTGTAACAACAGCCTCAGAAACCAACAACTGCCCCCACAGTTTACACCGATGCTTCACCCACGCCATTTTTCCATACAAATGTTTTCAATATCGATCTTCCTCAAAGAATGAGACTTACTCATCACCATCACTAGAGGGCGTCATTCTCAAGGGTGTCTCTCGTCCATCTCGATTGCTGACAGCAGTTGAGGGTCTTCTTAAGCCGGGTGGAGTGCTACATTCTATCATGCGCACAACATCGACAGAAAACGTACTAAGAAATTGCCACTGTCAATTCTTCTGTCTCTCTAACCCATGCCAATCAAAGCTTACAGAACATTTCCGGTTTTTGCAAACCTAAAAACACTTTCCCCAAACCCACAAGACTAATTAGATATTTTCTATTCAACTCCTGCACAAACAATGTCAGCATAAAATGTGCTGTGCTGATAGGTAACAGCAAAGCCACAAAGAGCAGTGTATGATACAATGCCACACATTGCCAAGTCACAATTTCATTTCAAAAACTACAGCTTCCCAATGGTACAGTTATTTGATAAATTGATCTTTTTACGTGTTCAAGTACAAAATGTTCAGGCGAAATTAGAACATCATTTAAAAAACAAAATTATACCCAATTTTAAACGGTGTGAGCCCACCGTGAATAGAATGTGACAGAAATTCAGTTTGTAAAAGATAACACACCAAAGTGGAGACTGAAAGTCTGTGGGAATGTTCCTCCAGGGAATAATGTTTAAAACAGATGTTGAAGTCTTCTTCTTAATGAAATACCTCTTGGGCTGTCATCCAGCACGTAGTCCAGAACCTCACTGCTGCGCCTGGACAAGCTCAACCCTGAATCCCTAAGATGAGAAGAGCAACGAGAAAAGACTACTGAATTGACACACACCACACCGAATGGATATGTGCTGGCAACTTCCGCAGCTCTCATGACAAGCCTACTGATGAGCTACTTGGCAGGTTGCCAAGCAGCCTACCCATCAATTCCCCCCCCCCCGAAAAACAAATCCATCATACTTTTATTGAATTTCTTTGAGACATTTAGCTGTGTCCCAATTACTTGAATTGGTCTTTGCTAATGGCCGAAGCCAGTTCCCATAGAGTTCTGTGTAATTTAAAGCTGCAGCCAAGTGATTCGGACACAGCCTTAGGCTTGGATAAAAAGGCAATTTCATTTAATTAATACTTCATATTTTGTAAGAGCTGTCTTCTGATATTGATTTCATATATTTGACAAGTTTCATGGGTGTATGGCATATAAAACAAAGCTAAAACTGAAAAAATGTGAAATCCTTTTGATTAAAAAAAAGATGATTAACAGTATTCTATCAAACAATCAACAATTACAGATACAATAAATCACAGCAAACATTCTTATTGGCCAAGTTACTGGCCACAACCACTATCGTTATACTGCCAATAACCGGCCACAACCACTATCGTTATACTGCCAGTAACCGGCCACAACCACTATCGTTATACTGCCAGTAACCGGCCACAACCACTATCGTTATACTGCCAGTAACCGGCCACAACCACTATCGTTATACTGCCAGTAACCGACCTGCCTTCTTCCTTGGCTCGTTCCTTCAAACTCTCCACGAGAATTCGGATCTGTCCCTTCAGGCTCTTCCTAAGCAGCGGGGGTTCGGGAAGCGCCTTGGCTGGGGGCAACGCTGTCTCAGACTCCTGCCGAAAGTCACGCCAAATCTCCAGCAGTGCTTCGACCTGAGAGTGCATGCACAAGTGATGGGAGTTCAGATGAAGAGCAGAGGTGCTTCTCGTTGATTGTTGTCATATGCAACCCAATCTAGAATACTGTCCAATTAGGTTTTCATTCACCAACTGATTCTGTAGGTTTCTTAAAATATTTTTCACTAAGCTGCACATTTCTCAAGAATTTCCCTTCAAGCTTGCGCCTCTCACTGCGCAAACAACTGCCTCTACTAAAAAATTTCTCGCTTTCATTCTCAAATTTAATTATTAACAACTAAAAAGGAAACTTTTTGGAGACTGAAATTTACTCAGAAAGGGTGATAATTTTCAGCTCATAATCTTTTAAAATGACTGTTTTTGAAAGTGGTAAAACTTCTTTTGACTAATTCCTTCACTGCCACCCTTCTGCAGTGGTCATGATACATGTAGGTCATCAGCCAGCTTCGTAACGGGGACTAATGCCTGGTGCCCTCTGACTTTTATTACATCAAACAAAGCCCAGGGCAAATTTCACAGAACTTCAAGGCACCTTTGAACTGGTTACCGGCCAAACAGCCATGGTATGGCATCTGGCTGGTGCTCTGAAGGGCCCAAATTTCTTAGAGTTGCTAAGTCCAACATATTGCTTTGCAAATTTATGTGCTAAGCAAAAATTGGCTTGGAGCCATTCAGAATAAACCCACAATGCCATAAAATTTTGGTCAGTAACGTGCTTTTGCCTGGCAAAAATTATATTCCAGAGCAGAGCTGATTGTAATTAGCTCATTAACTTGAACCCCACTGACCATTTAGGCTTTTATATACATGTATATATCCTCATTCCTTCAAAATCCTCCAACTGAACTGTGGAAAACATGGACAAAGCCTCAATCCTCCAAAATCCTCTAATTATTTCTCATAATACACTTCTTCAAGGGGCGACCACTGCCTCAATCCATCAAAAATCCTCGAGTGACTCCTGTCATTATGTTGATTGGTGCAAATGGTATCCCAGAGAAGTGTGGATAATGTTATATATTATCTAGGCATGGATTTATGCTTGGCAGAGCCTAAAAAACTCAACAGTTTATGCAAGACCTTGCCACAATGCATCCTCTGGGACCAGCCACGCTCTTTGCCCTTCAGCCTCAAATTTATCTGAAAAACACCCAGAGGATTTTGGGGCATTGAGGAAGGTTAGGATTTCGTTTTGATTTGCACAAAAAAAGGTGGTTCTTGAGTCCATTACTACAAGGCTACCAACCTCTGTGTGAAGTTCTAAACTCTGTTCCACCATGGAGTTGCCCAGGACATCCCTGATCTCTTGCCTCTCGCCTGGAGCAACGTTCTCCTCCACTAACCTCCAGAGGCTGTCGGGCGGAGTGTAGGCTTCCATGGATGGTGGAAGGGTCATGTCCATGGCGACAGGGTCAAGGCAGCATCTGAATGATGCACAGTCTTGGTCATATCTCCACTCTGTTTCGTTGCTGCTGAATTCACCACTGTCGCTGATGAACTGTGAAAGACTGTTTCAGCAAAGGGAAATAAAGTTCGAGATTTCATGCAGAACCGACCAATCAAGTATGTGTAGATCGGACAATCAGGCCTGAAACATATACGGTATTTTGTCCTCCACTCAGCTGGTATGGTACCCACATACTGCAGACCCCAAAGATAACTTTCAAGCCATGAAAATAGAAATTGTAGATTTGTGTCCACCGCTTGGTCCCCAACCTGATTATGGCCTTACAAGAAGGCTGACATCACGTACTTGTACTGTAGGCCTAGCATTAAATTCAAGAGTTGTGCTACGATTTCTGGAAAAAATGTTGCATCCTGACTCCACTTTTCTCATCATAAATCATCTCAATAAAAGTCAGTCATTACAGAAGTGCTGGAAAGACACACATTCTGGACTGAGAAACATTTACCGATGCTGTTGGGAAAAGGGCCTACTTAGAAAATTCTCTTCACTCCCCACAGACTTTGTACACAACTGCTGAAGTGGAGTCAGGATGCAACATCGTGTATCTTAAAATACCCGCCGGCTGTTGTTTTCGACAAATTGCATTCACACATACACAAGGCTTCATTATGAGTGATACAAAGTTGGGATCAACTGTCTCTAATGCCGTTTGGTTCCATGACTGAACAGATCCTGACTGTGTTTGGCATCGGTCAACGGTCGGGAGTTAACTGCTGTAGTAAAGGTATGGCCAAAATCGAAACTGAAATTTTCACAGACTTTTAGTTTTACAAACTGGAAATCGCCCATAATAATACATCGGTTGTTTGATGGGGTGAGTGATCCATACCCGCAAAAGGGGTTTAACAGAAGACGTTTTCGCAGCGTCTCCATTTTTTGGACCGTTGTGGGGCCAAGGATACGGCCCGGAGGGAGTTCAGTAGACTAGCCTCCAGTCTGGGGCTCGCATGCCTCAAGCGCGCCGCTGGTGACAGAACAACCAAACTTGAACAATAACATGACTGAAGTAGAGACTAGTGGTTTCCCAAATTAGCCCCTAATTACAGTTAATAACTTACTATGAAGCACACTTTGAATCAGGGGAACAGCTGCCACAAAAAATATAAAACAGTTCGTCCTGTAGAAGAAGATATTGAGAGAGAGATATCTCAGGATCTAACGCAGTTTAGGCCTACACTTTTTCCGCCATCTTGTGTACATTGACAACCGGACCGACCAGAAACCGCTTCTTAAATAGCGCCACCATGTGACTGAGATTTTCCCCAATAAATCGATGAATTCCTGCGCGCACAAGCTCATTAAACGGAAAATTTAATTATGGTAAGAGCCGTGAGGTGCTATAATTGACAATAACTGTAGAAATGTTTTTCGAAATCAAGTAGTTGAGATTTGATCTCCCGGGGCTTCCAAATGGGGGATTGAGAAATACCGTGAAGTAAGTGGCTAAATATTATTGAAGTTGCATTTGCTACAGATTACAATCTTTAATTTTCTCTGGGAAACACATTGCTACCTTCATCTTGAGCGTTTGCACTGGCCGGCGCCTAGTCCACCGGATCATTGAGTTGCTTTCTATAGCTGCCTATTTACTGGCTGGGAGCCAGCTATCCAAATATACAGAAATCTCAAAGTAGCTTTTTGCCGCCGAGTGTTAAGTCCAGATTTGTTTCAAAGCAGAAAAAAATTTGAACGGTTCCTGCTCGGTATTCACCGGGAAAATACACCCATCATCCCTTTTGATCAGATTACAAATAACAGAATTGATCCTTAAAATATACAATGGCGATCAGTGTAAAGTATACGCTATGGCTTCCAAGCAAAAAACAAAGGGAGAAGCCTTTAATTAACTCCTTTCCTTGTTCATAAACTTTGTCCAAATGCAAAGTTTGCCAGCCTATAAAATGTTTATCCTTAGTTCACAACGATTTTTGTACAAAGCAGAATTCGGGTCAAAAAGACTGGAACGCGTTTTTGCTAAACGAAACGCCTTTTTCAAAATCGAACGTGTTTTTTTTTTTAAATTGAATCTATTTTTAAAACGCATGTTATTTTAAAAAGATCGTATTTTTGACTCTTTTGGAATGCATTTTTAAAAAGTGAACGAAATTTTAAAGATGCAATGCATGTTTTCAAATGAATGTTTAACGGATGAAACTGAATAGACAGAACATATTTTTAGTTTGGAATACATTTGTAAAGAATTAACATGTTTCCAAAATTCGAATAAGATTTTACAAATCCAAAATTTTCTCAAGATTGGACCGTTTTTTAAAGTCTAAACATTTTTTAAGATTGGGATAAAATTGTTGACCGCGAATATATTTTTAAAACTGGAACACTTTTCCCTACATAAAGCTGTCATTCGACGAACGCATTTTGCCTGACATCTCATTAATCCAAATTGAGAAAGCATCCAAAGCGCCACCTGCGAATAAAAAGCATCCAGTCTTTTTGACTGCGTTCAGCCCGAAGTTCCGAACCTTTTTTGACGATTCGGCTATTTTCGGCATGCGCATGCGTAGGCAAACCCAGCCGTTCCCGCTACCCTAAACGGTCGTTTCCTAGATCCTTTGGGGCCTGCAGACTCTTCTCCGTGTTAACATGGAGAAGAGTCTGCCGGCTACGTACAGTACCGGTATGTTCACTCCCATGCCTTGGTAAACCATTCAGTTGAGAGTTAGCGTATGCGAACTCGATCACTTTACTGTGAATTTGCCGGTCGACGACGTCGGACACCCGTTCCAATAATTCTTTCCGCGGACGGAGCCCATAACTTAACTTAACAAAATACAAGAACAAAAGTTCACGGAGATAACCTAATAACTGAAAATTGATTAGACAACATTAGACCACCGTATTATATGGACCCACTTGCACAAAATTCAAAACAAGTTTTTAACTTCGTGATTTTTAAAAATAAATAAATACGACTTGAAAAAAATACGTCTACAGTCATTCCCATTTGATGCTTTCTCAATTCGGATGCTTTCTCAATTCAGATGCTTTCTCAGATCGGATGAAATGAGATTTCGGGTAAATGCATGCGTCGAATGACAGCTTTATGTTGAGAAAAGTGTTCCAATTTCAAAAATACACTCAACAATTTTTTCCAATCTTAAAAAAATGTTTGGACTTTTAAAATCGTTCCAATCTTAAGAAAGTGTTGGATTTTTAAAATCTTATTCGAATTTTGAAAACATGCATGTTCACCCTTTAAAAATTTATTCCAAACTAGAAAATAGTTCCGTTTATACAAATTCATCTGCTCTTTAAAAACCCATTCAAATCTACAAAACATGTTTTGCATCTGTAAAATCTCGTTCGGTTTTTAAAGAAATGCATTAAAATGAATTCCAAAAGTCAAAAATACGATCTTTTTAAAAATGACCTTCGTTTTGAAAATGCATTCGATTTTAAAACACGTGCGATTTTGAAAAAAAGCATTCTGTTTAGCAAAACCATGTTCCAATCTGTTTTGCCCAAATTCTGCTTCGTATTTTGCTTCCGAACGCTCAATTCTGTTTTATTAGCGTTAAAATGTGAAGTATCAAATGTTTAGTAGAAATAATTGTTCCTTGTAAGAGAGGGCTTCTATGGCCGTGGCTTCACATGGCCGTGGTTAATATAAGCTGGCTGTCGAAACACCAGGTGGTTTAGTTTCGAATATCCAGTGCAGTCTTTTTGTTTGCTTTTTCAGCGCAGGCTCAGCGTAACTTACTATAAAATACAAAGCACTTTAAAAAACCAACAGTACCTTAGTCTGACGGATAAGTTCTTCCGCTAATATTGTCCGAAATATTTTGGAAGTCTGGGTGAGCACACTTATACGTAGAGGTTGGAGAGAGTACTGTCCGACTAGGAGACCAGACTTTGGGGCTGTCTCGTTTTCCTCCCTGTGAGTAACGCAGCACGGCAGAAAACCGTGTTTGCTCAATCCAAGTGAGCAGCGAAATGATAAAAAAGAGCAATGAAAAGGGTAAATGGGCAATACAAAATCTTGGTAATGGCTGACTAAACGAGCAGCAAATTTTGAGCAAATGACCATGCAGAAAGAGCAACCGGGTACATGTAGTTATATATTAAATGATTTTATCAATTTCTTGTCATTTGGAGATCATCTATCAAGATTCACGTGAATGTTATTTATTCAAACCCTATACTTTGTTACCGGTGTTACAAATAATCAAGCTAACTGCACGTATACCGGGAGGATCATGATACCAAGACACTGTGGAAACCTTGAAGAAAAAGTAAATAGGGGCACTGATAAGGCCCTGAACAGGGTAGGCCTAGTGCTTGAACGCCAGACTGATTACTTTGACGCACTGTTCCGACATGATGAATAGAAAGATAACGGGAGCGATGATCTAGTGGTATAAGAAAGACTTTTGCAATTAGAATTAATTGGTACAAAAGAAAACGATGTATAAAGTAATTCACCCAAGTTAGTCGCTCTTGAGTACTCTTAAGTTAGTATCCTGTATGGTTGTTACAGGAATAAATACTGACTGTAACTGTGAAGAAAAATACTACGGAAAATGAGCAAAATCACAACACAATTAATCGAAAGACGTTTTTTTCAACTGTTATGTACAGTTGAAGTGTTTTAATTTTTGTGAGCAGATTTCGTAAGTGCTCGATCGTCTAATATTTTGAGCAACCTGTCCGACGCGTTCCCAATCCAGTCAAATAGACTAAACATCTAAAAGAATGGTTTCTTCGACTTTAATAAACTGTGTATATAGTTTGTGTGTTAAGTAGGCCTAAAAAAATATTAGGGTAATGATTTTGCTTCATGAATCCTTCTGTACAAGGGTCTTTTGTATTAGGTCTTTCTTGTAATAGTGAACAAAGCCATTAAATTCTGATGAAGCTTGTAAACCAACTCGTACATGATCCCTCTGTAATGCATCCGGAAATCCTCTTATCTTTGAATGTCCTTTACACAGACGTTCATTGCTCCTCATTTCCCCAATTCCCATAGAACGTGTTCATAAAGGGGCAGGGCACTATATATCCTCCGTGCTGCGCCACTTTAAGTCGAAGGTCGAGTACCTTGTAATACAAGGTAATACAAGGTACTCGACCTTCGTGTGTTATTGTGGATGGGAAGGGAAAGAGGTGTGGTGGGCCGGGAACCACGAGGTCTGAGAAGACTCTAACATGGAAGTCGGTATTAAACTGCAAATCAGTAAGAAGTTCAGGAGTCCGTGCGTCTGAATGTTTGGCCAACATCACTTTTTTTCTCTCAAGCATCTACTTTTCTTTGCTCGCCGTATATGAATAACTTTAAAAAAGAAATGAGAATTTCAGTATCGGAAATGTATCTAACCCGTTCAAAGGATAGAACTAAATGATTACCATCACATAGTTACTGGACACAGCAATTTGAAAACTGAGACTGAAAGCTATTATTAGTTTGAAATTGGGACTTTGCTTCTCTCTTTAGGGGAAGGGTTCGGGTCTTGACGGGGAGTAAAACTTTTCAGCCATAGAGAGGACCTGTGCAGTGTTCATGTTAAAATATCCGTCTGAACCCTTTTTCCAACATCGAACTAGGGTTGGGACCAGGGTTTAAGGTTACGGGAAATCCACTGTCAGATTGAGGAACTTTCTTGAGGAAACAATGACGATAAGGAAATTTCAGACAATCTCTATAGAAAAAACATCTGTTGGTCTGTAAAAATTTAAACAAAATTTGAAAATTTAAATGTGGAAAGCAGAAGCATTTTTTGCAATGGTGGATCCGAAGCCCACGTTTTGGGTTGGCTAAAATTAGTGTTTGTTGTGCTTTGATTCATTAAAAGTAAAAATATATGAGATTCATGTAACCCATATGGCGAGACTAAATTCTGGGGGCTTTTTTTGGGAGGGGGAATGAAACAGTGCAAAAATGTCACCTTTCTCTAATCACATTAAAATGCCTCTTTTTGCAAGGGGGGCGTGGCCTCTGTTGTCCCATCTGCCGATGACCGTGTGGATTCTAGACATGGCCAAAGATCCAAGAGATGGTTTGAAGCTGTCTTCAATTAAAATCGTAGTAAATGCAGTCCATACACAGACGTGAAGTTGGCAATGATGTGATTAACTTTGACTTTATTTGAAAATAACGGAACGTTTGTGATAACAAGTGCGATTAAGTGAACTGGAATACTTTATTGAGAAATTATTGCTGACTTGTACCCCACGATTATTGAGGACTGCAGAATCATTTGACTAAAAATGGTGACTCTATGACTATAAGCTTATCTGACGGACTGGGTGACTGGCCGAGGAGCTACTTATGACACATTGTTTTTAACGAGTGAAAAACAGGCAGTTGCAAAAAGAAAACATAAGAAAGGAAATCTCAGTCATGGATTTTGACTTGATTCTAAGAAGCAATTGCTGTGCATGATGGGTATTTATCCTCGAACAATAATTCTGTACTGAGAAACCTCTATTGTCACTTCATGGTACGACAAAATATGTTAGTGCCAGGGTTTGCAAGGTCATGCCCTAATTGGTAGAAACTATATGATTTACTACATGATGTGTACACAATTACGTGTACAAGGACAAACCACAAGCATTGCATTGGAAGAGTGACAGTCACGATTAATACGGGAAATAAGATCTGAAAGTTACATTTACAGAAAACTGTGAATTGATTAACCTAAAAATTAAAATGAGCGAGTAAACTCATTGTTCTAGAAACTCTATAAAAAGGGAAACATGTTTTGAAACAAAATTCCCACACGCACTGCCAAAAATTAAAAAAAAAAATATCGATACTACTGGTTTGTGGACCATGCCATGTGATATGCGATGCCAACGGAAGCATTTCGAGTAATTCAAGTCATGGTTTTAAATTTCGACAATACTGACTCAAGTCTACGACGCACGTCATTCGTGTTGGAAAGTCCCACGAACTCCTGATCACTTCCTCGAATGACATCTTGGCTATTTATGTACACGCTATGAACATTATGCGGACGAGCAGGACAAAAGTCAACCCCTGGCGATGAATACAGCAGTTCGCTTTCGTACTGAACAATACATGTAGGTCGTTGGTTGGTAACTGAACGCCATCGCGGACTGCTGTGCAAAAATTCCATTTTCCCCAACTGAACACCAGAGCAGCTCTTACAAACCCAGACTCGGATATCGGTAAGGACGTTAGGTTGTATCATAAAATTCAGTTTATTTGTTGTAGTGGCGATGATAGCTGGCTGTAAAAACATGGTTATGTTGGCGTGGGTAATTAGGTCGACATGTGCTGGACTTTATCTGGGCCGAATGATACGCGATATTGCCTTACTGCTGTAACGACTTGTGAAGTGGTTCTCAGCACCTGGCACGTTAGAGGTCGGAAAAGTAAAAAGAAAAATGTTGCTTGCGAATTCTTTGTAAAAACGCTGAGCAGTCTTTTGCACAACTTAGGACGTCTTAGTCAGTCTCTTGTGAATAATCATTGGTTGATTTTTCTTACGACACAGAAATGTGTTTGATCTCCTTTCATTGTTGCATTGGTGCCACATTACCCCCCACCCCCCGCACATTCATGACATGTAGAAACTGCAAAACAAAATCTACCCCCTGTGTCAAAATGCACTCATCAAAATTAGCAGAAAACCAACAAAGTCGAGGGTGTAAATTAGCGCCAACGACCGGGAAAAGGAAGTTTGAAAAGGAAGGAGCGGATTGGACGTCAGTTTGGCTCTCGGCGATGGTTTCTCTGGATATCTGACATCGTACCGGGGGTCTATGTCAAATTCGGGGCCCTCGTAGAATCATAAGAGTTTATGGCCAAGAACTCTCTGTTACTTCTCTCCATAAAAAAATAATTTAGGCAGAACTTTGTGATGAAGTAGTCTTAAAATTATTTGTCATATTACCTTTAAAGATTAGCCGTCCATTGTGATTCTAAGCAGCGCATCTATAATACCCAATTCAACAAACAAAAGTTGGCACTCTTGACGCCAGGCCAGGGGGCTTTATGCACTTCGATAATCACGATCCATTTTCACTGCAGTCAATAACACCAGGCTGTTTGAAGACACTGGTGGGGCGGCTTAATTTCACAATTACCCCGTTATACAAAAGCGACTTGGGTTGATGCGTAACCAACAAATCCAAAAGCTTGCTGAAAACGCAAGCAAAACAATGAACACGCTAACACATTTGACAACAAAGACTGAGAGTTCAAGTTGATATCGTGTGAAGCGCACATAGATTTTGGTCGCATAACGGTACACAAACTGAATTCGCACAGCAATAATGATAGTCAGGTTAGGATACACTACACCCAAATCCTTTACGCACTTTTTACGAAACAACACTTATTTCATCTTTATTTCACTGTTACGCGCATGCGCAAAGGAAAAGAAATTTTAGCACATGCATTTCATATGCAAAAAAGCAAATTCAAATGAAACTGTTTTATTTGTTACTGCCATCTGCAATCACTTTCTTAGAACACAAAGATAACATCATATAATTGGATTGTAAAGGGAATTAAATTTATAACGATCTTGGACCCTGGTTCCGGGTAAGACAAGTGCATGCTAATTATCCAATGTACCGTAGCTTTTCATATGAGGAAAAATGCTTGGAAGTCTTATTTTGGGTAAATTTTTCGCTATAACGTTATTTATCATTCTATCATATCTTTACAATTTGTAATGAGAATGTGTGACCTGTTCGCATTTAGTAGTTTACAAACAGAACAAAATTTGTGTGCATTTTCCAGTTCTCCTGACAGTTCGGTTTCCAATAATGTTCAATTTGCATTATTTATTCCTCCTTTTATAACCTCACGAGAAGGGATTTAGACCCTGTTGCCCAATCTATTAAAATTTCATTGTAAAAGTTTTCGTTCAACTTTGCCTCTTTGTCCGGGCTTGTGGACAAAGGTCACACTTTAAATATTTTTGTATAAAACCTAAACATTTTCCTTCACTCAGTATTTCGATTTTGCTGGTAAATGTTTAGTTCACTGCACACTGCCAGCCTGCAAACCAACATCCTCAAACTCGACATTCTATGAGATACGGATTTCGAAAATAAGAAATGTAAAGGACATAAACAGCTGAAGTGGCAGTAGAAATATTTCCATCGATGTTGTCTGGCCTACTAGCTCCCTGTGGTGACATTCCTTTTATTACCTTGTATCATTGTCTACTTCACTCTCAATCCCTTTATAGAAAGAAGATCGCATTACACTCGTGGAGTTGAACCTTCCGATCCAAGAGCAGAGTGTGCTTCCCGATTTCAGTGTTATTTCCGTTCATGTTTGAACCGCGGGATTGTGGAACTTTCTTTTTTCAAAGTTACTTCCTCCTGCTAATTTTTTGTGTGTGAGATAATTCAAGTGGGCCTCAAAATAATGTCGGCAATGGTTACTTTTATAATAATGTATAAATTATAGTTCGTAATACTTAAATCCTGTCAATCGTTCTTTCTTATGTGGATAATCCACCAGAGCAGTTACTTTAGTTACACTTGCTTACAAGAGAAAATGTGGGTGTATGGTAATTCTTGAAAATGGAACAAATTACTTTCAGTCAACGTGTAGGCCTATGTAAACTTTCAACCATAACGATACGACAAATTACAGTAATGAATTTGCTGTGCCCTTTAAAATAATTTTAAAATTTTGTTTTCTATGTAGTTTAGTGTGCTTTGCTTGGTTTCTTGCAAAATTAGAACGAGTAAAATAGGAACATATGCCAATTTTCTTTTAATCTAAATCAAGAAATACCTTATTATAAAGCATGACGGCATTTGAATTTTCTGTATATAAACAAATGCTGATGGTGAGTTACACGCATCACTTGAATCTTTCTCATATTTTATCTTCTTGTTAATGTTCAAAATGAAAAGGCTCGCTTGAAAATTTGGCAAGACAAAAACCTGACACAGTAATCTGCACTATTCACAAGGGCATTTATACAGTGTATATCAAAACTAGTGTTTTAGTTTATTATGTCGTTGTAAATGAAGTGACTTTGGATCGATTTAAACACTGTATTACTATTTTGGTTTAAAAAAAATTTGGTCAAAAGTTTACACAGTGTAGATTCATTTTGTTTGCCGTGTCTCATAGCGTCATATTTTGATGTGCTATTTTAAACTTATTTCTGCGCCTATGAGCAAATTATTTTGGATATATGGCGCTATATATATGCTGTAATTATTATCATTATATTATGTGTTTATAAATCACAGCAGATTCACAATGGAGTCGAGGAAGCGTCTGTCTTCGGTGGGACAAGGTAGCAGCATCGTCGAAAAGGTGCTGTCGGGTCTGTCCGATTTCGGAACCAGGAGTCTCAACCTCAGTGTAATGGTGAACGACCCGTCCCTCAAAGAAGCATACACTACCGCCCAAACCAACGGTCGGTTACCGACCAACCGAGCACGGGTCCTGATCCTTGGCGAACCTCGTGCCGGCAAGACCAGCTTACTGAACCGGCTCATGGGCAGAGAGTTTGACATTCGGGAACAGCCGACCGAGGGTATCGAGACGCGCATGTGTCATGTGACCAACGTGGACAAGCAGTGGAATGAATCTGAAGAGGCCAAGGCAGATGACATCCGGGAATGTGCTTCTGCGGCGGCAGTTCTTGGGGAAGTGTCTTCAGGTGGGCCTGAGATTGATGAGAACAGCAATAGAAAAGCCTTCAAACCGGCCCAAACCTCACCCGCCCCGGAACCTTGCTATCCATCACTCGCTCATCTAATGAAGATAGCGGCACAGCTCATACTTGCCGTGGTGGTTGTCTTTACCCTGGGAATATTCCAATACGGCTATGTGGTATTTGTGTGGTGCTCCATTGCGGTGACGTCTTTGTCAGTGGATTACAACAACGCATACCGGTTTGCAACATCCATGTCATTGGTTTGTGCTCTCTTTGAGGCCATGATGCGAATTGGTCATCCACTTGAAGTCCTGGCCTGTAAAGAGGACGATAACAATTCCAGACAAGACGTAATATATTTCATAGTGAAGAACATCATGTTGAATATGCTGAACACCTTAATGGTGGGATTAGGCAACGGTTTGGGCTTTCGCACAGGTATTGCCGTGGCTTTCTCTGCGTGCGTCCACCCAGCTGAAACGAACCTCACTCTGGATACCGTTGTCGAAGGATTGAAAACATCTTGGAAAATGTTCCTACTAGGTGGAGTCTACGGAGTGGGAGGAGTCATCGGATTGGGATGGTACAAATACTGCACGTCTGACAATCGACTGCACAAGAGTAGAGCAGCCATCTGCTGGGGTTTCGGGGTCTTGCTTCTCGGGTTGTCCTCGGAAGGTGGGTGCAACTATCGACCTTACTGGTTCATCTTTCTCAATGGCTTCGCTATGACACTTGTCGGCACTTGGGGTGCCATATTTGGCCGGAGGACGGTTCTGAAATACGGCTTTGAGGCTAGTTACCTGACCAAGAAAATGGTGGGTTTTCTGATAGGTCTATACCTTGCCCACATGTGTGGTTGGTCTCTGAGGGTACCAAACGCCTCCTTGCCCTCTCTTGCATTGTACGTTCTATCGATCACCGCACATCCCTTGTTTGATCTTCACACCACCTACAAGATCTGGCGTGCGAAGCAGGTCTTTCCCATTAAGCTGATGCGAGCAAAGATGAAGGCTGTCTTAAAGGGACATCCGGTCTTAGAGACCAAGCTAAGTCTGTGGGACTTTGCTGGGGACACACTCTACCACTGTACGCATCACATCTTCATGCCTGACAGAGCTCTGTATGTGATCGTCTTCAATCTCCAGGCTGCTGTTTCTGACGAGGAAGGACAGCTACAGAAACTTCTCTTTTGGTTACATTCAGTCTGTGCGCATGCGCGTCACCCAGACGCTGTTGTCATCATTGTCGGCACCCACAAAGAGAGCGTTTCGGAGGCGAACAGGACGCGTATCACTAATGAACTTCACCGTAGAATTGCTTCTCCATTTTGCCACCGACTGGTTTTGAACCCACTGAACGACAAGCCGCTGTTCCTTGTCGAGAATTCGCAACCCATTGACGAAGATTTCAAGCAGTTACGAGCCGAAATATTCAGACGAGTTGAGAGTGCCGAGTACGCCCAGGAAAAATATCCCATCAAGTATCTGCACTTCTATCGCGAGATTCAGAGACACCGAAAACGGGCAGAGAAGGCTGCTAACGTGATGACATTGGATCAAATAAGAGACCTTGCCAGGGAAATCTGCGATGTGACAAATGAAAAAGACTTGAAGAACATGCTCAAGTTTTTCTGCGAAGCTGGAGAAATCATTCACAAAGATAAAGACGACGTTTTGCGGCAGTACGTTGTATTGGACCCTCAGTTCCTAGTTGATGTCATGAAGAAACTTGTACAAGTCCCTCGTGGTTCTAGAAGATCGCATCGCTTTGCTGTAGATTGGAGAAATTATGAAAACAGTGGAATCATCACTGAAGGTCTCCTGCAACATATTTACGGCGACATGTGCCATCTTGTGCCACTCCTAACCAAGCTTCTCCAGGCATATGACCTCATGTGTCCCGTAATGCCAGTTTTAAATCCACACAGCTCGCAGAAGTCCTTTTTAGTGCCGGCCATGCTTTGTCCTTACCAGGGTGAGCCAACAGAGTTCTGGCAGCCGACGGAAAAGGAAGAGGTCTTTTACTTTGATTTTGATTTCTTCGATCCCAGCACCGTCTACTACCGTCTCCTAACTCGATGCCTGACTCACGCCTGTGTAGACAAGTTCGACTCCTCCTCGAAGCCTCTGATTTTTGCAGACCGGTGTCGTTTCCACATTGGTGCAAAGTTTGTCTTTAAGTTGCAGCTTGAAAGACGATCTCGCCAACAGATGCTTCTGTCAGTCACCGTCCTTGCCTTCGAGGAGCAACATCCCGCCAGTCATCTACTCAGATTCTTGCTGAACGTCGTGAGAAGCATAGTTGCTCGGGACTACCCACATCTGTGTTTCACATTCGGTCCTCGCTGCCCTTACTGCGTGCACAAGGTCACGTCGGACCAATCGAAGGAGATCATGTCCGAAGACAGCTGTGGGAACAACAATCGCCACGAGGCCAAAATCCACGTGCTGAAGATATCAGGGCATGACCAGGCGTTTCCTACAACGTCCCCTGCTGTAATGCTGTGTGGTCAAAATAGGTACGAGTGGATGCTGACTGGGTGCAAATCTCAGGTAAGTATATCAATTGGAAGAGAAGTGTTCCACAAATGATTGAACAAATGGAATTATCATCATCCTTCCATATAGCCCTGCAACGTAAGAAGTATGGTAGTTTCTCCCGATGTGCTAAAAGCTTGTTAATGTGTGATTAAGTACGGTTGGCTGGTTATTAGATCGTAACTGTGAGTAAATGGCGCCCTGTACTGATCCTTAAAGGAGAGGATTCAGACAAGAGGCGAAAAATATCAGCGGATTAAGGGAAAAAGATATAGTCGCTAGAATTTAAATTTTAAGTACAACGTCACGTACTGCAGTCCTAATCTCTCAGTCTGTTATATGACACCTTGACAGGATATACAGCGTAGTTCCTCCAGTCGTCCGCAAAAGGTGACATTCACCATAAAGACTGCAATTACGAAACTTCCTCCAGGCATTTTTCATAAAGTGTGCCAGATGCTCGACATTTTTCCAGATACAAGGAACTGGAAGACCCTGGCGGGTAGGTATCTCCTTTGTTTTTGCAGTGCGGCCGCCGCTGTGCTTTGGGGCGAATAATTCAGTTACATGTAATCAACGACCCAGTCGTCTGATAACGGGGTTTATTATTTGGATATTGTTCAGTATATTTTTGTATAATAGTTGTGGCTTTCTGGATCATTTCTCTTTCCGAAGGGGAGTTGGGTAAAGACGTGGAATCCGTAGCGGTGTTGGACAGCGAGCGGGTCGGTAGCCCGACTGAGTGTCTGCTGCGAGAATGGGCCGCGATTGGTGGCGACGTGACGGTCGGCGACTTGCTGGAAGTGCTTGGTAGACCGTCGCTTGAGCGAATGGATATCATGCAAGAAATACGCTCCCAAATGACTCCACACTGAAGTCATAGCGAAGGCGTACAAAATGATGTGGTTAGTATTGGATACGTGCGATTTAGCTTTCAAAGGGCAATCCTTATCGTAAGTACTGTATGCCAATTAAGCTAGTCTATGGGGTTGAATTTCAACCGGAGTCAACTCATGGAAGCTACTCGAATGTACCCATGGCCTGAAAGTACACAGCATATGCCTACTACACCAGTAGGGTGTAGATTTGTTTAGATGGTCGAGATATACGCACAAATTGCAGTGTTCTTTTTCAATTCGGAATTGGCAAGAAACCTGCTTTGCAACACCTGCACTTCCGTTGCCTTCCCTCGCAAAAATTGTGAGGAAAAACCAGTCCATCCTATTGCCCTAATTATGCATGGACGAACGAACATGGACGAACATGCTTATGCTTGTGGGGCAAGGCTGATTTCATGGAGAAAATAGGTGGCGCTGTTCTTTATATGAGGTCAAACATACACATGGCACAGTGTACATTAGGTGGTTTTGTATTACTCCCGTTGGGCGCTACATTGGTTTTTGTTTCATTGGGTTGTGTTGTGTTATGTATGAAAATGCTGTGTGACATTCACCAGTGTGGTGTTCCACTGTAGTACTAATTATCGCAACAAAAGTAGATGAAGAAACGGCATTGATCTTTCTCCCTCGTGACTTTTATGCGACCATCAAAAATGTGTCATCTATTTTTATAACAAGACGCGGGCATTCAGAATCATTTTAAAGTACCCGAAGTTAGTGAACAACCTATTAAATTTGTCACGTTACGGGATGTAGTGTGAGCAAAAGCTTTGCTTTGTTTGAATTTGTAGAAAGTATTATTTGATCATTGTGTCGTTTAAATAATAAGTATGACTTGCCACCGAGATGGACTGCAGACTATTTCTCTTAACGGATTTCAAATAACTGTTGATGGCGGTCATATCGAGCTCTCAAGGAGCTATAATCGACCGGACATTTACAGTGCATGAACATGAAACTAACCTTTTGCTGCTGTTTCATAGTAAGCTGTGATAGCAAGCTGAGTAGGGGAATACAATAATTGTTATTACTATGATAATTGTTTGCAAAATCGGCAAAATAAAGTCAAGGGCGACAACTTAACAAGCACATGCCTGAATTTAGTATTAGGAATAAGCCAGTTTAACCAGCGGGTTGGAATTTGTACAGGGAACATCTACTTTAATAAATTCAGCAATGTCAAGCTATCTTACTCTTTACACTTAACATCTTTACCTTAACTTTAACTAGCAATGTATATTAAGTGAAGTGTGAAAAACCACTACGTTGACTTGTGCATCATAATTATCGCATATAGCGTTTTTAGGGAGAAGTGTAATTGAATGTGAAAGAGTAATACCCTATTTGATAAACTGTATTTGTTTCCTTTTCTTCGCACACGATAGTTTTAGAAGGAATGGTCTATTTTGTGTATCGACTTGCAAAAAAATGACTTGTTACCAACCCCAGTCAGACGCTATACTCGACCGGCCCCATATATTTTTATAGCTTGTAACTCCGTAAGTTGATGCCTGGTTCTTTTTGCTGATTACAGCTGGACAAAATAATGTGAAGCTTGACTTGCACTTGGACAAAGAGACTTGTGATTTGACTTGTATTTAGACCAAATGACTTGTGACTTGACTTGTGTTTAGACCAAATGACTTGTAACTTGACTTGGACTTGCATAAAATTACTTGTGACTTGACTTGGACTTGTAAAAAATGACTTCCTGCCACCTAGTCTGGCAGGATCCCGACGAAGTATGCATCGTGGCGAACCAGATTACATTTTCATATGTAGCTTGGACCTTAATATCATTGTTATATAAAGATTTGGAACTCTGCCATCAAGAATTAACCAATCATATTCATGTTTCTGAGTCTTTTTTTATTCTGTTTCTCAAAAGCTTATAATAATTTTTACATCATAATTATACTCCTAATAGTGGACTAAATCATTCAGTGAGCTGATGTTTAGACTGGAAATCTTCTGACAAACAAATACATGTATATTGCTAGACTAGTTGGCTGTTCCCACGAGTTTGTGGAAAGGCTCGTTTCACGTGAGCGGTACACTAAGATGTCACCAGAGGCTTGTTTCGGCGTCAAATCATTAACCAGAAACCTATGAAGGGTGGCCCACAAACGCGAAGAACCAGAAACAGTTACGTCATCTTACAGATGCAAGCGCAAGGAAGCAGACGGCACTGTTCGGACATCACTGTCACTCGGTATTCGACATTTTTATCTCCAGTGGTGGTCTCTCTTTTCATGTAGGTCTACGTTCTAGAAGAAAGTATCTCTTGATTCGCTGCATGTAACAGCGAATTTTGAAATGTATAATTTATTCCTTCGACGGGTGGCAGATATTATGCTTTTTTTCCCCGCCATTTTCAATCGGCACTGAACCAACTTCAATCTTTGGTTCTCTTTTGGTCGCACAATGACCGTCCTAGAGGCATAACCAAGTCGCAAAAACGCTTAATTAATGACCTAAGCTGAGACAAGTTCATGGTTCGGGTGGCCCAAGTGATCATGTTCATGAAATGAACAGGTGTATTAGGGATGGTTTTGGGAGGTTTGGGGTTGGTTTGCGTTGCGGGTGGGGAGTGTGTACACATTGCATGTGTGTATGTCGGTACGTTGATTTGTACGCATGTATCTAGTGTCCTTTTTGGTGTTGTATGTCATTTTGGTCATTCAATTGTTTGATAAAATTTTGGTGTTTTTATCAATCAATTTTATATACACTTTTTATTTGATGTGCATACCTGTATTTTTACTGTTCTGGTTTTGATAGTTTTAAAGTAATAATTGTAAATAAAACTGAAATTCAGCCTTTATCTGCGAGAGTTTGGTTACTAAACCATGAATAATGATAATATTATTGCAACACGGGTTTTTATATGACGCCCCTTTAAGTCACGAGTAAGTCTTGGTTCCAAGACTTTGTTATTGTTTTGCTCTTGGTGAAAACATGTATTTAGGCGCACACTGTTTACCAAGGTCAAATTCAACTAACCCCACACTGGATTAAATTCTGCAGTGCACCGATTACATTTTGTCTGTACATTATTATATGGATGTTGTCAATTCAGTGTGGCAGCACAGGGTTCATCGTCTGGTAAACTGCTCTTTGTTGATAGTGCTGAATTGCGAACATTTGCATGGCTATATCAACTGTAGTCGGACACCAGACTAGTCGCGTCGAAAACGCCGGGATTTTCCGGCGGTATTTCGAAATCGACAATATCGTGTACATCAATCCTAGTTGCTACGACACGTTTGGCAATATTCCAGAAGAAATATTTACGTACACACACGGTACTGCAGTGCGAGCCACTGTTTCACTGGGTGGATTTGTGTTTACGTTGTATGTGCCAAATACCCCCTGTATTTTTGAAGCAAGTCAGCAAAACGAAGCCCTTCTGGAACGTCTCCCCCTTCATCCCATGAAATCTGAATGTGCACCCAGGCAGACGCCGTTGGCTTTGCAATAGACTGAATTTCAGTGTGAGTACATGCTTTCGTGTCATGTGTGTACGTTGTTCATCCCAAGCAGAAGCCGTGTGACCCTTGTTCTTTCTGGCTAATTTCTGTTGACGTGTTGTTTACGTGTGTTAACAGTTTGTTCACTTGTTCATTAACAATCCCTCGTAGGCTTGTGGAAACGTCGAATAAAGCGAATTTAATTTAAACTACTGACCACATCTAAATTATTTTATTCATGTTTTGTCAAGAGTGCATGTCGCGTTTCACTAGGCTGTTTGTAATGTGTTGGGGTGTATATGTTATTGTAAACAGCAGATCGTTTTCGAAACGAGTGGATTCGACTTAGACTTTGGTTTCGCTTGTTCAAGCCATTTTGAACCAGCGTTCGAAACCACGTCTAAGTTCTAACTGGAACCAGCAAAACTGGAGTCTAAGCCGAATCTACCGGTTCGCCCATCTGTGTGGTGGAATGATCCACCCGTACCAGCCGCGAACACAGGCATTTCGTACGTTCACCTTTAGTACATTAGCCAAGTTTCAACCCGCCACGCAACTCTGCAACGCGGAGGCTTATCAATTGGATATTGTTGTGGAGACCATAAGAAATACATATAGGTCTATTTGACACACCAGCACAATATTAAAGCATAATGTAAAATTCTACACAAAATAAAGAAAACTTTCTGAAGTTTTCTAAATTGAGTTTGCGATCATCAAGATACGTGTCCATTACAAAAACTGTGATCCTGTCAGCGGGTTTCGTTTAGGGACTGTGTTTTTAAGCCTGTTGTTTTCATATTTTGGGGCCCAGGAGAAAGATAAGTCAGTCAAAAAACTAAAAAAACCGTGGGTAAACAAATACAAGTTGAACGCACATAATGCTACATTAAAGGACTCAAAGGGCTCAATGCATAATTGTCTTGTTCTGAATCTTCTTCGTGGTTTGTCATTGAATAGAAAGATTAAACCCACCTTTGGCAACACTGGGTATATAAAGTTGAAGGACTCCTTAATAAGTATAAACCACTTAACGGTCTTTAGTTTTTACTTGTGCGATCAAGGACAAAACAAACAAATCAAATGGTTTTCACCAATGGTGACAGCTACATGAAGTAGCCCCACCTCAAATTTCCCCCCTCCCCCGAGCAAATTTTATGGATCCGCCCGGTAAATTACATGAAATGGACAAACGTTGCACCCCAGATAGTTATCAAGTAATATTTGCCTTTTTACTCTCTCTCTCGTTTTGCTCTCTCTTCTATGGGGGTCGGGAAAATCGATACCGAAAATATGATATGACTAACCTAAAAAATCAACCAAAATATCGAAGGATTACCCAATGGCTTATACTGTCATCAGCCAAAAACTGTCTGTTCGTGGCGTGTAACCCCAATTTTGTCTTTTAAAAGTTATTTCTATGGCATGCAAGCCAAAACAATGAAAACACCTTGTTTTGTGAAGATTTGGATCTTTCTCTTTTAACAGGTACGGTCCCTTTTTGTGGTCATAATTAGCCAATATTATTACTAATCCAAATGGATTAGATCGACAGAACCAAATGTAGGGCATAGTTGCCGTTTTTACTTGCTGGGTTAAAATGTGACTTGAGCAATTTTTTATGTTAGAGATAACATTTTAAACATTCTAATACAAGAGAAAACAATTAAGATTGTTTGTTCCTTTAATTTTGAATTTCTGCGAACAGGTCCATGAAATGGATACGAGAGTATCAACCTACCTACGTGGTTTCAAAGGCTTCGGCCGCAGCTACAATCGTAGTGTGTTGGCCAAGGACGAGCTTTTCCACCAGCGATTTAAAGAAGCATTAGACAACGGCTCTCTGCAGTGTAATCGCCTCCGGATCCTCACCATAGGCGACAAGGGTGTCGGCAAGTCTAGTACCCTGAAGTACTTACAAGGTGAAGTGTGCGATCCCACTCTGGAGCCCAAGATGACAGAGGGGATCGAGATCACCGCGTGCGAGGTGTCTGAGCAGAGGCAGGCCTGGATGGCCTGCGATGACGATGGGCAACTTTCACCGGCAGACGACCCGACTGTCTCCGCTGCTTGGTTTGTCTGTGCGGACGTCGACAGCATGGGGGGAACTCTGCACCAACATGTAGGCGAAAAAGCCCAAGAAACAACAACAAAGGGCATCACTGGCCGTAAAACCAGGCGAGAACCAAATGTTAAAAAAGATGACCCAGACGGAAACACTGGTGAGACGCCCTCTGGGATCTGCAGGTCTGCCCTAACCCAAATGCAGATGAGTATTTCGGCAATCCTCATGTTTGTCATTGCTTATCATTACGCACCAGGTGACTTCGGAATCTTGTGCTGGCTTGCTATGTTCACGTCACATCAGCTTTTCTTCAAGTCTGATTTCAATTCTGCCTACCGTTTTGTCACCCCTGTCATGCTTCAGATTACTGCCGCTGAAGCAGCTGTCAGAGCAGACGAATACTTGACTAACATTGCAGACACTCTGCCAGAAGATTCTCTGTGGTTGGTACTCGCCGTTGTTGTGCTTTACTCGGGTCTGTTTGGTTTATGTACTGCATTCGGTTTACTATCCGGGCTTGGATGCAGAAGTGGCGTAGCCATTGCTTTCTGTCTCATGATCCCTAAGTCAAAGTTTAGTCTACCTTTGAATAAAACTGTTATCGCATTGGTTATTGGTAACTTCAGTGGTCCCCTCCTGGTGCGATTTGGCATAAAGCCAATGCAAGTAAGGTTGCGCAGTCTCACTTTAGCTGCCATGGGGTTGTTTGCTCTGCTTGGCGTCGCTACTGGGACAAAGTTTCAGGTTTTGGCTGGATACTCTGAGAACATGTGCACGTGTGTTTTACTTCTTGGGGCGTCTATGGGGTTAGGGCATGCCTACGCAGTACTTAAGGCTCGCGGAATAGTTGCCACGAGGAAGCTCATGTTACCTTATTATCTGAAAAAAGGTTTTGGCTTCGTCGCAGGAATCGCTCTGGGTCACCTGATCGGTTGGCAGCTGAATTATTTCAGCGAGTCGATGACACCATTTTCAGTTTTCCTCTCCCTAGTAGCTGCCTCGGGGTTCCTCATCTACGACCTCAGAACAGCTCAGGAGATCCTTCGCCTAGAAAAAGACGCCATTCCAATTACAACCTTCCGGAAATTTCTAATGGCCTCTGCCACCGGAGACAACCCTGTCAGCCTTAAGCTTCATCTCTGGGACAATGGTGGTGACAGCGTTTACCAGAGCATGCAACAATTCTTCAGACCGACAGAGGCTGTTTATCTCCTGGTGTTCAGCTTGGAGGATGCCAGACAGGATGAGGAGAAGCAGCTCCAGCGCTTACGCCAGTGGCTGTTCACAATAAAGGCACAGTCCAAGAGAATTCAAGACTCTCAAGAAAATGAGGAGTCAGATCCTAATACCCTGATTTTTGTCGTCGGCACACACAGGGACAGCGTCTCTAAAGATTTCCTCTCCCACTTTGCCGGTAAGATAGACGAGGCCCTTTATAAGGATTTCTGCTGTATTCTGGCCATCAATGGTGACAAGGGACCCTTGTACGTCGTGGAGAACTCCAAAGTGATGGATCAAGACGGGATTCACCTTCGGAGCTCTGTTATCAGACTGGCAAAGAAAACATCGTACATGAAGGAACTGTTCCCCATTCGACACCTTCGTATTCTGAACAAGGTACGAGACAGGCAGTCTCGTGGCCTTCTGCCCTGGATCATGAAAATTTCTGACCTTCTGCAGGACATTGCAGAGGAAAACATGAGTGTGGCAGAGCTGCAGCAGGTCCTTGTAAGCCTGCATCGTACTGGGGACGTTATATACAGATATGATGACCAGGTCCTTAACAGGTATGTAGTCGTTAGTCCAGGGGTTCTGATGGATGTTCTGCAGGCAATCGTTTCTATTCCTCAGCGGGAATCCCGCAAGAGAAGTCAAGCCAGAGACTGGCTAGACCTGGAAACTAAAGGCATTGTTTCTCAAAATCTCATCCAGACCATTGTTGGTCCTGACGATACCCTGCTCCCCTGTTTACGGCTCATGGAGGCTTATAACTTACTGATACCTGTCTATTCGTCCGCCTTGATGTCTTGTCCCCAAACTCCGTCACTTCAGGAACAAGACACGGACCCTTCCCTATCCTTAGCGTCTGGTCAGCTTCCCAACTACTGCATCCTTCCAAGCCATCTTCCAGACTTCACAGGGGAAGAAGCAGACTTCTGGGTGCCTGCAGAGGATGACGAAGTGTATATCTTTGACTTCAAGCATGTGTCTCCCAAACCCATCTTTCATCGTCTTCTTGCTAAGTTATGGTGTGAGAGGGATATTCAAGACAGTAAGCATGAATCGGTGAGCATACATGCAAATTAAGTCCACACATTTTGTGTTTACATTTGCCAATCTCAATAGCAACAGTCTTGACTCGAAATACAGCGTTGTTGAATTATCAGATTTCTACAATGTGTTCGATATGTCAACGAAAAGAACCATAGCAACACTGGAGTACGTTACACTAAAAATAGTTTAAGGAAGCAAGAGCATTTCTGTAAATATTAGTGCATATTCTATCTCTCTGCACCACACTGTATTTCCTTGTATCTCTAAAATTTGCTGGATGACAAAGCAGTACCGCTTACATCGGAATTGGATTTGATTTTCCCATGGTTCATTGACAATTCTAATCTTAGCTTTTCGGTAATACAAACTTAAGTTACATGTTCTGATTGCTTTCCATTTGCTTCATAATTTGTAGGTGTTCAAAACAAGAGGTCGTTTCAGACTCAAGGGAACCAACTTGTACGTAGTACGACTGCAGCAGATAACGTGCTCTCAGAATACAATTGAAGTGACAATCCACCATAACATCAGTAATAATCGGTGTAACCTACAGGTGCGTATAGTGTACGTACTGGGCTTTCTTTGCGCGAATACAGGTCGCACTGGTCACAACAGGGAAATGTGCATCCGATCATTTTGATTGTGTCAGTTTATCACACATTATTCAAAACTCCGCCCCACACAAAAAAGTTTTGGTTATGACAATTTTTATTCACGTCCAAGTGGAACTCTAGCTCGATCTAAAGAAGCTTTTCCTCCCAGAGTCACCAATTTCGGTGAATTCTGGACCACAATTTTTAATCACAAATCAGCAGGTAATGGCGGGAAACCACCACTGGCGAAGATGCTTATAGCAGGCGATCATTTTTTAGTGTGCATATCTCTTACCAGGTCCTGCAGTATCTGCGGGGGCTTCTGGAGGAGATTCGCTGCATGGATTTTCCTGAGCTGCCGTACACTTGTGGGCCCATCTGCGACACCTGCAGCTCTGACGGCCTGCTGAAAATCTTGAAGATCTGCGGTCACGACGAGGCGTTTCCCATCGCCAACATGCAGTGCAAAGCGTTCATGCAGGAGGGAAGGTACCATGAAGTCCACCTCACACCTCAGGTATTAAATCCAACCGCATCCAATTACCTTGCCGTGTTGTGGCATGAGAGAATAGGTCCCAGTTCTCGCTCCAGGATGTCACCTGCAAAAGGACGATGTGCGTTGGTGGACCCGCTTTTTAGGGGTGCAGACCACTAATTCAAGTGAGAATTTCTTTTGAAAAAGGAGATTGTTTGGCCCCCAAAATGGTGAGATTGTGTAAATCTTTGCCAGGATCAACTCCCTGGGTCTTTGAGCTTTCGTATGAGAGCAGAATGGCTAAAAGCAACCGTTGAAAAATGTTCCTAAGTGCGCGAGATCAAGAAAGTTGAGGGTTGCCACTTGAAAAATGGCTACAATCAGACTTCGGAAAAATCACTTTTGGGGGTAATTTTGTTTTGTGGGAATAATTAAAAATGTAATTTGTTAACCCACAAAAAATTGAAAAGAAATTGAAAGATTAGTGACAAGAATTTCATTTGTGTTTCAGAAATCTCAGGGAGGTTGGCGTGCATGCTATTAGGCCCTGAACAGTGCTGATTTTACACTGTTTTCAATGGGGTTTGAATTAGTGGACTGTACCCTTAGTTGTTAGCGCCAATCTCGGATAGTTGGGTATATTTGTTATCCCGGACAATACGGTCAGTGTCACAAAGGAAGGTTGCATGCATCTGACATTCCAATAAAATCCAACAAGTGCAGGGCCAACAAATTTAGTCTACCTGCTACTTATAAAGAACGGAGTGACCCTATTCTTTTGCGGGGGGTATTAGGCAATTATGCATGTAGTTCAAAAAGGATCGACAGAGATATTTGTGCGCGTAAATTGTACCCTTGAAAGTGTCTTTCATTTCGATGTGAAACAAAGGTCACCGAACATCTCTTGCTGTTGCCAAACGAGTCGACGGCTTAGCTGCGCACTGAATTAGTGAAAAAGTAACCCCCCATTTTTCCTTTCTGCCTAACCAGATGTCACAAAGATCAGATCATATGAAGCTGGTACTGATCGAAATGTTTCACTAGTCCCTTACAGTACAAACCAATGATCACTGGTATTCTGCAGTTCCATTCCTTTAAGTTCCGTGTTTGGCGGGTACCGCTTCTGTTTCTTAATACAGAAATGTGATCGAAAAGAATGATTTAAATATTGTCAAATATCCCACCGCAACCTAATGGTTGCCATGTGGAAATTTCTGCTTATGTTCGTTTTGTATTCAGGCAAATAAAAAGAAATCAATTTCATGAATATACACAAGTCAAATCATGCGACCATTTCTCTGTGTATATTTTGAACAATCAGCGAAAAAAAAAGACGCAATAGTATGACGACAATATGGATATTGTTCCAATTATAACTTATTTCAACACTCACCTTTAGCTTAAAGTGACCTGTGGAAAACGAAGAACAAGCTCTTGTGTCTCGTCTGACAGTGCCTGTTCACTGACCCCACGGGATGGTGAGTGTACACGGCTGTTAATTTAAGCAAAGTGCAACTTAAAAAAATACCGCATCATATCCCACAGGAAACCTTGTCTACAAAATCTTTTTCAAGGTTAAGTGAACGCTTTCGATTTGGCAGTTCTTCAGGAAACTTATCGTGCAGGAAACTTAAAGGGTTCACTTCAAATTCAGGCTCAAAGTGTCAACCCAAGGTGAATTGGGCTTGTCACACTTCCCATTGAAAATACAGAGGTTGTGCATGATACCATTTTTCCGGTTAGAGTTTTTGTTCAACAGGGATACACATTATATGCTATCCCTCCATAACAAAGGCAGTTACTGGAAAAATGGTTGCCATGCACATCCGTCATATGATTAAATGCACGTGTGGGAGTTTACGGGCGACCCGTCCTATATTGGAGTACCCGGCATGATGGCATGGTGAAGGTCCTCATAATTATGTACTGACTGCTGCATTTTCTCGGTGAATACGTACAGTGGGCTCTGCATATTGCACGACGCTAGTAGCTTACTGACTGCCGGACCCTTATGGTATTTTTCTCCCATTCCCAGGTCGTTCTTCAAGTTTTATAAACGAACTTGTCGTGGGAGAAAATAGCGACCGAATGACCGTAATCGGCGAAGTACATAACTCCACTTTCAACATGCAGCGTACTGAGGCCAGCCCGTATGACACTAATGCCCAGAACTCAGAGGGCACCACAACACGGGAACGAGCGGGAGACACCTTACAATAAGCAAAGAATACGACTGAAAAGAAAGCGGCCTTTATCGCTGGCCACTAAGTTTTTTTAAACTAAATTGTAACTAAATTGTATTGTGGAATCAGAATCCATTGATGCTGAGTGCCAGAAATTGGACATCTGAGATTCTTTAGGCTTCAGGCTGAATAGCAGACTGGACGTACTTTCTTCACTGAAAAAGTTAACAACTCATTTTGTTCACTGTTCCTGGTTTAATTTGATTATTCCTCTTAATCGTGATGTAGCGTTGCTCTAAAAGGGCCAAAAATTATGACCGTTAAGGACATTTTGAGCCGCAGCCATAACTTTTGGTCGCAACTTTACATACTGGTACCAGTCTTTAACATTACCATGTTAAACATAAGTCAAAATAAGCCACTATATTAACTTTATGGTGTATATGTATATTTTTCACACAATGAGAGGAATGAGAGTCATATCATAATGTACGTCGTGTCAGAATCGGATGGGGTGTTTTAAGAATTCATGAATGTCAGAAGTGGTTGCTGCATGAAAGTAGAAATAGAAATTTAGACGTGGAGAAATGATTGCATAAATGGAGAAGTAGACGTAGAAATCAAGCCTTCTTCAGGAGTGGAAATATAAATTATAGATGTAAGAAGAGCATACTGAAAAAGATTGGGTAGAGCTATAAGGAAAAGATTTTTCCAGTCCCACCAAATAACGAGCCAAGAGTTTGGTAGCTTTCTTCAGAACCGTTTACAAGGGCAAATTTCTTATATTTTTTGCAAATATGGCTGTTGTCAGCCGACGTGGTTTATAACCAGTATTGCCAGCTGCAGAAATATCACTATCGTACACAACCAGCTTCAGTATTATGTTATACAATGACAACTGTTCAGACGGTGTAGTGCCGTCTATATATTAGGCCTATTGTTATTTTTTTACCCTCAAATCCCAATCGAAACCCCATAAATATTAGTATAGTGAACGGGACAGTAGCATAACACTAAGTCTCCACAGAACAGGTTCAATAAACTACCATAAAAGTGGCATTTCAGCCATGAGTATTTATGAAACATTCAAGAAATGTTTGAGTCCTTTGTACGTTTAGTGTAAAATTTTGTTTTATTTTTGGCCGAGTCTGCACTGTATTTATGTCTGGTGGAAAATATTCGATCAAATTTTGGAAATTTTCAAATCTATTAATGGCTTGACATGCATTTCTGAACAAAACATGTCACTTTAAGAACGAACTGTTTAAAGTTCTTTACTCTACAACATACAGTTTTCTTTCATTGATGTTGACCCATAAACTTTCGGTATAGGCATATTCCTAGTTGTGTTTGCTTTACTGTTGAACCTTACGGAAGCCCGCTAGTGCCATTTTGAACTACGCAAAATCATTTTTTATTGCGAAATAACGCAATAACTTTGCACATTATACCCGGGTGCAGGAGTATACTCCCCCGTTAGCGAGATCATACTCTCGCTGACCTGCAGGTCGTACCCCAGCCGTTCGAACGCTCAGGAGTATCGGGGTGCACCCTCGCAAAAAGGCCCGAAATATGTCCGCCGAGCTCATTAATAAAAGTTATACACTCAAAATATTCTATATTAGAGAGTCCTGAGAGCCATGAAATTGAGGAATTGGATAGATATGGCACTGAACCTCTGGCCCGGACTTTGGGCTTCCAATTCTGAGCAATTTGAGTGCAGTCGGGTCCGAAAGTGGCACTATTTGGCCGTTTTGCAGAGGGATGTTTTTCAAAATGGCTACTTTTCTGGGCAGGGACATTTTCTTCATTTAGGCGTGGTCTGCTTCTGGTGAAAATTTCTCAAAAATTCATTGGTCAACCCGCCGAAAATTGAAAGGAAAATGAAAGGGGACATGTCGATCATCGTGTTTCTGTGCAGCCTGGACACCTGTGAGAGTTGTATTTTTAAAAAAGTGTGGGGATTTATCATTGCTGTCTATAGGAATCGATCTGTAGTGGTGCATCCATCGTGTTAACAAGAGTATAGCTCGCTCGAGTGCGCCCCGCGACTGCTCCAACATGAAAAGAGCAACATCAAAAATCTATGACTTGTTCTTTCTCCTGGACAATCCATAATAGGCCAAACGTCCTTATACGGTCCTTAAAACTTACGATGTTACCATGATTTGCTGCCAAAAATGTGATCATAACTCAAACCAACAGGGACGTAGAAGCTCACGAGTTTGCGTAATGTCATGCTTAGCAGTCCTCGGTTACTGTTTCATGCGAAAATCACTGGCACTGCTCACTCAAGAGTGCACTCGCCTGGCTGGAGTGCGACCCTCTGGTCAGCGAGAGTATACTCTCGTTAGGGGGAGTATACTCCTGCACCCGGGTATAATGTGCATGATCCTACTCTTGTTACCCGGAATAACCATGCGAACGTGCCCCAAATGTCCGTAGAACTATTGTGTTATTTCGCAATGTTATTGCGTTATTTCGCAATAGAAAATATTTTTGCGGGTTAAAATTTTGAAAACTATTGTGTGATATCTCAAAGCTATTACGTTATTTTGTAAAGCTATTGTGTTATTTTGCAATGTTTTTGCGTTATTGTTATATTGCGTTATTTCGGCACTAACGGGCTTCCGTAGAACCTTCACCCGAGTTGGCTATTTGACATCCGGGTTCTGAACCAGAATCCGGAAGTGTATATCGTTTATGAAAAAGAATGTTGCAGGTGCATGTACTACAGATAGGCTTCTGCTTTCACGAGTCATACTCTTTGTAGAAGCCCCAAGCCGCGCTGAGCGATGTTATCACTACCGAGTGGCAACTGCAGGATAGTAAGCAGTAATACATGTACATAGGCCCTGTTATATTCTACTCGCGCTTTGGTCACAGTCGCGGTAAGTCCAACTTAATGACTGCTGGGCGTGTGAGTGCATGAGTTGAAAAGCCTACCCACGTATACGGTTGTGCCAATGTGTCCCAGTTCACCGACCTGGTAAGTATTTGGAGCTCTACAGTACATGTACGTGTATATTGTATGGTTGAGTGGCTTGAAAACCACCTGGTCTTCTGTCTTCAAATTCCTGTCTTCAAAAGGCCCTAATCTGGAGTCAGTCATCTTGAATTGAAAGCGAAGCGTTACTTGTACAGAGTTTCTGAAATCTGAAAGTGTGGGAATAAAGACGATGAAGAAGATGCAAATAATACATAACTATTTTTTCCAATGAGAAATTCAAATTATGGATAAAATGTAATGTCACTTTTGTTAAAAAAAATTTAAAATTTAAAAAACACCTGTAACTACAGCAAAGTAGTCTGACTGCACATTTTAATGTGCAAAAAATGAAGCGTATTCGGGGCATGATCCAAATGGCCATCTTGTGAATAAAACCTATTAACTTCGTTATTCTAAAAAATGCTTCCATTCAAAATGACCTTTTTTTCTGTTTAATCCTTTTAATACAAATATGTATTGGTATATTGGGATAGGGAACTGTTACTGGCTTGTAAATCTAACCTTTTCTTATTTTGCATTTTTTTCAGCCGATCAAGTTTAAATTCGGGTCGGAACGCGAGGAGGTCCCGCCTCGAGCAGAAGCAGCCCGTCATCAGTTGAAAAGAGCCGCAATGGTTGGGAATAGTCAATTTGTCGGTAGCGATGCGACCATAAGGCGTGCATATCCCAGTCGTTCGTGAACCAACGAAGTTAAGTCCTGACCAAAGGAGCCCCCGCTGCTAGGAAAATAACTCCCTCTCGGGTCCAGCTCGAGGCCCATTACAAGCCTGACATCCTGACAGAACCTAGCGATTCGAGAAAGGTCAGTTGGGGGAGCTATCGTTCCAATATTTTTCCTTTCCTGGTGGTAGAGCATGATCTCTGAAAATCTCCCGGTGGAAAAAAATGACAAAGAACGGGATAGCCTCAGGGAAAGCGAGAGGAATTAATTAGAGTGTGCTATGGTGAAGGGGGGTAGATCAAGTAGCCTTTTTGTGATGCATTGCGGGTATCTGCCGAGTGGCAGAGTGAATGCAGCGCGAAGACACATTATCGACTCGGTCATAAATTTGGGCCCAATTTCATAGAGCTGCCTGGCTGAAATCTTCATTCGTACATTTTTTATGCTAAGCGAAAACCAGCCAACAGACTGACGTTTTGGCTGGTGACCAGTTTTTGGCTCACCAAATGTTCTCTTTGCTTAGCAAAGTTCTGTGCTAGCTTTTTAAAAATTAGTCCCGGGTTTCTGTAAGGAGGAGGTCCCATGTAACCAAATTACTGATATAATCTTATTATTCATGCTATGATTTTCCATTTATTATTACCTTTACCTGGTTATAACCCTGCTAATCTTAATTCTAAATCCCTGTTTCCAAAGTGAACACAAACTACTCACTTTTACTGCTGTTCTGCCATCCTAGCAGTATAAACTTACCAAAACATTACTGGAGGTCACGAGAAACAAACAAACATTTACTGACTGTGTGTAATTTGGAACATGTAGTTTGAAACAACATTGAATTTGAAATAAGGCATATTATTTGTTGTTTTGTATTATTGAAATTATACATTATTTCGCAATTTTTGTAGTGCTAAATTCAAACTGTCAAATACCCAAGCCCTGCATATTTTCCTAGACTGTTTGTTAGACATGAAGTAAGTATATGTGTCTTTAAATGTGGTCCTCATGGACCTGTGGTCCATTGGCCTGCCCAACTTTCACAGGTAACTGTACCTAACTTTTTCTCATGATTTACATTGCTTTACTTTTACCTACTAATGGAATAGTTGCTTATCTTGATTTATCTAATTTTATCCACTGATGATTATAGATTAGCTTGATGATACTTTTGGACAAAATTAAGCGTTTTCGACAGTGATAATGTAAGATAAGATACTACAATCACAATGGTACAGTTGGAGTAAATTAAAACAAGATATTTGTAACATCAGGCTAATGCTTTTACTTACGGTTAGGAGATTTTCTACCCGTTTTAAGAAAGGTAGCAGAGATTGTTTGTCTGGAAATGCTGCTTATTATCAGTAATCTTAAACAAGGAAACATGGACCTTGTCACAGCTAATTAAAAACTCCTGTAAACAAATCAAGCTCCTATTATCAAGTGGATTAGGTCCTCAACTGACTGGACCGCACCCCAAGAAAAACTTGCAAGAATGTTCACACTTGACTGACCAGACTAACCATGGCACTCAACAAAAGATGCATACCATTTGCACACACACAGCCACTACGCTTGCCTTTCCTAATATGGTTGTGTTCACCGGACTGCGAAAAACACACAAAGAAATCAGGACTGAACTATTGACCAATGAGAATCGGGGAAACAGAGACACACAGAGATTAAGTTTTCAATAGACTTATTCACTGCACGGGGAAGAAAATATGAGCGAACTGTTTACTAAAAGGAAAAATACTAGTAATATGTGACAGATCTAAGAGGTACTGTAGCAAAGTATACGAGGATATTTATGGCCCATTGTCAGTACAGAAAGCATGCATACAAGGTACCAGCCATGTTCTTGTGTAGGTGTGTGCATGGGCACAGTGGGGGAAGTTTAGGTCGACTTTATTAGAGGTCTTTTGGGTTATTAGAAGTTTTGCCTTCACAGGTGGCCCCCGGGCCAAGCACTTGGCCAGTACAGAAAGCAGTATTAAAGAAACAGGGAAAGCAGAACAAAAGCTGAGTGGCTCTATTACTTGTGGCCCTCTGCCTTTCCACCAGGACCTGCGTGCTGATCCCCTCCCTGGTGTCCCCAGTTGACGTGAAGCCTTCCTCGTGGCATGATCTGGCTCAGTCGCCGTATCCCAAGAATTCCCCCACAACTCTGCTTGCTAATTGCCCCGCCCCCACCTACCAACCACTTTACATTTCTGTCAATATTTGTTTCAAACAATTACTTCAAACTTTTGAATAAGGTACACAAATACAGGTTAGGGAATATACGTAGACATGTGCTTGGCCAGTATCGCGTTCGTGATAAAAAATGCATTTGTTTGAACTTAAGATTTCCTTTTTTTCTCTTGAATCATAGACCATGGACATGTGGTCGAGGAGTAAAAAAAGTGATCCTGA